ATTATTTATGAAAATAAGACTATTGTTTTGGGACGGACAAAAATGGTAAATAAACTATTGTATTGGGACGGAGGGAACATTATATTTTTTTAAAACAAAACATTAAGACTCCGTTTACTTGTAAGATTTTATCACTGATTTTATTATTCTAATTTTCTCTTACCTCCAAAAATATCAAATTAAATATACATTTTTTATTTATTTTATTACATTAAAATTTAAATTTATATTTAAAATATCACATCAATATATATTTATATCATATTCTTATTAAATAATTATTTCAATTCAAAATTTTATTATTCAAAACCGGTAAACACATAAACTTTATTTTTTATTTTTTTTTTAAAAAAACAATGCGACATATATATATAATATATAAACAAATTGAGAGTGTTTCTGTGGGGCCCAGAAAAGATCGGACGGATATAGTGTCATCATTCCCGCGGCGCTGGAAGGTGACGTGGCGCATGCTCAAATCTGCAGAAACCAATGAGGTTGCGGCACCCGTACTATTTCAGCATGGGACCCACAACATAAGCCTTAGCGGCCCCACACGCTTGGGACCCTGCGAAAAGACAAAAATATCCTCGCTTTTAGAAAATTCCACATTTAACATGCTTAAGCTCATTTTCTTTCCTTTTAAAGCCACCTATGTCGTTTATTGTGCCAATGTATACACATACATTTCACTTTGAGACACGATTAATATATATATATATATGTTAAATTTTTGACATTATTATTTAATCGTAAGTATTTTTTTTTAAAAAAAAAGAAAAAAAATATCATATTCAATAGTTCATATTTTTATATTCTATCGAGTATATATCACATTCGACACCTATTATTTATATCATATACTTAATTTTATTTTTTTTTAATTATTCTCAAAATTGTTAAAAATTATAAAAGGAATAAAATCATAATTGGATGATGGAGGTAATACAAAATTATTATGGGAAACAAAAATCTCAAAGAGAATTATCCCGTACGTTTATTTTGCATTTTAGTTTGAAATACTTTTTAATTGTGAAATATAGAGAATTATATTGATAATATAAAAAAAAAATACATTGAATGTTAATATTTTGTGAAAGAATAAAATATACTCTCTTCATCCGGCTCTAAGAGTCACATTTACCTTTTGCGTCATTGTACTTAACATTAAAAATATTCTTATATTTGTATAATTGTTTATACAAATGTTCTTCTATCGGTATTATAAGATACTAATGAAAGTATTTTTACAATTTTTTCTTAATTTGTATTTCATTTTGATATAATAATTAATATTCAAAGATTGACACGCAAATATATTGAGAATTGTATTGAATTTGTAGGAACAAAGCCTATCTTTTGGGTTTTTTTAGTGTAATCTATTTTATATATTATTCAAACAAATTTTTATATTATTCAATAACATAATTTTAAATAAAAATGATCTATTGAATATGTAAAAAAAAAAAAATTATCTTGAATTTTGGTTTCAATTATTTTGCTATCGAAATCGAGATATTTTTAATATAAATATACTATTTTTATCTTACAAAATTCTATATTCAACTTAACCCACAATTAAAATATATATATATATTTGACTAGATTGCACTTTGTTTATTTCTTTTTCTTTTGTAATTTTTTGTTCTTCGTGAGTATCTAACTTAATTTCGATTATTAAGAATTTGGGGTTTGTTTGGTTTGAACTTGTAAATAAGTGATTTGAATAGTTTGAGTTTGTGTAATAGTGATTAAATTTGTTGAAATAGGTCGAATTCATCATTCGTACAAATAAAAAAATAAAAATAGTCCCGTAAGAGATGTGGTGGTGTAAGGGTTGGACTTGTGACCGTGAGATCATGGATTCAAACCCTCGACGCCTCAGGTTACCTGCCACACATAGTTCACCTAGTGTGACTTTCCTGTCGGGCCTAGTTTGTAGGGTATTAAGTACGGCACTTTCGGATAGCGGCTGCGGATTCCCACGTCATCCAAAAAAATAAATAAATTAAATAAAAATAAATAGAAAAGCAATTGTAGTATTAAATATTGATGAATACGTATAGGGTCATGATACAACATCATTAAATTGGCTACATGGAATGAGAAGATTGTTCACCACTATCGTATATGTATACATACATACATATAATTAACATTTTTAAAAATTAGCCATAAATAAATGGGTTTTTTTTTTTATTTTTTATTATTTTTTTGTAAATATAATATCTTAATTTTGGAAAATAATTGTAAAGAAACCCTAACGGTAATTATGTGTTATTATTGTTAGTTTTAAGTAGAGATTATGATTGCAATTTGGTTCAAAAGTCTACTTCAAAATTATATACACTCACCAAATAGATGTTATAATTCACAACCAATTGGGATTAATGCAATGAGAGCAAATAAAAGGGTAAATGGAGTGGAAGTGAAATGATTCCAATTCTTTTTTTTTTTCTTTTTTTTTAAAGGATAAAATACATATATAAATTAATTCATGTACTTTAATATAAATATATGAAATACTTAATATAATATAAATTTTATACATAATTCATTCTTTTAGTTTTCTTTTCTTAAAAAAAAAAATAAAGAATATACAAATGTGTATTTGATTTATGTATTTTATATTGAATTTTGATTTCAGTAATATTTTATTTTTATATAAAAAAATAAAACTACCTCCGTCTCAAACACCTTGCAACATTTCTTTTTTGGTATGTCCCAAAACACTCTACAACATTTCTAAATTAGAAAATAATTACTTATACTTAATCTATATCCCCACACTTTATCCCATCACATTACCCTAATAAAAATATATATATATACACTTCATCTCCATCACATCACCTAATTACTAAATTATCATGTATTATGGTAATATATATATCATGTGTTATACTCCCTCCGTCCCAGATACCGTGTCTGCTACACCGTAGACACGGTATTTTAGGAGGGGTGTAATTAGTAGATAATTTAAAATGTATTAGTGAAAATAATTATCTTATAATATAAATAATTATAAATTAAGATTAAGATAATTAATTAGTTTAATTAAAATTAAAAAAAAATTAAATTAAAATATTTAAAATGAGATTAAAGTGTGTAACAATTTTTCAAGAAAAGGAAAGTGACATATGTGGGACAGACAGAAACGACAACGTGGACATGGTATCTGAGACGGAAGGAGTATAACACTATATTGTGTGTTGTCAGTATTATGATAATTATAAAATTTCATTGAAGCTGTAAACAAAATGGTTTGAAGTCCAAACAAAACACAAACTTGTTTGTAATATCATAATTGTGATCACAAACATAAGGATTTTAAATAATGTTTTCGTATATACTTGTATAATATATAAGGGAAGGGCACCATTCAAATCACCACATTAGTAAAATTATAAAATAAAATAAAAAGAAAAAAAAAAAAAAAAAACACACATTTTTATTACATGCAATATGCATTTATTTGTAATAAAAATACGTTCTATTTTGTTCGTAGTTACAACGTGTTATATAATAATATAACAATATGTTATGTGTTAAAATTAGTTACTGTATTATTATGTAAGACTATATCATGTGTTATTAGTTCATATGCTATATTTGTATTATATTAATATAAATAATATTCTGCCAATAGTAATATTGTGTTAAAAAAAAAACTCTAAATGAATGCTAAATAATGTAATTAAATTCATTAATAGATAAATTGTTACATTCTAAACGATTAGATAGGTTGTGTTTAGGTTGGAAATTTTACTCTCATTTTATTATTCATTAAATTCTTTTTCTTACAAAGTATTTAATCAAATTTACATTATTTTTATTTTCTATATTATATTAAAAATAAAATTTATATTAATTTTATTTTCTATATTATATTAAAAATCAAATTTACATTTAAAACATCACATCAACACAACACCTATTATATTAAGTCGCATAACTATTAAAATTCAAATTTTTTATTATTCAAATTCCAAACCCAAAATCCAAACTTCCAACCAAACACACCTTCAAACTAATTACATATTCCCGTGTCCCATTATAATGTATGTAAGATAATTTTGACATATTAATATGTGATTATTTTTACTACAATAAAATTTATTCTTATGTCACTTAAATTTGTGTCCACTTTCTTTTTTTGTCTATCACTTAAAAAAACATATCCTTTTTTTTTTAGTAAAAAATTATACCACTATTTATACTTTTTTTTAACATAAAAGTAAAAGGTAATCAAAAATCCACTTCACATTAAAACCTAGACGAAAAAGTTCAAGCATATTTTTAGATAAAAGAGAAAGTATTACGGGATTTACACAATAAAAAGTTATACTTTAAATTAGGACAGACAAAGTATATGTTATATTTTCTATCCATCTCACTCAAAAGTATTCATTTCTAATTATAATAAAAATAATTGTATCTAAAATATCAAAATACATCTAATTTTTTCTAAAAAAATATTCATTTCATTTGTACTTTCAAGAGCAAAAATATCAAAATAATTTTACACACTTCCACTAATCAATAAAATATTAATATTTCTTAATCTATTTAAAAAAAAAAAAAAAAAGAAAAAAAAAGAAAAAAACAAATGAATACATTGTATCCAATCGGAAGGAGTACAATTTAGCTGTGGCGAGTGTAATCACAATGAGCCGGTCCATACTAAATAAAAGTAGGCCTAAGGGTGCCAAGCCGGCTTGAGCCGAGCTGCTACATTTTACTATAGGATTAAATTGGGCCTATCTCAATTAACTTGGGCCATTAAATGGATTGTGGCCTAGGCCTGAATGTGTTATATAATCTGCTTATTATATTAAAATTAAAATAATATATGTAAATGTATAACATGTTATATATATATATGTGTGTGTGTGTGTTTTAGGAGAGAAAACAAATGTAAGTGGTATTTTCTTTCTTTCTTTCTTTCTTTTTTTTAAAGAAAAAAGGATTTCATAGTAAAAAATAAATAAAACTTCAGGGACAGAGCAGAGGGTTGGTGGTTTTTTGGATCTTCAAAATATCAAAGGATACATATGATGATATGATTATAAACAATTTCCATAAAAAGATGTATGAGAAAAACTAAGAACATTGGATTTGATCAACTAATACTAATACTAAAAAAATACTAATGCCAAGAAAATCAGGATAGTGTTTACCTGTGTATCAGTCACCAGAGGTACTTTCATGTCCAAGACACAACATTTGTGCCAACACACAGGAAGAAAGACTGAATCTTTTGATAATTTGTATGCTGAAACATATATAATGTACAGAATGCATACATCACCTGCACAACCAAATGACATCTGTAAGATCGCAGAAAAACGACTCCAAAATCCTGTTCTAAGGTGCAGAGCATATATTTCATTCACAAACTTCATAACAGCATTCTTCATGAGGACAAAACAAGATGGTTTACAACACAAATGGATTGAATAAGTATGGAACATTTATCGGCAGTGGACTGAAACAACCATCGATTGTTTGTAAACCAAGTTACTACAAAATGAAGACATATAGAAACTTTTTAAGTTCGTCAGGCACAAGGGTTTTATCACAAAGTCGAATGTTGCAAAGAATGATCAAATCAAGATGTTACCCCCACCATTTGTGTCAATTAAGAGTGACTGGATTCATAAAACAACGGAAATAAAAAAGAGTTCGCTCGAGTGGTACCTCAGCGCAGCAAAAACTGGAAGAACCCTTTCAAATATTTCATCTTCCGATCCAGTGGCATCAATCTGCAAGCATTGAGTATGGTGAGAATTGCAATGCTAGATCGAAAATGAGTTGGTAAAAGAAGTTCATTGAGCTCATAACAATGAAACAAACATAGAGCAATGCATTCCATGGACGATAGAAGGTTAAGTAGTTGGTTTAAAATCGACAGTGACCAAATTAATGATGAATCACGGCAACACCGTAGCAATAATTGTATCAAAGTGAGCGAAACCTTGTGGAGTTTTCCTTTAGCAGAGTAATGCTTGATGACAGGAAGATTTAGTTCCGAAAAAACCTTCAGCCTTTCCTTGACTGTATCAATGTTATCGTCAATCCTACCCTGAACAAGAAAATTGCCATTTGTTCATGGCAAAAAAATGGCTGACAGTGACACTGGAGCATATAGAAATATAGTGAAAACCTGATTACGGTTTAGCACTCGTTTCACCATTTCTTCTTCAGGACAATCAAAGAAAAGAACAATGTCGGGTTCAGCACCAATCTGCATTTACAGTACACCAGGGTTTTGTTTCAAACCGAAACTTTTAATTGGTCATAAAGCAAAATTTCGAATAAAGATGAAGGTTTGAGGAATTTGAAAGCTACAGAAGAGAAGAAACTCACAACTCTTTCATAGGCTAAACGGTTTTCTTCGCTTCTTGGAAAACCATCAATAAGAAACCTTTCATTGTCACTAGCTTCAATGGCCTTTTTTATTAGTTTAACAGTCACTTCAGACGGAACAATTTTCCCTTCCTTTATTATTTCAAGAATCATGGAACTGCAATAGCAAACCATTCTTTTTCAAAAGCACATCGAAGGAGGGACATCAAGAAAAACACCCATGATATGGATATATTCCTACCCATTTTCACTATTAGAAGTAATTTCTCTTCTCAACAGATCCCCAGCACTTAAGTGAGTAAATCCAAAGTTCTCTACAATCCTTGTACACTGAGTACCTTTTCCACTCCCTGGACCCCCTGCAAGCTCGATCACAATACAAACCATTCTTCTGTAATTTCGCTAGATCAAGAGAAATCTTAAGGAAGCTAAGTTTCATAGTTCATAAAAATAACAACAATAGATTCAGGAAAACGAAAGACCCGTACTTACATTCTCCGCAAGTTTTTAAAGCAACTAATTACGATTCCTAAACAATTATGTTATTGTCAAGTATATCAAGCATCGTCAATCTAACTTGTTTGCATAAAAGGCCAATAGATTTATATTCAAAGATTATTTTACCTTGCTAGTTACGCTGGACTGTAAATCCAGCAATTTAGTAATATTTTTCTGGGTCAATATCTGATCATGGAACATAAGCCATTTAAAGTAAATGCATGATAGTTCATTAAAGCTAGTCCTTCGATATGCATAGTGATGAACATAACATTTTCTATCAATTATTGTGTCCCTGTCACCAGAACCAGGTCAAGAAATTCAAAATGATACTTCATCAATCCTTCCTAAAGACAACAACAGCCATGTGCAACAATCTAGAATCAGAATATCATTCTAGAAACACTAGTACTCCAATAGAAGCATTAATGTGAGGGCTAAACCAGCAAATCAATTCATAATAAACATAAAAGCAGCTTAATTTACCAAGAACGAAAGTTACGAACGGTGTTCTTCTATCAGAGGCTTCACCTCCTGCCTGTATGGATGAACAGCAAACATCAGACCAATCAAATAGGCAAATGGCTTTAACACTTGGAAGTTAAAATGATAATGGCAAGAATAAACACAAATTCCAGAATGAGGTTAAAAAAATGAAGCCAACAAATGCTCGAGAATAGTCACTTCACCAGCATTTTCCGAAGCATACGACTATATATATCAGAAAGATAAAAAATTAAAATGTAGCTATGAACAATCAGTTCAACGCGCGCAAGAAATCAAATTACAGACTAACACAACAACAGTAAAAATAAAGTAAACACGATACCGGATTCAGAACTCGTGTAGTGTAGACTTTCCAAGCACCGAAACCATAAGCTGCCTGAACCTGCAAACCCAAAAAATTCAAGCTGATCAAGCCGATACGCCATACGAAAAAACAACAACAATAATAACACCAAATTCAAAAAAAAAAAAAATACAAAACAAAACAAAAACGAGGAATACAGAACTTGATCTAGAACGGTTGATTTGGAGGGAGAAAGGAGCGGCGAGAGAGAAGCGACACGCCTCCACATATCGGACGATCGTTGGCGGCGAATAGAGAGAGGATTGTTGTTCTTCAGGTTGGAGTTTGGGGGGAGAATGAGCGCCGATCCGGAAGGGAGAAGGTGTAGAAATGGAGGTGGGAAGCCATCATCATCACATGCGCTGCCTCCTCCTCTGAGTCTCCGACCCCGAGGAAAATGCACTTTCCGTTTCCTTTCCTACCCCGCAGTTATTGCCCTTGCTTTGCTGCTGCCTATTTCCATTATTATTAATTAACTGCTAAATTGTAAAGGGAGCGTAGCTCGACCTCTCCATCGCCTAAATTTTAATCGGCCCAATCCAAAATCAATATAGTCCATTTACATAGATATATATATATATATATATTTTTATTATTATTTTTTAATTGGATTGTGATTGCAGGTCAATATTAACATTGTTAATTAAAAGATACTATTACAAAATATATTAGTATATTAAAATTTTATTTGAATAAAAATCCAAATTCAAGTCTCAAATTCAAATCAAAACCATTTTCTTTTTTCTTTTTTATGATATGGAAAAAATATTGTAGTTGTGAAATCTAATACCTTGTAAATTAGACCCAGTAAGAGTTGACCTGGGGCCGTGTGCAGTGGCACACGGTGGCTGGGCTATGGCACACTGTGACCGAGCAATGGTACACGGTGCCGCCCAGTCTCGGCCACGGTGGCCGAGCAGTAACCTTACATATTATTTTTCCACCTAACAAATTTAGTTTTATTTCTTTGAATTTTTATTTATTTTTTTTATAAGAAATGGGGTTAAATTTTTTGGACTGCAGGGATACTTTATTTATTTGGAAAAATATATTATATTTATGATATTTGTAAAATATTTTATTTATTTAAGCAATTAGTATATCGATGTAAATAAGTATGATTTTTTTTATGATTGAAATAGGAAAAATTATGTAGATATTAATATATTAAATGCTAAAATTTATTAAATATAATAATCATAATAATAATCTTATTTTAATATACCTAATCATTCTAAAATACTAGTATAAATTTATGCGCTTTACTTGTCTCATTCAATTTCAACTTAGAATGTTTAGAAACACGAAATTTTCAAATTTTCTCCCAAATGACACAAAATCACTCCTATAAAGAACAAAAAGAAAAACTCCAAGAAATCTAAACTTTTTTTTTTTTTTTTTTAATGACGTCGAAATCATGATCGCTATTATTTGAGTGCGCATTGAGTAAATATTCGACTAAACATGATAGCCTACAAACTACATCAACAAGAATTATGAAGTTCTTGACTGCGCACCTATTCATTCTTGCTGCGACGACGTGGAAGGTTCTGCAAATCGAGCATGTTACGAGCAATTCAACGCCATTATTGCATCTTTAACAAGCTCAAGGCAACCTCACCAGGAAATTCACGGCGGAATAGACAGTCGGGGTGTGGGCGTGAGAGCTATAACATATATATATATAGACAGCGTCGTGGGATGGATGGAGTGTCGATCCAACCTGTGCTAAGGCTCTTTCTTATTCTTCGTGACCAAATCATAGTTGATAGAAGCTAACTGTGACAAGTTCTGATGAAGAAAAGATACATTAGAGTGGCTTATAGCTGATCTACTGCGGCATTTCGACAAAAAAGAGTAATGTGCTGCACGATGTATAGTTACCGATTATTTGTGTAATCGTACCTCTTTGATTTTGCGGCAAGTGCATACGACAAAAGCGTATACTTGCAAGTAGTAAAGGATTTGAGGTCATTCATGAGAATTCTCACCTTAAAGGAGAAGTTGCTGAAGGAGTACTTCGTTTCAAGGGCGGGAGCAGCAGTAAAGTCCGCCAAATTTCCACATTCATCCCCCTGTTTGCAACAAAAAACATGTCATCGAATTTTTTTTTTTTTTTTTTCCTGAAATTTCGAGATAAAACTCAAAAGGGTCGAGTAACAGTTATAAGGCAAAATTATTTATAACTCACCTATAGTTTGAAAGTCTACACAATTCTTTTTTATAGATTTAAAAATTGCTTAAGATTCTCTCTGTTTTTTCAAATACATTGCATAAAATTCTTTTCTTAAAGGATTCTTTGCAATGTTTCGAAAATACAAGAGAGTTTTAATGCAAATTTGAAGAAATTTTGTACAATATTTTCTAAAATACGAAGGAGTCTCGTGCGGTTTCTAAATTATGAATGAATTCGTGTTTGGTGCAGAAACGCAAGTGGGTTATAAGCAATTTTACCTGATCTGTAACCTCCGGATGCAATAATTGATCTAAATCCAAATGTGTTACCGAGCATGAGAAAACAAATGTGAGAGAGTAAACTTACATCTTCATCCTGCATGTTGCTGTATGTGCTGCTACTGCAGGATGCGCTGCCTGTCTCAGTAATATCATCGAAATCACTGCCTCGATGAATGTTTTCGTCTTCCACATTCCATATATATCGGCTCATGAAGTAGCTTGTGTCCTGTGCATCGGCTGACGGTATAAAAGCCGCCTGTGGCAAGAAGACAGAACCATTGTGAAGGATCTTGACCTAAATCAAGCTGATTTTGGAAGTGTATCTAAGTGTTGCATATCATTGCGTGCTCGTTGAGATAAGAAGTAGATGAGACCTTCTGCCTTGCAAGTGTGTCCCAATTGATATCTTTGAAGTAAGGATGGCCTTTAACCTGAGAAACAAAACTTCAGACAACAAATTATATCTGTCGTTATAAATCATCCATAGCTCCTTGTGTCAACTCATTTACCTCTCCAGTGCCGGTGGCACCCAATCTTTGAACTGGATTTTCATGCAGCAACCTAGAAGAAAACAGTATGTTCGCTCAATTGCACGGAGTTAAGAGAGAAATGTTGTCGCATAAGCCTCGAGTCTATATTTGCAGCAATATAAGTCTGCTGCAGTGATGTTACATAACTTCTCACCTTAACCAGTAGAAGTTGCCAGAAAATAAACAATAATAGATAGATAGATAGATAGATAGATAGATGGATAAAATAATTATGTTACTGGAGAACATGAATTCTCAGTCCATTGAGAGTCCAGAGTGAAGATAATTATTTTTTTGGGATAGTCCTAAAACCAACCAAAATGGCCATATTTCCATAAGAAAAACTTCACTGATCATAAACATTGTAAGGATGATTAAACATCACAATCAGAACCTGCTCAGCATGCAGTAAATTGGTTATTTTTGAATTTCTCGAGCATAGCTCAATCCAACAAGGCTATGAAGAAAATAAATGTATGCAGCATCAGGTCACACGTTAATAAGAATTTGACCATGAATTTCACCTTTTAACATGGCAAACGATGTCTACCAATAAGCCGTTCAAAGAATTAAAAAGGTTACTTACTTGTTAATAAGATCATAAGCTTCATAACTCATTTCATCCGGAACCTTGGGCCAAGGTATGTCTCTATTTATAATATTGTTGAAAACTTGCTGCATCCAATAAAAAGACTTATCAATACTGCCACTGATCTGCAAGTCCTTTTAGAATTTAGCAATTAAATTACCTAACCACTTTAGTTTTGCCACAATTATCTGCTGCATTTGGAGAATTTTGTTCTGTTTTTGAGCTAAGCAGTGGCAGTAGTTTGACTAGGTAATATTCAAATTCTTCCAACTATTAGTTGGATAAATTACGACAATATGCTGCGAGCATAAGATACATAATACACACATTCACACAGGTGTGCACGAATAGACTTGTGTATCCCAGTATCCGAGTGAGTAAATTTCAAAAGAAAGCATCCAAACGCATGTACTTAATCCCTACATCTAAATGATCTAAGTAGATGGTATACCTGCGGAGTTTCTGCATTGAAAGGCGGCATACCCACAAGAAGCTCAAAAAGTATGGCTCCCACAGACCACCAGTCAGCCGTTGCTCCTACAAAAAAACTTATAACAGAGTGAAAAACACACACTAAATAATGATATGAATATAATAAAGTATTTGACAAATTTGAGATTCATGTAAATCTCTTGATGAACTTCAAACCATGTTCCATTCCAAGAAGTATCTCCGGGGCCAAATAGTCAGGTGTGCCAACAACTGAATGCTCTTTCCTATGTTCTCTTTTCGGCGATGAGTGCACTGTGGAATTCGTTTTATCGTCCCCCAGCAAAGCTGAGGGTCCAGATAAGTCATCAGTACTATTTATGAGGCCAACCTTGGAGAGACCAAAATCTGTCAACTGCAATGATAGGATTAAAGATTTATGACAATACATGCAAAAATGCGTATTAGAGTGCATCCGTTACAAGGAATACTAGTGGTTGTTGTCTGTGTCAAATCAATGGCTGGTTTGCAACACAAATGCAAGAGCCAATCTCAATGACCACAACAGCCAAAAATGTCAGAAATTTGTTTGATGAAATCCTAGGAAGACATACTAGTACACCACCATGCTCCACTTGTCTAGGCTATGTTGATCAGATAAGAACAAGATTCTAGTTAATCTCATCGTTTAGATAGTTTAAGTCTGTAGAAAGCCATTTGAGTTTGCACTTTTCTTATCTCACATTAAGTTATTTCAATTCATCTTATAATGTACAAAGCTTCCACTGCAACAAAATAACCACACCACCATTTGGCATAAATAAATAATTGTGGATACCCTATGCAAATGCACCATTTAAAGAATCGATGAAGTTAAAAATACACACACACGCACTGGAACAATGAGAAATGAGTCCCTTTGGCTTTTCATATTGCCTTTTTCTTTTCTGAGAGTGGGTTTTCTGACTAATAAATTCGACAAAAGAACTTAAATATCAACATCTTAATCCTGCATTGAATTCCCATATACTTTAAATAAGTGACCTTGAGGTGACCATCTGGACCAATCAACAAATTATCTGGCTTCAAGTCTCTATGGACAACACTTAAGGAGTGCAGATACTCCAAAGCAAGTACCTGAAAGAAATAGATCAGATGCATCGATCATTTTAAATAGTAATTAAGGATCTCCAACTTGACTCAATGGTAACTAAAGTCCTTACAACTTCTGCAATATATACACGAGCCATATCATCCTCTAAGCATCCTAGATTTCTCAGCAAGGAGAAAAGATCTCCTCCATTTAAGTATTCCATGACCAGATAAAGATTTTCCCTACATGTGAAAGAATAGAAAAACCGGACCTGTTTATCATTAGAGTATACATTAGTAAGTATTTACACAAAGTTTTCTGCTCCACACTCCAAATGCCTTCAGAAAATCTCACTTCCAACATTTTCTTACCACAAAAGGGTTGCAAACTGATATCAAAATATCGCGTTCAGCTAAGATACTTTCCACTGCATTTTTTCGAATCATGTCTGCTTTCTTCAAAACCTGAGAGGAATTTGACCAATCAGATTTCATCGGAAATAATTTGCATAACTATTTTAAGGGACTGTCATAAAACAAAAGTGAATTTTCTGTTGGCACAAACACTGACTTTTATTGCAAATAAATCACCAGTAGCCCTCTTCCTAGCCAGAAAAACTAGTCCAAAAGCACCTCGGCTAATAGGTTTCATTATTTCAAAATCTTCAATGGATGTCCGATCTTTTGCACATGCATTAATAGGGGTTGCATGTGAATTGCGACTTGTATCTTCTTCCACGTTGCTTTGTAAATCTCCCTTTTCATCGTCAATTTTTCCACATAGCACTACGTATTTTTCCCTGAAGAGTAGATGATTGACCAAATGAACATCACTTCAATTGAAGTTTAATAAGAAAATATCTATATAAGTCACGTCATGATAAATTGACAACTGGCTCTAAGCCTGCTCTTGATGGTCGAAATAAACATTGTTCACACATGCATCTTGAAGGCTATTCCTACATATGCAAGCATGTTTCTGTAAATACTTTTAGAATATGGCAATGCATGTGTGGAATTACAAAGCAATAAATGCCAGATTTCAACAATTAGAGTATTCTATTTTATTTGTCATCTCTTCACCTGTTTCCAGCAATAAACACAGTCTCCTATATGTGGCAAACAAGGTCGGGCAAGCTTCCTTCAACCAAAACATAAAACAGTATAGGAATCTGACACTCTTCATTTTTTCTCAATGATCAATTTATCATTTCCTAAAATGGCATTCTGGTCACAGAATAGTTCAGAGCTGAACTATTTTTTGAGTCATTGACATGAAACCAAGCTCCAATATGCAGATTTCTGAGAACTTGGTTATTTTTCTAGCTTATCAGATTCTGAATCAGCACTTAATAAACTGGAGCATGTACAAGCAATAATGCAAATGCTAAGTTAATGGCTAGACCAACCAAAAAAGAAGAAACCTATTGTGTGCTACTATGAAGATTTCAGGTATGAGGTACAACTCACTGAATTAGTTTCTCTATGCGTCTCCCAAATGTCTCAACAACAAGTCCATCCACCTTCCTCTCATTAATAGCATACTTGAGGTCTTCCAATTTTTCAATCATATACTCCAGTGTGCTGTAATCAGTTCTGTTAGCATTTGCTACAGATCGAGCAATATCCAGCAGCTGCCTTATCTATAGAAAATTAGTAGTGTAGAAAATAAGTGTAGCTACAATTAAGTGGTTCCAATTTATAAAGTACAGGAAAAGTGATAAAGATTACAAACATTTTATCTGATTCTCTTATAAGCAATAACAAGCCAATATGCCTGCAAGACAGTCTCTAAAAATCAAAAGTTGAACAACTAGAAGATATTTCCAGTGCATTACTTGGGCTGCATTCGTGACGCGTCCTTTTTAGATAGAGTTATTTAAAGAGCATGTAATCTAATTAAGTTGCAGGCAAATCAGAAAATAATGCTTGATAAACAAACAGTTCCTGAATTGGCCTGTAGATGGTAAGGCAAATACAAAAGATGGTACACATTTACAAACAATAGTACAGGGAGAAAATGCAACAAATAAAACTAATCTGGTAAATCTTTAGAGAAGTTTTATAAACGGTACGCAATATTGCTTCTCATGCCTAATATAATCAGTAAAGTTACCCAGGAAGACTGCCTTTCTTAAGTGTAAGCATCATAAAAAAAAAAAAAAAAAAAAAGGAGTTCTCAGTTTGTCATTTTAAATAACTAGCTCATAGTTTAATAAACATAGTGGCTCATAGAGGTATAAATCAGGAAAGATAATGTGTAACATCTCATGAAAATTACCTGCTGACAACTTTCTAATTCCGATAGTGCTCTATGCGTATTCAGCAGAATCTGTATCTGGATCATACGTGGAGTTACTAAAGGAGATCGGGGTGTCAAGCTTCCTGATGATGATGCTCTCTTACTTTGATCACTTGTGTGAGATAGTGCTTCAAATGACGATCTCAATGAACTAGGAAGATCATCCAGAAAAGTACCATCAGCCTCATTAACCCCATCCAGAATGTCTTTGGAACATTGGCAGCTCAAACAGTCCCCTTTTGATGACAATTCATCCAAGAGATGGTGTACACTTGATGTGTAGACACCCACTGCTTCAGGACTTCCTGTCCCAGTGTCTGAGTTTTTTGAAGTCCAAGATTCAAGTATCTTGTCAAGAGTCTCAGCAACTCTTTCAAGTCGTTCATCTACTGTTAAACTCTTTAAATCGCATCTGTCTGCAATAGCACAAATTCTTGAGTGTAGCTCTACATGAGCTGTTGGAATTTCAACTTCACATATTCGACAGATTAGTGAATCCTCATATGCCATGTGGTGATGGTCCCAAATTCCCCAAGTGACTTTTTCTGTTCCGTCAGCATGTTCTGCCTGACAGGCTGGTGCTTCGATATTTTCTTGATTGTATCTTTCCCATTTCTGTTGTAAATCCTCTGATTTATCCTCAGATGCTGTCTTGTAGGAATTGTGTCTTTTCTGGCTTTTTTCAGCTGCAGAGGGGAGTTTCTTCCAAGATGATATTTTAAAGCTGCCTGTAGATGAAGTAATGGTCTTTCTGGGGCTAACCTCTTCAGTTTCATGGTTTTGATTATCAGTCAGATTGCTTAGATCTGGCTCTGGGGCTTTATATGTTGGTTTCTCAATACTACACTCTGGATATATGCCAAGGTCACTGAGCTGGTGTGAAACCAGAATATGATTATCTTCATAACCACTTTCCTTTAGGATTTGAACAAGACGAGTGCAGCGAGTAAGAATAAATAAAAGACGTGTATGCAGTTGCTTCAGTGTACCCATAGGCAACTCTTGGCGCCGATCATCTAAATTCTGTACAATTCCTTCACAATCTGTCCAAAACTCAGTGGGTGACATCTTTGCACACTGCCTAGCTATTATCAACAAATCTTCCAAATGTTTTTTCCGGTCTGGATGAGATTCTGAAGTCTTCCCAAGTTCACTCACCAAATCCCCAGCAAAAATGCCTAAATCAGTATTAACATCATCTTTCAGTTTATCAAACTTCAATCGTATCATTACCATCATTTCCTGGGAAAAGTAATGCCAACACACAAGTCATTTGCATTATTGAAACTCAGAGTAATGAAGGAAACCTTGCACCAGGAAAAAAATAATAATAATAAAAAAAATGGATGCTGTATGCGAACTTAACATACTTCCGTGCGGCCTATGGCGCGAGACTTCCAAAAGGGAAGGGGTCTAACACCTTTGGAATCAAATTCATGAGAGAAGCTCTTGGTTTCTGGTGACCTTTTCTTACGACGGACAATGGCCTGAAAACGTGCCGACTGCATTTCCTTCCCAAAAGTTGCATGATGACCCTGGAATAAACACAATGACATAAACATATGCTTTCTTGATTATCTCAACTAACTGAATATATGTGTGTACATCAGAATGACAAAAAAAGAAGGTTGATAAAAATTCAAAGGTTAAACTTATTACCTCTGGCCCAGGCCTCCGGGGCGAGATGACTTTCAGTGACTTCAAATGATTCCAACATCCTTTTTCTCCTACTCCGAACAACAAGGGTTAATATTTTCTAACAGAAACATAAACACAGCCTAAATTATAAGAGATTTTTCAAATAATCACAATTCAAGTCTTGACCTTCTGTTGTGTAAGGATTGATGTCAATTGTCATCAACCAATCTGTTAACTTATCCTTTCAAACCAGATGAACAGTATCTCTTGTTATGAAGATGATTCTCATATTATGAAGTGAAAGAAATTATTTAAGATCATGGCACTTTGAATATCCTCTCTTGTCTAAATTGCATCCAACTCACTACCACCAATTTCACGACATATTCCAGAGTACATTCAACATAATTACATAACCAGATTCATGGATGTAAAGTCGCAGTAAAGAGAAGCGAAGGGCAATCTACCTTTAACGTCAGCTGCATCATTTCCTACGGACTCCAAAACCTCAACATTCAGAGTAGTACTGCCGAGGGAATTAGCCGGCTTCAGCTTTCTAGGTCCAAAGCGCGTCCTGATTTGATTGAGTCCCAAAGCTGCCGCCTCGATTAAATTCGGATCGCCGCCGTCCGAATCATTGCGTCCTTTATCCAAACCATCATCCCCGTCCGCACTGACTCTTCGCCTCGTCGGAAACGGCGGAATTTCCGGCTTCTTGACAACCTCCGGCGGCGGTTTTGTTGAATCGCGGTGGGGACTAGACATTGAGAAATTCTTTCATCTGGAGTGCATTGAATCCATTCCAGTGAACGCAGAAGATCTCGATTCAGATATCCGTGATGTCGCAGGAGCAAGCTAGGGAAACTTCCATGGTGAGATTTCCGCGGGAAAGTTGGGGTCGTTGGAGGAAGGAAGACACGTACGTGTGTACTCGAATCAGCCATTTTTCTGAAAACGTGCTTTTTCATTGCATGGAAATATAAACGTATTTACCAAACCAAACAAAAAGTCCGCACATTTATAGAATTGAATTTGAGCTGCCCGTAGAAATTTTTTTAAAATAATAAGTTTAAATCTTTAATATGATTTTTACGAAAGAACAAAGCATATATTAATGTGATAATTTTTTATGAAACAGATTATTTTTTTTTGAAAAAATCAATGCTAATTGGTTCTGTTTACTATGTTAAATGAATAGTTTATAGTAGTCATTTTAAAAATATATATATTATTTGTCTGTATTAATTATGTCATTTTACTTATATATATGAGGTTCTCTCTTTCTCGTGTAATATATGTATTATTGTGCATACTAAATATAATTAGTAAATAATTAAAAAATATATTAATAAAAGTAATTATTATATTGAAAGAAAAATATAAAATAAGAACAAATCATGTTGAATCTCTTGTATTTGTATTTTAGTAAAAATTGCACAAATATTTATTGAGTGTTTAAAGTTTGCATCAATCATCCTTTCTATCTAAACTAAAATTGGTTCTAAATAAAAATTAAAATTTTATACAAATAAAAAATATATATTTTTTAATATCAATTTTGAAAAAAAAAATAAAATCATACAATAAATAAAATATAAAATATTTTGTACATTTTTATAAAAGAATATTATATAATTTAGTGAATTTTTTTTCTAAGACATCTGCGTGCCGATCCATTGAATGCTTACTAAACTACTGTCGCACTTACATTAAGCGCGACTTTAGTATATTTCCACTATTATGCTAGAAATCGCGTTTCAATTTCATTTTCCACTCCCTATGCGTACTTGCCGTCGCCTATCAGACTTCCCTTTGTAATGTCTTGAAAGAAGAAGAGATTTGGCCTAAACATGATGCGGGCAGCGGCCCGTACACCGGCGGCGTACTTTAGCTACGCAGTACGCCGCCGCTTTCTACACTCCGTCACGGCACCATCAGTGAGAGAAACCGGACTCTATGGTTTCGACGACTTGAAAACGCCTAAAGGTTTTCAACGCATGGTGGAAGATGCAATTGAGCGGTATTAAACGAAAATGTGGTTTCGAATCATTGATCGCTAATTCGATGAATGCATGAAGTTGCTGCTATTGTTTGTTTATTTTTTTCAGGTCTGATGAACTTGTTAATTATATTGGTGGAATGCCTTCTGCTCCCGAAATTATTAAAGCAATGGATGAAATATCAGATACGGTATTGTTCTGTGTTCTAGATTTATGCTTTTAAGTGTTTGGTAAAATGATTATCTCTTAGTTACAAGGAATGTCAATTGTGTTTTGTGTAGGTCTGTAAAGTTATTGACAGCGCTGAGTTATGTCGGCATACACATCCGGATAGGTGAGACAAATTGCATTTTCACGTTGTTTGGGAAGGTGCTAAGAAGCTTGTGTTGGTTGTATTAAGAGTATGAGCTACTTCTGTGATTAACTGAAATGCTTATTGTTGTTTGATATATTTTAGGGAATTTGTTGAGGAGGCAAGCAAGGCATCTCTACGCATAAATGAGTATCTAAATGTGAGAGGGGTGCACCCTAGAGTATATCTTTATAATTCTATGTTTATTTATTGTGGTTATATAAAACCCAAGTTACTATTTGCTTACTATATGCTATAATTTCATTTTTTTCATACTTGCAATTTTAGAGCTTTTGATAGTAAAATTGATAGCGTTTAAACATCTTGCATGTGATTCTTAATTATGTATTTCATGTTTTGTATGGTTAAGGATTTTAAGGGTATTTATGTGTCAGTATTAAGAGGATCTGACACTATTGTGAGATATTTGGAGGGAGGTTTAGGAGTTGGATTTTTTGGATTGAGAATAGTAAAACATTGAATTGTAATAGATATTTGATGTTATGTTTTGAGTGGATTTATTTTATTTATTTTTTGATGTAATATAAAAACCGGAAAATAGGTTTGAGGGGGGGGGGGGGGGGGGGGTGTTGGGGTGAGAAAGTAATCAGTAGTGGGAATCCTGGTAGAATCCTACATCCAAACACACCTGCATAGGCTCATGCCCTTTGAAGTGAGCATTATGGCGAATTACAATACAGCGGTATGAAAATGTTTCCAATGTCGTGAAAATTCAAAAGCAAGAAACCTGCAGAAGCTGATGCTTGCTATAGGAATGTTGTTGTACCCAAATAAATATCTACAAAGAAGTTTCAGCTGTTTGGTTAGGAAAAAAACTATCTGCTAGAATCTCATGTCAAATTACTACATTTATGCAATGCCTTGATTGTTCCAGCATTAACTATATCTATGAGGAAAACAATTTGATATTAAAGTTTATTTCTTGAAAATTTTATAACCTGCTGTTCCATGCAGCATTATTAGTTAAGCTTATTTCTAGAAACTATGATCTACTAGCAGTTTTCATTTGGTATGATAATTTAAATATTGTTGGCAGTATCTGAACTCGAATCCTAGCTTATATCATGCCATTCTAAAAGCTGAGCAAAATCATAACATGCTTACGGAAGAAGCTCGAAGGGCTGCCCACCATCTTCGTATTGATTTGGAGAAGGGTGGAATCCACCTCAGCCCAGGTACTAATCCTATGGAATATTCTTCCATAGTCTTGTTTGTGCTCATCTTTTCACCCATGATTCATATCCATCATTTCCATGACAGAGAAATTGGATCGTGTTAATCAACTAGGTGTAGACATTCTTCAGCTCTGCCGAGGGTAAGTACACATTTCTCTCCATAGAAATCACCTAAATTCTTCATTGAGTGACAAATAATAAATTGAATCTCAAGAAAATCTGACAATGATTTTTCTGTGATGAATGCATGCAAGTTCGTTTTGGCAGTGTAAGGAAATAGTCTACTTATTTCTTTATTATTTATTCTTATACAAGTACGGGTTGAACTTAGGGAGGTTTGCAGTAGAAGCAGCCTTTTCTATCAACTTGCTGTTTGAGTCTAGTCACTTGCCGTCATGTTGTTATCTTGCAATGTTTGATGTGAAAACACTTGAAGCCATTATCTTGTGATATTCATTGTCATATAGAATTCGAGATTACAAGCAATTTTGTCCAAATTTGGCTGTTGAAAATACAATTTTGGTATTTAAGTCATAAATTATACAATCAAAAGTGAGAGCCAATTTGGGTTATCAAAACATTATGATTCAATTAGTTCATCCATTAGTTTTTCTTTAATCTTTTGGTATCTCTAAACTGATTGCTGGAGTTATCTGCATCTAATTCTCACTCAACCAGGTTCAATGAAAATATCATCACTGACCCAGGTCATGTTGATATATTTCCTGCTTCACGTATCCCAACAAAATTGCATCACCTTGCCAAGCCCATCTACCACACTTCTCCATCTGTGTCAAAGAGATCAACATGGACCAAATCTGATTTGAAGGAGAAAGGATTTCGCTTAGTGACAACACCAAATGCTTTGAGTTCTATATTACAGTTGGCATCTGATGCTGAGGTACATTCTGCTTGCATATGATCTCTACGTTCTATCGTATTTGAACATAAAATGCATTTGTTTTAATGTTATTTAGATTAGAAAGCTAGCTTATGTCAAAGGAAACTCTGTGCCCCATGCAAACCTGGAAGTCCTAGATAAGCTTCTTGCAGCACGCCATGAGTTTTCTGAGGTAAGCATACGGCAAGCCAATGTAACAACTGGGAATGCGTTAGTTGACTAATTTCACTGAAGGCAAAAGTGCTTTTTTTTTTTGGTACAGAAATCTTTTAGATCAGCTTCCTTTTTTTTTTCTCTTATACTGCCACATGAATACATGATATGCAGATCTTGGGATATCGATCTTATGCAGAATTTGCGCTGAAGGAAAACATGGCTTCATCGCCTGAAGTTGTTCTGTCTTTTCTGCATGAAATGAGTAAAATGGTCAGACACAAGGCTGATGAGGTATGATGCTCATTGAAGCTAATGCTCAATGCATGGAATTTAACAATTAACTTTCTGCTTCTGTCTCTATTGTTTTTGTTCACAGATTAGTGGATGTTCTAATTGTAGGAGTTTAAGAAACTTTTGGATTTTAAGAGGAGCACCAATGGCCATTTTGTTGAAGACTTGGACCCATGGGATGAGCCATACTTTGCACGATTGATGAAAGCATCTGCCCACAATTTGGATTATTCAGTTAGTATTTATTTCCAGACTTATATTTCTTGTTTGTGTTGTGTGTCTTAGTTGTATATTTGTTTCATTCTCTCATTCCATTGGTAAGATGCAGTATTAGTTTTTATTTACCAATCATTACATTAGAAAGTGACACATCTATTGCTATTGAAGCCTTTATTTATCTATATTCTATGAAAGGCAGTTAGTTCTTTACATTTTTAAAAATCACTATAAATTAGCTTTGATAAATTGAAAATCTTACCTTTTGTGCTAACTGAAATCTTTAAACCATATTAATGAAAGCCTAAGATCTGGTTAGTATTCCATCTAAATACCTGGGTGACCAGAACTGGTAATATATCGAGATAACTCTTGGAGAAAGTACTAGCTATGCTTCTGTCTACATGTGTTCTGTGAATGCAGTGATTGACAGTTATGTAGAAATTACATAATTGTTAGAGTTACACACTAATACAATTTTTAGATGGAAACTGGTTTGATGCTCAGACGGGTGAGCATTACTCTAACCTGTAAGTAGGCCACTTTCTGGCCATGTGATGAGTCTAAAATGGAAAGTGGTCAAGTAACTGTATTTGACACCATTATGCACTATCCTTATTTTCGTAATTACAAAGACCATGATTTCTATTGCTTACTATTTTCAGATTGCTGCATCATACTTTTCCCTGCCACAATGTATTGAGGGGTTAAAAGTGCTTGCTGAGTCCTTGTTTGGCGTGAAATGTCATGAGGTTTCTCTTGGCCGTGGTGAATCATGGCATCCAGATGTAGTCAAATTGTCTCTGCACCATCCCGATGAGGTCTGGTGTCTTTATCATTTTAACATATTCTACATGAAATTTCTGAAGCTGGAACACTTGAATCTTGGTGCATCTATACTAAGAAATAAAAAATTTATATCTATATTTTGTCTCAAATTTGATTGTGAATCATGTTATGGCATAGATGTTTGGCCATTCAATTATAGTCTATCTTTGGGGCCATAGTTATCCTTGAGTAATGTCGTTTGAATTGAGGTTTATTCTGTTAATGCAAGAACAAGCCAATAAAGAATAAGTAATGTGTATATCTATTTCACCATTTCTACATTTGAAGAAAAATATGTCATTTTAGTTATTGGATAATATGCTATATTATGCAGGGAGACATGGGTTATTTGTATCTTGATTTGAAATCAAGAAAGGGAAAGCATCCTATTTCAGCACATTTTGCTATTCAAGGAGGCCGTCGTACCTCTGAAACGGAATACCAATTACCGGTGCGCATTGTTCTGAATGCTTTATGAAATTTAACTTCAAAGGATATTGTATAAATTGCTGCTAGAATTTTATGTGCACACTTTCAGTGCTACAAATCATTTGGATTATTTGGAGCGATATTTTCCAAGTATTGTAATATATAACATAAAGATAGTAGAATTTTAAATTTCTTATCCTTTGGATGACATAATTTGTTGTCTTTTTTATTAAAAATATATAAATAAAGTAGAGAAAAGGTTTATATTGCTTGTTAGTTTTGCTCATTGTGAGAGTAATTAATCACCTAGTAAAGTTAACAGATCGAACCTATTTGGTGAGAGCTAGCTTATAATGTTGATAAGTGATACTAGTCTTATGAAAATATTGATTATTTCCTCATTTCTATTCATAAAAGGAGGGATCATTTCTGTTTATTTGCAGATAGTTGCACTTGTTTGCAACTTTTCAGGCTCCAGTTTTGCATCCGTTCATCTTCACCATTCTGATGTAGAAACTCTATTTCATGAATTTGGTCATGCTCTTCACTCATTGCTTTCAAGAACGGTATGAAAGGATCTTTGAGCTCAATAGATGTCGTCAGCATTGGTGTGATTGATATAATTTTCCACTATAATGTTTCAGGATTACCAACATTTTTCAGGGACCAGAGTGGCTCTTGATTTTGCTGAAACACCGTCAAACCTCTTCGAGTAAGTAAATTTGCTTTCTCCTTTGTATTCTATCTGATATGCCTAAATGAAGAAAACTTTGGGGTGTGTTTAGTTGGTATTATTGAAGGTTTTCTACTATTTAATTTTTTTTTTTTCTCCAAAAAAATCAAAACAACCTTTCATTTTTCATTTTCTATATTATAATTTCTCCGTCCCAAATCAATTGGGACATAGTTTTGTAGTATAGAACTTAAGAAATATAGATGTTTTGTTGGTAGTGGGTACAAATTGTTGGTTAAAAGTTTCTTTTACACTTGTTAAAGTGTGTTTTAGTTTAAGTATAAAAAGTAGTAATATTTGTTTAAAATAAAGATAATTCATGGTGTTTTTAGTAATGAGACGATTGATTTTGGACGAACAAAAATAATAAAATGGGGAAAGAGTACTAAAATCAATTTATATTCAAAACATCATTTCAAATACCTATTTATATCATATCAACAACTATTCAAAATTCACACTAACCCCCCACGCAAACACACCCTTGGATTCTTTGGATTCATCGCCATGATGTTCTACGATGAAACATATGAATTAGCTAAAAATCTCTTAATGCGTCTTGAGGCTGTAGGGTCATTCAAAAAGAATAGTATGTGCTTGTTCATGCCAAGCATAAATTGAAACTTTGAGCTCTTCAACAGATAGATGATTCCATTCTTTTATTGTGATATGACCAGATATTATGCATGGGATTATCGATTCTTGAAAACATTTGCTAGAGATGCTGCCGGCGATCCTATACCAGAGAAGTTGGTAAAATCATTGCTGGGAGCCAAAAATATGTTTGCTGCAACTGAATTGCAACGTCAGGTTTGCACTTTGAGGCATCAATAGATTAACTTCACCTGCTAACATTCCTACGTTGTGCTGACGACGGATTAGTAATATCAGATTGGCCTTCTGCTTGCACTTCTACAGGTCTTCTATTCCTTAGTCGACCAGGCCCTCCATACACTGCAGCCTTCTTCAGCAAAAGACACTGTCTCGATCATAGCTGATCTAAAGAACGAACACACATCTTGGAAGCACGTGGAAGGAACACATTGGCACACCCGATTCAGCCACCTTGTTAATTACGGCGCAGGTATTTTTATATATTCGAGCAGGATAATACCTAATATTATTAGTAAATGAGACTTACACAGATATCATCTATAAAACTTACATTTGGGTAACCCATTCAGTCGCTACGTGTTTTCTCGGGAATGATTAGGGTATTAATTGGGGCTAATTAGCCAAATAAATAGTTAGGGTGTTAGTTAGGACTAATCATCATAGCTTAAATTAATACTCCTTCTGTCCAGTTCAAATGGGTTATTTGTGATTCTGTAGTAGATTAAGAAATAACAATATTTTATTGAAAAATGTATAAATGATTTATATTTTTTCCTTTATAACAGAAAAGGTTGCGCCGATCCGACCAAATTAGCACAGTGCTAATTTGACCGAATCAACATATGTTATATACACATAACCAATATATATTTACATATAATACAACATATGCTGAGTTATAATATAACATATGTTGTATTAATATTATGTTGAGAAATATATAAATATATGCTTATTCCGATCAGATCACCACCAGTTGATCCATGGCCAACAGAAAATAGATAGTTTTTGGTGGAACATATGAAAATGATAAAAAGAAAAAAGTACTTCCATTTGGGACGGAGGGAGCATGACAGATGTTGTGTAAATTGCTACCTCATAGTTTATGCTAAGACTGGTAGCGTTGTCAATTCATATAATGCATTTTATTAATATATATACACTAATTTATGAAGGGTTTTTGTACTTTTGGCCGTTTCTGTCGAAGCAGGTTACTACAGCTACTTGTATGCAAAATGCTTTGCGGCGACAATCTGGGTAAAGATGTTACAGCAAGAGCCGTTATCAGTTACTGCAGGATCTGAACTCCGAACAAAATTGTTGCAGCGCGGTGGAGCCAGAGATCCAACCACAATACTGAAAGATTTAGTGGGCGATGGTGCAGTGAGAAACTGCAATGGAGGAATCATACCTGATATCGCCAGCCTTGGTGAAGAGATGAAATTATTCGACTCAAACTGATGATTAGCTGCTATCCGTTTGATCGATGATTGATGGTAATGGTCGAGGAGCAACGAGCCGGAAGGGATAGAAACTTGGTTGAAAAATGCTTCAAATTCTACAGAGCTGTTGAATTTGCTAATGACGACAGAAGATCAAGATGGTGGCATGAAATGAAAAGAATTGAATTGAATAACCAAAGAGGTTAGCAAGATTTGATTTGATGTGATTATATAGACAATAATAATAATGGATTTTTTCGTTTAGGGTTTTAGTATGATCTATTTTTTTTATATTTGGTATGAAAAATTACATAAAAATGCACCCTCTTTCGTCTTAATTCAAAGTATCTATTTTACTATTTTCGTCTGTCTCATTTTAAAATTTCTTTTTTTTTTTTTCTATTTTTTAAAAAATAATTATATATTAATATTAAAATATCTCTAACTAATAAAATATTATTATTTTTTAATATACTATAAAATCTCAAAAGAAAAATATTTTGTATTAAATTATTTATTTTTGTGAGAAGAAATCATATATACTCCAATATTTATATTGATTGAATGTATACATATATACATTATATATTTTTTTTATTAATATTTATCAAAAATTTGTTAGGTGAACAAATCCAATCCATTCTGAAATGGATTGGAATGAATGTATTGTGTTATGGTGAAGGGGCAGCTACAGGTACAGTAGCTACAGGGGTGATTTGAGATTCAATGTTGAGCACCCATTCCTCAATTATTGAATTCACTTCATTTGGCAACTCATCGTGGGGGCAATGCCCTGTAAACAAAGAATATCTTATCAAACATTTCAAATAAAAACACACGTCAAACACTCTAAAATGTAAATACTTTCGTCATTCCTTTACCAATCTATCAATTTTTCTATTTTGGTCATAATCTTTTCTACTAGAAAAAACAAAGGGATAGATAAATAAGGGATGGAAGGAGTATATACTTCTAAAATGGATTATTTTTAAAATGGAGGGAGTATTTCTACTAAAAAAACAAAGGGATAGACAAATAAGGGATGGAGGGAGTATATGCTTCTAAAATGGATTATTTTTAAAATGGAGGGAGTATGACGATATTATTTTGAAACAATTATTGTTAATAAATAGTGCAATAAAAATTCCGAAAGTATACACGCAAATAAAGCTTTTTATTACCAGCATTGATTTCTTTTATTGTGGCTCCTCTGCAATGCTCTCTAAACATAGACAACAGTGACTTCGAGTCACGCAATGGATCATTCATACCCTGTCAACACAAAAAACACTGTTTTTAAACCATAATAACTGCAAAATTAAATCTATGGAAAAAATATAAAATAAAAACCCTTGGAATTTCGGAAAACTACAGCTATTTGAAATTTACAAACAAATGCGATATAACTGTAAATTTTCTAGAAAAAAAAGGTTATAATCTTTTTTCTTTTCTCTAAAATTTGTTCTCGACCAAACATGTTCTTGAACATGTTCTTGAGTGAAGAGATCGTAGTTCAAGTGGTTGAGCTATCCCTTTATATCCTCAAGGGTTGGAATTCAATCCCCGTTGGACACAAAATAGTTGAAATATATATATATATATATATATATAATAAAATAAAATAAAAAACCAAACATGTTAAAGACAGGACTCAAAAGGTTATGTAAAAGGCCAATAACCTGCACTAAAAGAATCCTCTTCTCAAATCCCTCCAAAAGAACATTTAGAGGGAGGGAAAGATCAAAACTGAAGATGCTTTCCAACACAAAGATGACGCCAGGATCATATGACTGTAACATTTGTTAGAGAGTTCGACTGCTTATAAATTTATGATCATTATGAAATAAAATTGAAAGGATACGGCTCTAATCATCTCCTGCACGAGCTGATCATCTGCTCGATCGGGTTTCTGCAGCATTGTTCTTGGAATTAATAAACCAACCTACCACAAAAATATGAAAAGCAAGTAGGGAGGGGAGTCGGGGACACCCTTACTGTTGGATAAAAACTCCTCAGAGTGTTCTTGATACTGAACCGTAAGTACGATAATAGGAGTCGAGCACCCAACCATGCCGCTCCAGAAGTTTGTCTTTCCTGAATGATGATTGAACAAAGTATGAAATTGAATGATGGAAGTTTAAGCAGAGCACATGAGAATAATAATGGAAAAAAAAAAAAAACAAGAAGGCAATTTTGTTTCTTTAAAGTCTAGTTTTAATCTCATACTATTCATTAAATGTTTCACCTCGAAACTATGAAATCAAACACCTTTGTTTATTTAATATACCATACAAAAAAAATCATTTATTCATTCAAAACATTACCGTCATTGAAATGTATGATCAAACATTTGAGCACGGGTACTGTCATTAGAGTTGGTAATAATTGTCGTTTTTTTTATAGTAAAAAGAAAAACAATAACAATTTTCGATGATATCCGAAAATATGAAAATAATTGATGAGGATTCATTCTTGTGTATTTGTTGCTGATCTCTAATAAATCTATTTTGAACATTGACTTGTTCTATAATTATGCAACTTGCAAATTGGTTTGGATTAATAATTGTGCATACAGATTTGTTTCGTTGTGTTTTTATAGACTGTTTTCACTATTTAACTACAATAATTAATTCTTTCTTCTTTAAAAAATATTGCGATCATATATTTATTTTATATTTAGTGAAACTTATGTCTAGAAATAATCACTAACATTCTCATCCTCCCATATTGAAAATTGGCTATCTCAACACACAAGAAAGTCAAATTCAGATTTCTATCATCAAAAGACTAAAAATCGACGATGAATGAGTTATTAAACTATTTCCAGACATAACCGAGATAAATGACTAAAATGGTAAAGGCATTAAACCAACTAATCAATTTTCCAAAAAAAAAATCTGCCGCAGAAAACAAAATTGACAAGCATTCAAGTATACGTACTTGTGAATATCGCAAACCAGAATATCCCGGGATAATATTTCCAGAAGGGTTTAGAAGGACGACAGACTTGGCTAAAGAAGACCAAAGTCCAGCAGCAATAGCAACACAGTATCCTGAGAGAAACATAAAAATGCATCAATCGAATCATGTGATGAGAATATGGACAAATAACAAATATAGATTATATCTTTTGTTCATGGAAACGGCTAAAGATGTAATGATGTACCACCAATTGAGTTGCCAACAAGATGCACAGGCTCGCCAACAACATCAATTATGAAGTCCCGGAGAAGTTCAGCCCACATTAGTTCAGTGTAAATAACATTTGGTTTTTCCGATTTGCCAAAGCCAACTAGAGTGAGTGCCCAAACTCTATTTCCTGCTTTGGCAATAGGATATATATTATCCCTGTAGTGCTCCAAAAATGCTCCAAAACCATGTACAAGAAGAGTGGCTGGACCTTCTTGACCAGCGACCGTATACTGCAAAACGATCACCTTGTGGGCGTATAAAATACAATTGCACCACTCAAAAAACGTGAATCTACAAATAACTCACCTGGACAAGATATTTTTTCCATCGCCAAATCCGAATTGGAAATTGGCCTTCATTGTTTCTTTGGCTTTTCAAACTCAGAAGCCAATACCACTATAACCAACGGATTGATTTGTGTTAGAATGTTGAGCAAGAAACTTATCGAGCAAGAACCAAACATAATTTAGCACGTGGATCAATTAAAAGAATGCTATTTCCATGAACAATCTGCAGAGAAAACGATACCTCCATAGAAGACACAGTATTGATTGCAGCAGCTACGGTGGTTGTGGAATACCCGAATGGCGACATAAATCCCGCATTTCGTTCTTTCTCGTACTTAATAGCTTCAAAATACACTCTTCTTCTGGTAATAATGCCAAGCAGAAGTGCTGAACCAAAAAGGGCTTGAAATGAAGCTCCCTCACGTTCTTCAGCTAAGCGTTGCTTTTCATGTACCCTGTAATACAATTTTTGTCATGATTTGTTCATTTTAGAAACTTCTAGCTATAGTAAAAAAAATTCATATCCCCGTGTGAAATTCCAGAAAAATAGTAAAAATGGCTAAAAAATCTCAAGGCTTTGAATGACCAAGGAATTTTAACTTCGGTTATCTTTCATCCAAACACCAATGATCCAAAGAGATAGGAAGATGCAGATATTAAATATTGAAATAAAATGGAAATTATAGAACAAATTGCCGAAATGATACGTTTGCAGAATAGGTCATAACTATCCCCAAAAGTTTAATAGAAACCTACACTAATCGATCTCTATCCAGCCTGCGATATTGAAATTATGACAGATGATGAGATGCCAACGAAGTAACACATGGATTGCAAACTACCAATTAATAAATCAACGGTAACGAAAAAACTATTTACCATTCAAAGGTGAAATTTAATGAGGATATAAGACAAAGAACTCTGATTCATCATCAATGGCGGTAAAACAAGACTAAAATAAAGAAATCAGAGAAACAAGAATATCATGTTGAAAATCCAGTAGACATACTCCTGCCATTCATCCTGGGCAGTTCCTTCCAGGTATTTTAAGTATGCAGTTAAAGCATTTAAGACAAGATCGGATCCACCTCCCACCGAGTTCCCTTGACTCGTTATGAAAGCTGATTTTGCTGGTTTCTTTCGTCGGACAGTGACATCACTTGAGCTTTGCTGATTTCCTGATGTCGACTTAGTATCTATCTTTAACTTCTTCTTTTGCAGTAAACTTTCGGCAGAAAACTGTTCAAGTGAAATCCATTCCTTATCCTTATAGCCATCATCAGAAGATTCGCCCATATATTCTTTCAAATCGGACAGGGTGGGAAGACTACCTGTGCATATGGCATTGCATTCCAGGTATAAACAAAAAATTCAGAGGCAGGGTAGAACTTACCGACATTTTTATTTAATCACTTACCCCATGTAAAATTCATTGCATTGACAGGTAAAGTTGGGGGATCGAGATAGGAGACGACAGGAAGGTTTAGCTTTCTGAAATCATTGAATGATGATGGAACATCTGTTAAACTCTGTGAATGTAGAAAAATGACCACAATCATCCACGAGCTCATTCCTAGAACGGAAAAACAAGTAGTAGTAGCAGTTTATTCATAAAAAGATTCAAAATAATCAACAGATACCTTAAAATCATAGAACGGAGTGCTCCATGTGACAATTTTAGGGTTCTCTCCAACGAAATGTGAAGCAGATAAGGACTCCTTAATAACATCGAGCAATCTGCATAGCTCATACTCAACCTCTTCTTCTACAAAAATGCTGCTTGCTTGGATCTGTTATAATCCTCAGACACAAACATCGTAAGCAGAAAGATCCTCAAAATTCACATTAGAAAGACCCAACTAAATGCTTCATAACCACCTCTTTGACCAATTCACATAGGACGCTTTCTGCTCTCCCAAATTTGATCAAGAGATTCGACCCCTGCTCCCGAAGTAACCTCCTTAAATCCGCCAAAGCGAAGAGGAGAAGTTCCATCATTTCCTCAGAAAATCCTGTAGATACAAAGTTCACAAATAATGTAATCACTACAGAGAAATGCTCACCACATCGTTGCTACACATAATTCAATGGATAATCAAATAATCCATCCATTAGGCCCTTTCAGGCTTTCACACGCATTTATCAAAACAACAATATATTTGAACTAGACGATTAAGAATAGATCAAAATACTTCCCAGCTAATATATAAATCCGATGCATTTCCAATGTATAATTTTGGCGTCGATTTAAGCAAACGACGAATATCATTTCCAAGATTCAAAACCTCGTCCTATCTATAATGTATCACAAATGGCGTCGCCAGTGTACGGAAAAAGACACTACGGTTTTTCGATATTAACTGAAACGGATAACAGAAAATAAGGAAATGCTTCGAAAATGACTGCACGAAATCAACGAACTCTTCACGATTTTGAACTTCTACTCAACAACGCATTAACAATGGAGCTTAGCTTCCATTCAACAATCAAGCAAAACTCTTACTCGAGAGAATGCGGCGATCAAAGATGTAAAGAGGCACGACACAGCGGTGCTTCAAGGCAGCCACAAGCCCCGGGTGATCCTCGACGCGAAGGTCATGCTTGTACCAGACAATAGCAGCGCCGGGGTCGACCGCCTCACCTGCTGCATACAATCGGAACCGAGCTTTTCGCGCGGCAAATGCTACCTTCGGACAAACTGGAGCGCAGAAGATTCGCGGATGAACCAAAAGCGCCATGACGAGCAGAAAATTGGGGGAATTCGAGCTGCAAAACCCACCCTTCCTCTAGCCATCTATCGAGCGGAACTTATCTAGGGTTTTCGATATGTACCTTAGTCCGATTGCGTAATCGAGTACAATGTGGCGGAGAATTGCCGCTGAGATTTCTATCGCGGTTAAAAACGACGTCGTTTTCGCAGCAGCCACCTGTAACCACATACATAATCAGAAGTGTACTGAAGGAAAAGGAGGGGAAAGTTAACCACATACATAACCAGAATTGTACCGAACGGAAAAGGGGGGGAATTTATTTAACCGCCAAAAATGGCTATAAACAGTACGTGGCATGGTGTGCTACCCGACAACACAGTATTACTATCGACTGCACACAGTCTGCGTCTATTTAGGGTGTGTTTGTTTGGGGGTTTGGATTTTGAGTTGGGATTTGAATAGTAAAAATTTTGAATTTGAATAGTTGTATGATGTGATATAAATAGGTGTTGATGTGATGTTTTGAATGTAAAATTGATTTTTAGTATAATATAAAAAATGAAAAATAAGTGTTTGATTTGATGTTTTTGGGGGGAAAAAATTGGATGAATAGTAGAAATCTTATTAAATCCCCCAAACAAACACACCCTTAATATAAATATGAAGCAACAACTCATATTATTATGCATAGTATATGTTTATATAATAAGACTGTGTGTTGTTTGTATATATTACTGATGCTGATTTGAAATCAACACAATGCTGAATTTCTCAATTCAACATCCTAACCGTTCTCCGATTTTGGGAGCAGCGACCTGCAACCGAATATATAACCAGAATTGTACCAAAGGAAAATTGGAAAAATTTATTAACCGACTGAAGTTTGAGCTAAATTCCAAAATATCGCCATTTTCTATAGCAAAAAAGTGTGTCCTTAAGCAATGGATGGCCTGGTGTGTGTGATGGACTCATAATCGATTCAAATTTTCTGACAATCGAAATCATAGAATGCTTTTGATGCTGCTAACTTATTTGGTGTATATATACATATATATATGTATAAAATACACATATTCCATTTTATATTAAGAGTCTCACCCCAATCATAGTCTCATCTCCATAATCACTTATTGGGTACACGGGTACACGTGTATGTATACATTTAATGGATTATGATGGAGATGGAGTTGAAAATCTTTTGATACTATTGATCATATTCAGATTTGGAGTCAAATTAGCAATCTTACCCATGATATATACATATACAAGTGTATATATATCTATTTGATGAGATAAAGTATTTGTAAAACTATATATTGGTATTGTAATAAAAATTTTGATATAGGGTACACTAAAATAGTATATCAAAACTTTTGGTACGATACCGGTATATACCGTTTATATCAAAAAATTTGATTTTTATACGATACTAGTATATATCGAAAAATAAAATTTAAATTTCAACAAAATTAAATAAAATTAATAAAACCTCTTGTATCTCCATTCTCCAACCCATTGCCACCCTCATCCGGTTGACGAACTGCAGCCGGCGGTAGTTGGCCACGGGGCTGCCGGCGATATCGCTGATAGTCCCAAATAAAATTATAAAAAAAAGTTGGTATCTCTTATCAATTACAAATTTTAACAAAAGTAGCACTAGAAATTATCTAGATGTGCGAAGTCGAGTAGGAGAGGATGGCTGGCAGCTGACATTGTCAGAAGAGCAACTGGTCGGGGGAGGATTGGGGCCGGAGACTCGTCAATGCTGCCGGTAGATTGTGTTGTGTGGAATGTGAAAATTAAATTTAAAAATTTAGAGTTAAAGGAATATAGAATTGTACATCGATGTTTCGTTATGTTCAATAAAGTTTTCCATCTCTAAATAAGTGATGATATAAATGAAGTTGGGAGCCTTGATGCTGGATTAGCAGCCCCACCCCCACCATAGCCTAATATGCATCATCGTATATTGAGTGTATACATACCTGTATATATATTATATATACATAAAATGATGTAGATGAAGTTGGGGGCCTTTTGTGCCATTGATCTGGTCCCACTTTATATTATACATACACGTGTATATATATATATATTCAGTAAGTGAAGATGCAGATACGATTGTTAGTCTTTTAATTATGCTGAGCCCCACTACACGTATATATCGTCACCAATTGGGTATATACATAAACACGCATATATACTACACACATGTGTGTATATACACTCAATGATGCAAATAAGGCTAAGAGCCTTTTGATCACAGTTTGAGATCAGATTAGCAGCCCAACCCCCACCTTCACCCCTTTATGTATCATCACCTGTCAAGTATATGTATATGTATAAAAATACACTTGTATGTATGAATAAAATCAATTTACAAATATGTATACGCTTGATGAGTAATGATGCAAATGGGGCAGAAAGTTTTTTAATATTGATGGTCTAATCTCGCTTTAAGATTAAATTAACATCTCCGTCATTTGAGTGCTATGTGCATCATCACCTATTTGGTGTATATAGTAATATATATATATATAATATACAAAGTACATAAATATACATCTAATAGGTAATATTGTACTTCTTCCGTCTCAAACAAGATGCAATATTTGTTTTTTGTACGAGTTTTTAGGTGGGTAATATTAAGTCGGATAATTGGATAAAGATTAATCATTTCAAAAATATTGTAGGGTGTTTGAGACGTACGAGGATATAGTAATATATATATATAATATACAATGTACATAAATATATATATCTAATAGGTAATAATGCATGTGATAAGACTTCCAAATTTTGATGCCTTTTAAATTTTGATATTTTGATATTTATTTATTTATTTTTGTGTACGGGGACGGTAACGGCTAGTGTGTAACCCTAAATTAAATTCTAAACCGAACCCCATACACGGCAAGCCCCCTCTCCTTTCTCTCTCCCCTTCCTTCCGACCCCAACCTCCGGCGTCCGTCCAGCGCCGCCTCCCTCCGCTGATTCCCACCGCTCCTCCCTCGCCGTCGACTTCCCAGCCGAACCGCCCTCGCCGCCGTTCCTCTCCTCTCCGACGACAATCGCTCCAGACCGTCGACCCACCGCCCGCCGTCGCTCCTCCTCCATTCAGCCGTTCCTCTCCCACCTCATCCACAAGCGCCGCCGTCACTCCTGAGACAGCCGCCGATCTTAGCCTCTGCCCACCGGCTCGGTAATATCTCTCTATCCCTCTAATGATTTCAGTTTAGGGATATTCTGCATCGAGTTTGTCGATTTGGTATTCTGGAAAATGCAATTTGAAGTCGATTTGTTGAATTCGGGCGATACTGGTCGATTATTTGTTTCAATTGTTGGGGATAAATTGTCATGGGAAATTGCAATTGATGAAATCGACATTTCTGAACCCTAGTTCCTAACAAGATTTTCTGTGATTTTTTTTGTGCAATGACTCTCTGATTACTTGCAGATTGTGGATAGTTATATAACAACATATCGATGGATATTATGATGCAAGTAAATGTTAATTTTCAATGCTAGTGTGTCTTATTTCACTGGTTTCTATCACGTTTATTTCAGTGTGAATCATGCCTAAAGTAAAGACGAACAGGGTTAAGTACCCGGAAGGATGGGAGCTGATTGAACCAACTCTACTCGAACTTCAGGGAAAGATGAGAGAAGGTTTTTGTTCATATACCATTGCAGTCACTATTTACATTTTATATGATGTGTTTTCGCCATTTTAGTTATTTCTAGATTCTCGAAACAAACATACAGGATACTGATTCTTTTTGATCTTCTGTTCTTGGTGGCAGCTGAGCTTGATCCGCACGATGGTAAAAGAAAATGTGAGGCGTTATGGCCTATATTCAAGATAGCCCATCAAAGGAGCCGATACATATTCGACCTTTACTATAAGAGGAAGGAAATTTCGAAGGAATTATTTGAGTTCTGCTTGGACCAGGGACATGCTGATCGGAATTTAATTGCTAAATGGAAGAAGGTACTTTTTGTTATTGAAGGTTCTTTTAACGATGAATCATGGTGTGAATGTTTCGTATCTTAGCAATTCGCATCATCTCAAATTTACTAACGGCTCGGCTCATTCCTCAGTCAGTGTTAGGTGTGTTCTATAACAAAATGCATAGGAACTCAGCGTAAATCCTCCTTTTACCTTAAAAATTGCATGGTGCCCTTTATATTTTCAAAAATATTGCATGAAATCCCTATATGGTTTCGAAACTCAGCGTAAATCTCCACTTTACTTTAAAATTTGCATAACGCTCCTTATACTTTAAAATATGTTGCATTAAACCTCCTGTCATGCAAAAAATATAGATAAGAAACCATTTCTCATCACACAAAGGAAGTTCATGGTGATGGGTTTCATACAATGTGTTTCAAAGTATAAGGGGGCACTATGCAATTTTTAAATTATAAGATTTTAAGCTGAATTTCGAAACTACAGAGTTATGAGCAATTTTACCTAAAAACAAAATTGGGATATTTTTAGCATCGGTTATTTCTTTAACTAAGTTTCGAGTAACTAATAAATTTCTACAATATATAGAGTCAACTAATGTAGTATTTGGAGGAAATATCCACTTTTCTAGTAGTCAAAATAATGTGCAATTTGTACTTTGTTCGGTCATGTCATGTCCAACTGATGATGATAAAAAAGCGAACTTCTTACTTACGACTATTACTTGAATTGCAGCCCGGTTATGAACGACTATGCTGCTTAAGGTGTATGCAACCGCGAGACCATAATTTCCAAACCACGTGTGTCTGCCGAGTCCCCAAACATCTTCGAGAAGAAAAGGTTATAGAATGTGTACATTGCGGCTGTGGAGGCTGTGCTAGTGGAGATTAAGCGGTAACTCCTTCGCCGTATCCTTTCCAAACTTTGTATGCAAAACTATTAGCTTCCGAATAGTTGCTTGGTCTGATATCTTTCACTGAACTGATATTCGGAGTTGAAATTAACATTTGCTATGAGTAAAAGAATCTGCCTGTTATGTTGTTATGATTAGAGCTGCTAAATGAGCCGAGCGAGCTCGACTATCAGTTGTTCAATCTTGATTTGAACTTGTTAAGGCTCGGCTCGGCTCGGCTCAGCTTATTAAGAATTCAAGCTAAAATAATAATTCGGGCTCGAGCAGAGTTCAAGTTTGACTTAAATTTTATACATATTTAGTTTGGAAAAAAATTGATTTTGGTTTGATATGAGAATAATGTTTTATGGGATTTTTGTGAGAAGAAAAATATATTTTTTTTAAAAATGTAAAGTTTGAAAAAATATTGCTAAAGAAACATACCCTAAATTTTGGTGAACAAACAATCCTCAAGTTAATAATTTATAACAGACATCCACCATCCAAATCAAACATTTCCCAGAAATTCAACCCTTTTTTCTTCTTAACGATCGATCTAGTTTCTATATAGTCCTTCCATAACCAATATCCCCAAAAAAACAACAACAAAAACAAAAAAGGTTCAATTTTTATCACTTTCCGAACCGTCATCAGTACTCGAACTATTCGCCGAATGTGCAACGGCGCCATTGGCAACGACACTTTTGCTATCCTTAGCCACGACATCTTCATCGTCTTCGCTGTACTCGCTCTCATAGTCGTCGTCGTATTTATCATCTCCTCCGTCGTCGTCGTCTTCGCCAGCTCCGTCCTCCAGCAACGGCGTCTCCTCCGTACTCGAAACGACATTCCGAGTGCCGGCCCGGCTTCTTTTCAGAACCTTCAATTTGATATTGGATTTAGCGTCGCACCCGATCCATGAGTCGCACAAGCAGTACGACGTCAGATTATAGTTCCCTTCCGACGGGGCCTGGAACTTTCCCATCACCAGCCTCGACCCGTTCTTCACTTTGTCGACGGCTTCTTTCACGGCCAAATTGATTTCTTTCATTCCCGCGCCCGACCCTTCCTTCAGCTCTTGAATCGCTTTCGACGCGGCGATTATGGCCGTCGTCTCGTCCATGAAATTGACCTTCTGGGACATCCACACATCGTTTGTCGACGGATCGGCGAGCAGTAGCCAGAAATTCTCTTCTTTGTCATGGGGGAAGTAGGGAGAGTGCGGGAGGGCGCGGACGATGCCGTTCGATCGGTGGAGAGTGATCCAAGCTTGCATTGTTACTATGTCTCCTTCTTGTATTCCTTCTTCTCCTTCGGTTTCGCATGTTATGTCGACGGTGATCGAAGGCATCATCTCGAGAGCTATTTCGACGTCTTGGGCTTCGTCGGAGGAAAAGCCGGCGACCTGAGTCAGTAGATCTTTGCGGTCTTGTGGGTTCATCTCGCGGAGCTCTTGAAATGATCGTATTTTCTGGACATAGATATAAAAAGAGGACTCAGAAATTAAATACCAATAATTACCAAGTATACGTACGAATAGCATTGTTACGACACGACTGATATTAAGACGACATACGCTGTCAATATGCCTTGATGGGATTAAAGAAAATCGTAATGCATAGTAGAACATGTTTTCGTAAGTCAACAGAGAATCGGACCATCCCAATAATTGTTCGAGTTCTTTGCTCAATGAGATTTTTGATATGTAGGATGTCGGGTTTTGAAAGATGAAAAGAAACAGATACTCATAGCATTTCTCTGATATACTCAGACACACAGATGGCTGAGTAACAGGTGCGATTTTTAATTAATCCACCTTCTTCTTTTTACATAACCAATCTAAGCGCGCTAACTATTAAAAAGGGATCCGGGCTTCCAACCTAAAATCAACGGGTGATAGATGGAGTGGCCCTTCACCCTTATAAGCCAAAGAGAAATCCCATATATTTTCAATGTGGGATATATTCAACACTCCCCCTCGAGATGATAATCTCGAAAATCCATACATGATCAATACACAATACAAGCACTATGGCTCTGGCCCGGATCCCTTCTTAACATATGGTATCAAAGTTATAGTGCCCGTATTAGGTATCGATCCTGTATGAATTTTCGAGATTATTATCTTGAAGGGGGAGTGTTGAATATTGTCCCACATTGAAATTGATGTGGGGGCTCCCCTACTATATAAGGGTGAAGGATCACTCCACCTATTACCAATTGATTTTAGGTTGGAAGCTCGGATCCCTTCTTAACATTGACGGTTAATATATAAACACAACCAACACTTTCACAACATTAATGACGGTGCAATTGCAATACCTATATATATATATGTATACACAGCAAATTAAATGAAGACATTGGTAGCCTAACCTTTCGGGCAATCTTTTTGACAACCGACTCACTGAAGTGTGGAAGCTGAAGAAATGGACCGTAACCATCACTAGATACTCCAGTAGCTTTTCTGGAAGTGAGGGGGACAGCCTGCAGCAACGGCATAACTATTTTCAGTCTTAGTTTCAGAAAGGTAACGTATAGTTTCGACTACTCTATGCAAAATTAAAAATGAACACAAAACACAAGAGTTTGTTGGATATTGTTCAGTTATTGGACCGAAAACTGTGTGAGGGTAATGACAGGCAATTTCTCCGGCTGTATTAAGAAAGTTGAAAATTTAAATAGAAAATTTTTACAATGTTAGGTTCAAAGTTTTCAAGTCATAAACTGCTACGTTAGTGTGGACAATCTAATCAGACCCAGGGCAACCTTGTTTCATCTAATCGGACAACAAATACTAGATTAGAGATTATATGGAAAAAGGAGTCATCGTCATTGCATGAATTTAAACAGCGGGGAGATTAAGATATCAGAAAGTCCAACAAGTGATTTAGGTTTTGAACTGTAATGTATTATACAACAACCGGAGAAGAACATCTATCAGCATTTCGCTAAAATGGTTCGACTGTTTTGTTGCAACAGAAAGAACTATATTGGACTTGCAGACACACCTGGATTATACTCTGGGAAAGCTCAACCACTCCAATTGCAGGTCTCAGCCATCCATGCCCTTGCTGGGTACGAGGGATGATTGCCATCTGCAAGAAAGTGAAAGTTTTATTTAGTCATTAGACCAACTAAATTGAAGCATCAGTCAAACACCATAGCAGGAGGAATCTGTTTTGAGGGGCCATGTTTATTGACAAACTAATGTTATTATGTCAACAGGCTAAGAGCAGGATGACCATCTGTGTAGAAGTAGAAGATAATGCAGTCGTATTTACAACTCGTATCAAATACCAAATGAAACAAATATGGTTATCCATTGAGGAGACCAACCTGATATACTATCTAGCATGTAATTAATTTCCTATTCGATGTGAGAATTGCTTCATTTCCAATTTTTATGATTTCCAAAAAACAAAAACACTATGGAACTCCATTTTAGAAGATGAATACGAAAGGCTTAGAATACCTTCATTAGTTCTTCAAGAAGTCGAGGGGCAAGGCAAAGCATTTTCCGATAGTCTCGTTGTAAAGATAGAGACATTGCGGAGGTCTCACGAGTCAAATGTGCTTGCATCAACAACTCAGACTGCAGGCAGAAAGATATATTCGAGAGAGGATACTACATCGATTTACTCAAAGTAAAATTCGTGTTACACATGACATCACCTTAACTAAAGCCGGATGTTGCTTCCAAAACTTGGCTTGTTCCTGTTTGATGTTTCTAAGGTCCAGATTTAGCTCACTCCTGACTAATACAAAAAGCTTCTGAAGTGATTCTTCGTCAGTTCTACGAACTGGAATTTCCATGTACTCAGCAGCCCTGATGAAAACTTCCATGACCTTGCTGTACCATGAAATACAATTAGTAACTTGCAAGTTTAACAATTATATCGTACAAAAATATGCTTACTGAAACAAGATTCAGGGGCGAACTTGCAGAAAGCAACAAGTGATGACATAATCTTAAAGGGCTAAAAAACCTAGCAATACACATTGTATAAAAATACACATAAGTATGAGCTGGCAAACTATTTACGCTCTTCAGATGCAGCAAATATATCGGAAAAAAGCGAAATTCGATACATATTAAATATATTGTACTGCTGCTTGCAAAATGCAAATCCAATAAACATTTTATACCTCGGGGCTAATGAAGGCTTCATAAAATGGTAATAAGCATATATGGTATGGTGCATGACATAGTTCCCGGTGTATTTTGATGATCTTGACAAGTATATAACAGCGATTGTCAACGGTAAAATAATACAAACTCCGACAATTCCAAGTAACATAATTCCACCAGATGCTCCGTCAATGTTCAGTAGGAACTGTGGGAGAGCAATCCCCATTTTAAGGCCCTACAAGGAAAATAAACAACTCATACATACTTCTCCGATAAAGTTTGCCGGAAAGGTAACGACACTGAGTGAATGGGCTGTCCACCTCATCCCTGTAAGGAAATAGATCTACCTGTCTGCCATCAGGATGGCCATATTTCTCGAAGTTTTCACGCGATACAGGATCTGTAAGAGCCTGATAAGCCTTGGATATATAATCCACAAAGTACTTGTGAGCATCTGTAAAAGAAGTTCGGAAATCACTAAGTAACTCGTACAAAAACACTGGCTTCCAGTTCAGATTTTTAAAGAACAAAATGTGTATTTCGTAGTAAAACGTTATATCAACCTGGATTTGGATTTTTATCAGGGTGATATAAAATTGAAAGTTTCCTATATGCTTTCTTTATTTCAGAATCAGAAGCTCCGGCCTCCAACCCGAGTATTGAAAATGGCTCAAAAATTTGGCCCTGTTTTGAAATTTGAAGCATCAGGTTAGATAGTCAAAAGCCCTTAAAAAGTAGCAAAAAGGGGGGAGTCGTAAACTAATTTTTTGTCGTAATTCTTCACACCCATAAATGTGGGAATCTACTTGTGAATAAGACAGCATCGTGAAACCATATGAAATATCATTAATGAAATAATATTAAGGAAAAAAAAAAAGTGAACTTCATGAGATATGAATTCGAATACGACGGATCAACATTAAACATTGTGTTGAATAGTAAATAACAGTTTAACTGAAAGCACATATCACTGCCAAAATGTACCTCACTGCTGGTCTGCTTAATATAGAAAATTAAGAGTGCGACAACGACCCAGAGTAACACGACAAAGAGGTTGCTATAAGTTGAAAAGTTCGAGATCTGCAAATTTTGCATAAATTGAAAAATATTAAACCGCTGCATCTCCAAAATGCTCGACGAATGTAAAGTCGGGGCCAAGACTTACACGAGTGAATATCGATTTCCTGTACTTTCCAGAATGGAAGCACGCTGAACAGCGGCAAGTAGCATTCTTAGTCTTCTTTCGAAATGTCAGATACAAATTGACAATAGTGTACGGCACTAGAGGCAGTGCAATTATAGTTAATACAAATATTGGAAACAGCGCACTGTTCTCTTCAGATGCAGCCATATGAGATGTCTAGCTTCACAATTTCGTTGTGCTGCAAATAGTTTAATTCAAGCAAACAAACTTAGCTCATTCTTCATCAGCATCAGCAAATATAGAAAAACTCCAACACAACTTAAAAATTAGTCATCATTAGCGGATATTAGGATATAACCTCAGCATCCCTCCCTATCTGCCCTAATCCACAAAACATCAAATTAACAGCCACCAAATGTGTCGAACTAAAACATGAATTCAAGAAACATACACCCCATTTCCAAAGACAGATTCATAAAGCATTCAATCAAACAAGAAATCAATTGCCAAATCAACACCACAGTCCCCAAACAACCAAACCCCATCTTATTACCAAATCAAACAAACCACGTAGACCAAAATTCACCTGAATTCTCGCCAGGAAGTTCACGAGCTGGAAATACAGTATAAATTTGGGGAAGGGAAATCCACGGCAGTAGCAGTATGATCAACCCTAGATTTTTGACGCCCCGAAGACGATGAAGTTTGATTGGGAAGACATTTATCAAGCGCAGCAGCAATTGGATTTCCAAATTAACAAAATAAAAAAAATATATAAAAAATACAGACAAATTGGGCGGGCCCAAATATAAAAACGGGCTTATAAACCTGCCCATTTAGCTTATTGGGCCAATTTAGAAACAAATCGTTAAAATTAATTTTAAAAAATTACTTTAACCAAAAGGGTAAATAGTAAAACAAAAATTAAAACAACCACGGTGAAATTATTACATTAACTACTAAATATCTAAAAATGGGCCAAAGAATATTCGAAAAGTATACTTTTTCCTTTATTTTATGGGCGAATGAATTGGGTAAGAAATTAACCAAAAATAGGAAAATGAATTATTGCAGCATTTCAGAAAATGAACCAACACCATACGTGCCTACAGAGAAATATCATATCCTTTTACATAGATATCAGTAGCCCACGTGACGGGGGTGGCCCACCAATCAGAATTTGACGATTGGCAGGCGGTGCAGTAGACCCCACGCACCCAATCCCACCCCATGCACCGCCCCCGCCCCCCCCCCCCCCCCCCCCCCCCCCAGGCCCTTCACACGTAGCTGCTTCTCCTTGGACGTTGCAATTTGGAGGATTACTCATAACCGTTGCTGCAATTCTCATCAGTCTCACAGTATATACATTTATTATATAGGTGATGATGATGGTGGATTAATACTGGATTCACGGATTCCTTGGCGCCTTGAAGTTGGTGCAGATCTGCAGTGTGGGGAGGATAATCTGGAAGGCTTGTGGAGATGGTTTGTACGATGTCCGGAGTGCGGCTGCCGATTGTGCCGTCGCTGTGTAGATTGGGGAGTGATGGTTCGAGCTCGCACCGGCGGAATGGGAGTTTGTCGTTTTTGTTGAAGAACACTCGGGGTATTTCGCGTAAGTTCGGTTTCTTTTCGCTTCTGTTTGATGAATTTTCATATTGTTTTGGCTGTGGTGGATGGTGTGTTGGTGTGTGGTATTCTGAAGGTTGGTTGTTTCGGGGTGGAGGAGTGCCGCTAACTGTTTCTGTGCTTCTACATCAGTTGAAAAAGTTCTATGGATGTGACTGTTTGCAGTGGGAAAGCTCCTGTGGTGGAGCTCAAACTTTTTGCATATATGTGTGTATATATATATATTTGTGTTCTAAAGGTGTTTTTGGAGTGATCGTTGTTGCGAATGCTTTTGTAACAATAAAAAGGTCTGAACGTGTCTAATGAAGATGATAAAGCTTTACTTATCACAGTGAATTGGAATTTAGGCAGGCTAGAATAATTTACAAGAGCCAAATTTTCTGAAGAGATGTAAACTGGACTAATCTGGTAGTATGGAAGAGTACTGTTTCATATTTTTATCATTTCTTTGTTTTGCTTTGGTTTTAGTGTTGCATGGTGATGGAGGATTTCTTCTGCAATTCGTCTTCTTATGTGGTTTTTAAATCAGGAAACTATGAAATTACTTTTTCTGGGAAATGTGTAGCGTATTCCGTGCTCTCTTGCAGGAAAGGTTTTTTCTGCAAAGTCTCAAGAGTCTGGATCCCAATCCTCTACAGCAACCACATCAGAGAAGGTCCTTGTTCCAGGGGAGGAGGATGGTAAATCTCTTCCAGCAGAAGAATTGGAGGTCCCTCAGATAGTTTCCGATGATTCACAGGCATGTCCCAAATAACAAAACTCATACCCACCCCAAGCAAATAGGATCCAGGACAAGTAAATTATTGAACAAGAGCAATGACAAAATGTTTAGGAGACAATATGTAGGGTTTGTTTAGTTGATTTTGGATTTTTGGGGATTATTTTGGAGTTTTGAATTATTTTGAATGGAAATAGGTACCGAGTGTGTGGTGGTTTGAGTGGAAAGTAGTATTAGATGTGATGTTTTTGGTGAGGAATAATAATTTCAATAGAATCTTTACTTTGAACTTCACTGATTGTGTATGTTATATATTGGTACACAATGTCCTGTAAGTTAGCTCTAACATCATATGAAGCCTAAGTATTGATTTTAGGATACCAATTAATGTAAATTTCTGATTTGCTACTCCGGCTACATAAAGTTCCGATGTGTACGTCAACGTCAACACCAGTGAGTCCCATTCTAGGACATGTATCCAGTTTCAATCTTTGCTTCAATAAAAAATAAATTATTCTCTCTTTGCCACTGTTTCAAGTTTTAAAATGTCGGAACATTAGTTGATCTTTATAATCACGAGGCTGGACAAATAATTATATAGAATAAAGATACTGTAACTTGACCTTAGCAGGTGGCGTTATGCAAAAACATAAAACAATTTGGCTAGTTACTTAATAATATTTCCATTAGTTCTTGGCCTAGGATGATCATGAAAAAGTAGTATACTCTATGAAAAGTGCTTCTACTAGCACTGTTTGTGGGTTTCTTTGGTGTTCTTAAATTGTACAAATGGAAATTTCATCCTGGAATATTATTAGCATTATCCAATCTTTCCATTGATCTTCTGTGCCTTGTGTTGCCATGTTTTCCTAGATATCAGGTGATGTAGAAGGTTCAAACATAGAACAAGAAACAGAAACAAAAGATGACGTAAACTTGGTTGAGAAAAGCAGTTCCCATGGAGCCATGATGGGTCAAGATTCTGAATTTATACAAATGCTAGGTGGATATGTAGAAACAAAAACTGAAGGATTATCAGACTCAACAAGTGAAGATATAAGTGATGAATCTTTAAGGGTTAAAGAGAAGGCCATCCCTCCGCCAGGAGCTGGCCAGAGGATATATGAGATAGATCCACTTTTGAGCAATTACAGTGAACATCTTAATTATAGGTACTATTCTTTTCAATTTTTTATTAATTCCTTTGAAAGGCTTTCTGATGTAAGTGAAATCTGTTAGTATTAAATGTTCCTGGCTCTTAAAATTTGTTGTGTTATGTTCTGGTGAAAATTCTGTACTTGAAAGAATTTTCTATATTTGCTAAATTTGATACAGGTGGAGACTTTGTTGTAATACTTTCATAGTAGGTTTCTGGAATTTTATCCAGAAAGTTTAGCAGACCATCCGAACTGCATGTAAATGATTTTTGCTTCTTTTATCCCTGGTGTCTTTGCAGGTATGCTCAGTACAAACGATTACGTGAAGCAATTGACAAATATGAGGGTGGACTAGAAAAGTTTTCTCGTGGTTACGAGAAGTTTGGTTTTAATCGCAGGTATAGTTTCAGTTTGTTGAACATCTCTTGTTTTCCCCAACCCACACAATTCATTAACAGTTTTCATAGGGTATCACAGTCCAACAGTGGAATGCACCCAAGTAATTTGTCCTTGTTGGTTGATGCCCTTTCCATTACCATTAACGTGACACCAAGTTAAATGCTTCTTCTGAGGACCTTTTAGCATGTAGAAATTATTAAATGCATTAGAGTTAAGAATTGGCAAACAGAGTACAACCACAGCTAATTTCCTTTGTGGTCTTTTGGTGTTCATATTGAAGTATGTTTGTAAAGATATTAAGTAATCTTTGTCAATTAACTGTACATGCACATCGTTTTTGTGATCAAAGGAATTTCATCTTAAGGTACTTGTTATTCTAATATCTTCTAATTTTATATTTCTAGTGAGACAGGTATCACTTACCGGGAGTGGGCACCTGGGGCTAAGGTCAGTCGTACGAAATTTGACACAACAAGACACTCTTTTCTACAGTTCACAGATATTCCTCCCATCGCTATCTAAAATCTATTGCGGTTATCTAAAATCTTTGCTCTTTCTCTATGTTTTTACGAATGCAATCTAAATCAGTTGTCCTTTGGTGTGCTGTTACTTTTTGTCTCTTTAACGTTTGCTGCCACCTTTCTCTTTACTTGTTATAAAGCATTACATTCAGATTATTCTTAATGTACCTGCAGTCGGCAGCACTTATCGGAGATTTCAACAACTGGAATCATAATGCTGATGTGATGACTCGTGTAAGCTTTAGCTCCTTACTTCCAACATACTAAGACAAGTGATGAAAGTATTGCTTTGTATTCATCTAGAATAGTTTTCTTCTGATCAATGTTCATCCTCTTTTCATATTGCTTAAACATAGCAATGCTATGTTCTGTAACATATCTTCAAACTTACCTACTGCTTGGAAATCTCCTCTATTTATTTCTTTCATGTGATTAACATAGCTTCTTAACAGAATGAATTTGGCGTTTGGGAAATCTTTTTACCAAACAATGCAGATGGATCTCCAGCTATTCCCCATGGTTCCCGTGTGAAGGTAAAATTTCTTGATTGGATGCTATATTGATTCATGATATTATTTTAGTTTTTTTTTGCCATTTTTGTAGTTCAACAGAAACGAATGATATATGATCTGTAAACTTGAGTACTAGTTGTTTCCATGCTTAACTGATCAAATGATTATTGCCATTGATACTGCTATTTCTCTGCGGCATCCATCCTTTTTTAATTGCAGATTCGCATGGAGACTCCAACAGGAATGAAAGATTCTATTCCAGCTTGGATCAAGTTTTCTGTTCAGCCTCCTGGAGAAATTCCATACAATGCAATATATTATGACCCACCAGAGGAGGTTGTTGCACTATTCTGGCTGTTTACACACCGTTGCATAATTAACCAATAATTAGCATAGTTAATCTATTACCATGGAACTGAGAACGCGAGAAATATAAAAATGTAGGTTCTGTCATGTCTAGGATTTGAAGAAAGATATTTGTTGCACTATTCTGGCTGTTTACACACCGTTGCATAATTAACCAATAATTAGCATAGTTAATCTATTACCATGGAACTGAGAACGCGAGAAATATAAAAATGTAGGTTCTGTCATGTCTAGGATTTGAAGAAAGATATTTGAGAAACAAAGTATTGTTTAGCTGGTAGTAATCTTTTATTGCATGATTCTCTGTCTGAATTTTGTGCAATGATCTTCTTATTTTATTTATGTTTTTTCCAGGAAAAGTATGTTTTTAAACATCCTCGTCCAAAGAAACCGAGATCATTACGTATATATGAGTCTCATGTTGGTATGAGCAGTAAGGTGAGGCCCCATCTTTTTTCAAGTATAGTTGGAATTCTATGTGTTATCACTTCATTTCCAACAAAGCTGAAAGTAAAATAAATGGAAAAGAATGTACTTTTGTGGTGTAACAAGGTTTTAAGTTTTTTGTTAGTCTAATTGCAAGTACTGCTAGGAGCTCTAGACAGGGAATATAAATTGGTTAAATTTAGGAGTAACAGTTGTTTGAAGACCAGAGCTTGTTTAATTTTCTTCCTTTTTTAGCAGAACTGCTGGTAAAAGTTGGAAATGGGAATGTATGTATTTTAGTGGCTAAATGATGTTTAGATTTGTTATGAATGATCATTGCTTATAAGAATTGAAAATTCTAACACAATGGATATACAGTGTTGAGTACCCCAGGATTTGAAAATCTGCAGTATTGGTGCAACATTCCGTTCCATTGATTCTTCCACCATTCTAATATCATTTGTGCTAACAATCTTTTACACTGAATTTGGTACTTGATGCACATGAGAGTGTAAAGGGATGGATGTTTCTTTTGAGTGAATATATATAGCTAGGGTAGTAATATGATTATCTCAAATAAGAGAATGCACTCTTATGATGGAGTGAATGGATGCTTAATGGAAAGTCAATTCTCTTCAACAAGATCATTGATCAATAAAGTTTTGGAAGAAATGTAAAAGAAATTTACTTTATAATTAGTGGTGCCAACTCGAGATACTTACATACTCAAATCAAAATTGTTCACAGTATCCATCTTATTAGTGCTGATCTGATGTTCCAATAGTTTAACACTCTGTTATCTTTATCAGGTTTATACCTTATTCCTGACTTTGGATGCAGGAACCTATTATCAATACATATGCCAACTTCAGAGATGAAGTGCTTCCACGCATCAAGAAACTTGGGTATAATGCAGTTCAGATAATGGCAATTCAGGAGCATTCATACTATGCCAGTTTTGGGTATATGTCTCTGACTGTAGTCATGAAGTTTATTCTTCACTGCATAGTAATATACATGGAAACCCTCTTTGCTATCTATATGTTTATTGTCCTTGACTTCTGATGCAATTCTTTTTCATTGGCTCCCCTCAGTTATCATGTCACAAATTTCTTCGCACCAAGTAGTCGATTTGGGACTCCTGATGATCTAAAGTCATTGATAGATAAATCTCATGAGTTGGGCTTGGTTGTTCTCATGGATATCGTGCACAGGTGCATTTGTTATTTTTCTTTAAATTTGTGCAAGTATATCTCCCAGCACTGTATAATCAATAATCAATAAACATAATATTTGTTTAGTGTGTCATATTTTTATCCTATCCATGTCTTCTCTGCCCTTCTGTCATTTAACTGAAAATGGCACAATATTTGCAGCCATGCATCTAATAATACTTTGGATGGGTTGAACATGTTTGATGGCACTGATACCTGTTACTTTCACTCGGGAGAACGAGGTTATCATTGGATGTGGGATTCTCGTCTTTTTAACTATGGACAGTGGGAGGTATGTATCTATTTATGAGAATGTATGGCACCAGAGAGTGGGTTATTAACTTACTGTCAATGAACACCATCAAAACTGATGTGTAACATGCCTTTATGTCAGGTGCTACGATTTCTTTTATCTAATGCAAGATGGTGGTTGGATGAGTACAAGTTTGATGGATTCAGATTTGATGGTGTGACATCGATGATGTATAATCACCATGGTTTGGGGGTACTATCTTGTTGCTAGTTTATGCATGCTTTTGCTAATTAACTGAATAGTGTGGTTAAAGTCACAATAGGTCTCCTATGACACAAGCACCAAGCTCATTCCCAGCTTCAAACATGCCCTTGAGATAAATTTGTCTCATCTGTCTCAAATATTGCTTTTTATTTAATATCAAATGACTTACATATATAACATTTTCTATTTTGCCAAAATACTATATCATATATATTCTTGAGAAAGTAGCCATTTGATGTTCTTTTGGGATGCTCAGAATGTAATCCCTTTCTCCTACATTATATCTTCCACTAATATGTTCACTCATGATCTCTTCTACCCTTCTTTTTCCATGAGATTTTTGATTAATTGTGACTCTTCCCTATTTGAATGTTGTGTTTCTACGCAACCGGACACTTTCCTTTTTATTGTCTTCTAAAAATATTTTTTATTGCATATCGTTTGATCCTATATTTTGGGTTATTCTTTAAGCTTACTGGTCGCGTCTTCTACTCATTGAAGTTTAAGTTATGGCATACACCTCCACTAATATAATATTTTGCTATAAAGGTGGGGTTTACTGGGAACTACAGCGAGTACTTTGGATATGCAACAGATGTTGATGCAGTGATTTATTTGATGCTTGCTAATGATGTCATTCATGGACTTTTTCCCGATGCCATAACCATAGGGGAAGATGTAAGTATGCCTCTATTATTTAAATTAAACAGTGCATTTATTTATTGTATGGTCTCGTCCCATGTGAAAGTGTTTGATTAATTCCTCTTGATTATCCTCGTTAATTTTAGGGTAAATTATTTTTTTTAGACCTGTAAGTGGAGCCTGTGGCAAACTAGTCCTATAAGTGAAAAACTTTCATTGTTTTAGTCATTTGGCACCGGAGACGCTGCGTGGCTCGCCGGAAGCCACGTGCCCGCCTGGTATTCCGCTAGATCAGCGACACCTGACGGACACTTGGATTTTATTTTATTTTTCATCTTTTTTATTTTTTTTTCAATTGGACCAAATAAAAAAATTAAAAAAGGCAAATTAAAATAAATTAAAATAAATTTTAAAAAAATTTTAAACAATTGAAAAATAAAAAATAAAATCCACTTGTCTGCCAGGTGTCGCTGACGTGGTGGATACGTGGCCTCCCGCGAGCCACGCGGGCGTCTCCGGCGCCAGAGGACTACAACAGCAAAAATTTTTCACTTATAGGATTAGTTTGCGACAAACTCTATTTACTGAACTAAAATGATAAGGGGTCCGGGTCCAGTTACAGGATTAAAAAAAACAGTTTACCCTTAATTTTATTTATTTATTTTTTTTTTGTTTGAGAGGCTCAAATTCAACCTGTTAGTCATATGGATTTCTCCACCGTTCTAATAAGCCTCATCACCCGAGAACATCACAGATTAAATGATATGTGGAAAGAGAACTGTGTAAACTGCCTTGCAAACTTGAGTTTAAAAGCTCTGAATAGCAAAGCTATGACACGCGTTCATAAAGATATAGAGGACTCTTAATGTGGAAGAGACAAAATAAATTTCTATATAGGTTTTCCCTTCATGAGATTTTTTATTAATTAAATACAATGAGGAAATTTGTAAGTTGCTTCCATGAAAATAGTTCGCCAATGAAACTGCTGATTTGTCTCTCTAGCCATGCATAGAAGTTTCTTCCCAGACCTATTATGATTATATATTGATAAGAAAAATTTGCCTTCTAGATGATGTTAATTACATAGTTGTAAAAGGTACCTGCCATGCGCAGCCAGTTCATCATTATGCATGGAAGGTGTGCACCTTTGATTAGGTTTAGATCTTGTTATCTATTAAAAAAAAATGATTTTAGGGCTTTTAATCTCTAAAATTGCCAGGTTTACCTTCCTATTACTTCTGCTCTATGCCCCTTTGACATTGATACTCTAATCACCCACGTATGCCTCTGTTAGTCTTTGTTTCAGCAATGTGTAGTCTATTCCATTTTTTTTTGTAGAATATTTTGCACTAACGTGTATTTTTTTCACCTTGAAAAGAGATATCACAAGATTTAAGCATCGTGTTGGAGAATATCGCAAATTTATAATGCAAATACATATTGGTTGCATGTATATTTTTGTAAATTATGTATTAATAATAATGGCCCGCACCATGTGCCATTGACAGCTATGGTTAATAAGACCTATGCCTTTTCAACATTGCATAGCGCTTGAGTATGAAATGCTTTCACTCTTTGGGATAATTCCAGAAGAAACTTATTTGAAACTCAGGTTAGCGGCATGCCAACGTTCTGCATTCCTGTTGAAGATGGTGGTGTTGGATTTGACTATCGCCTACATATGGCTATAGCTGATAAATGGATTGAGACTCTCAAGTATGTTGCTCTTGACTACTTACTATCTTCAAAATAAATGTATTTCATGTCTGATATTTTTTTATTTTTCACAAGACTGGAAAAGGTGTGATGTTGATTCTAGACAGTGAATTCTCTTAGGGTGTGTTTGTTTGGAGGATTGGATTTTAAATACACTATTCATCCCATTTTTCCTCCCAAAAAACATCAAACCAAACACCTATTTTTCATTTTTTATATTATACTAAAAATTAATTTTACATTCAAAACATTACATCAACACCTATTTATATCACATCATACAACTATTCAAATTCAAAATTTTTACTATTCAAATCCCAATTCAAAATCCAAACACTCAACCAAACACACCCTTAGTTTATTTGTAATTGGGTTGAATAATATGTTGAGAAGGTACGGAGACAAAAGAAGAAAGCAATTTAGGTAGCCAAATTTATCGGTATTACTGCCGACTTTGTTCATCTATGTTCAGCTGAATGCATTTTCCCCATCACTATAGAGAATGTATTTTCTTGCTTCCTATGCAAGGGTTTGGTCTCATAATGCACATGTATGGTGGCATCTTTCATTACCCTTTCTCTTTTTTTAATGCAGGACAAGAGATGAAGATTGGAAAATGGGAGACATTATACACACGCTTACAAACAGAAGATGGATGGAAAAGTGTGTTTCCTATGCAGAAAGTCATGACCAAGCCCTGGTTGGAGATAAAACGATTGCATTCTGGTTGATGGATAAGGTGTGTATACATTAACCTTCCCTAATATTTCTTATTTATTTCTCATATTGATGTAAGACCTAGTATTTGCTTGGGGACTCAAAAGTTGTCTAGATATTTTCTCATAATTGTTACTACAATCCAGGGATTCGGATTTCTATTATTATAAAATCAAACAGTGAAAATGGTCGATTTAATAAACGATACATGGTCTCTTATCCTTATTAGGAGAATTCAGTAGACACCAAACTAATAGAAATACTCCAGAGAAACATTTACTCTAGATCTCCTACCGATTGCTAGTCACCATGTGCAACATGTCTCACCCATGCTCTAGTGACTAAGTCAACATAACTGGTTCTACTCCTACAGGTCTGTAAGCTTTTCTGAAAATAGCGAGGTTAATGTGCTTACCACATCCCAACAGTGACTCCTGTAATGGAATTCTTTTGTGAAGTAAAACATGTTTCTTTTTTATATTTAAACTTACTATTGTGTTTTGAATATTTTCTTCAGGATATGTATGACTACATGGCACTGGATAGACCATCTACTCCCTTAGTCGACCGTGGAATAGCGTTACACAAGATGATTAGGCTTATCACAATGGGTTTAGGTGGGGAAGGTTACCTCAATTTCATGGGAAATGAATTTGGACATCCAGGTGGGTTTACCGTTGTAATATTTTTAGGCCTCTTTGAAGATTTGTATATGAATTTTCTCTTGTAACATGTAGGTCTATGTCACTAACACTTTTTTGGCTTTATAATCAGAGTGGATAGATTTTCCTAGAGGTCCCCAACATCTTCCTGATGGCCAAGTCCTTCCAGGAAATAACTTCAGCTATGATAAGTGCAGGCGTAGATTTGATCTAGTAAGCATTTTTTTATCTCTGATTTTATTTTGATTTGTTAATTTTCTCATGGAATTCTCGATTCTGTACTTTCTTGGGTGTTATGTCTGGATGATTATAAGAACAGTTTGACGTGATGTATGATAATCAGTTGTAGGTATATGAAGAGATTGATATTTTTTCATAGCTATACTATATTTTGCAATGTGAAACGATGAAAGTTGGGAGTATATGTGACAGAGGTAGGGATCCTGTCAAAGTCGACAACAGGCTTTTATATTTTGTTATGTGTGATAAGGTCCACCGTTATCCCATTAAAGTTGATAACTTAAGTGCTATATGCAAGTCAGTTTACATTTCTTTTAAGTTTCTCTCTCTAAAAGCAACTGCGTCCTATCACATCTCTCATCTCCAGAGCTGTATGGGATGCATTGCACCCTGACGGTATTGCTCTGTTGCCTCTTGTGAACTGTGGATACTGTAGTTAAAAATTGCGGAATTCTAATTTTCTTTTTATTGTTGAAACGAGACTGCCTTCACTCATTATATACCTCTGCAACCACTATATATTTATCTCCAATTAACTCCGATGCTTATCCAGGGAGATGCAGATTACTTAAGATACCGTGGAATGCAAGAATTTGACCAAGCAATGCAGCATGTTGAAGAAGAATATGGTGTACGTGTTCTACTGAGATTCTTATTTGTTTCGAAGAAGTGTCTTTTTTTTTTATGTTGAAAAAAGATATAAATAAACGGGAAATAAAGCTCTTCCATTTTAATCCATTCTTCCACATGTCTTGACAATCTCTAAGTTCATGAATAATACAGACGCGTGTCATTTTAGTTCACGGTTGAACTTATTATTTTCATCCTTTTAGATCAAGCTTGCAATTTGACTAATTGGGGCTCATTTCAGCCTTAGTTTATGTTATTGTTATTCCTCCATGAACATAATAAGCTCCAAATGTTTCTGCAGTTCATGACTTCGGAGCATCAGTATATATCAAGAAAGGACGAAGGAGATAGGGTAATTGTGTTTGAAAGGGGGAACTTAGTCTTCGTCTTCAATTTCCACTGGACCAATAGCTATTCAGACTACCGGGTCGGCTGCTTGAAAGCAGGAAAATACACGGTATGAAGATTATATAACCTGTCTACACATGTTTTTTCACCAGTATTCTCACAGTTGTGCTACCCTATGTAGGTTGTTCTCGATTCAGATGACCCGTTATTTGGAGGCTTCGGCAGGATAGATCACAATTCAGAATTCTTCTCCACTGTAAGGCTATAAATTCTGCAATTCACATCCATTTATATATATGAGAGCTCATTACATATACAAAATTTATTTAGATATTGCTTTGGTGTTATAATTTGTCATAGATGTATCTTTATCGAAGCTGTTATTACCCTCTGACTCATGTAATCGATCTTCTATCTAAATTTAACAGGATGGATGGTATGATGACCGGCCTCGATCCTTTTTGGTCTATGCTCCTTCCAGAACTGCAGTGGTGTATGCCTTGGCAGAAGACAAGCCCAAACCAGAACTAGAACTAGAATCAGAACCAGAACCAGAACCAGTAGATGGTTGAGTGCAATACCAGTTTTAATTCAGCCGGTGCCACCGCGCGCAATACAATTTCAACTGAGGCAAGACTAGTCTGTATCCGAGGAGGTGGTTTGCTTCGGCTTCTCAGCGATACAATTTTACAGGGGGGGCTAAAGATGAATGTGTCCGGGACTAACATGAAGAAGCCAACAGGAAATTTATCTATGCTGAGGCTCAGCAGGAGGTAATGCATGCATTTAAATTAATAATAGTAAGTCTGTATTATGATGATGTTTTCTTAATAATAATACCGGCGCCATGCCGTGCCGTGGTGGTGGTGGTGGTGGTTCACACCGGCCCGACTCTTGTGTTGTGTGTGTGTAGTAGCAGCGAGTGAGTATTCCTCCGTCGGTCGGGAAGGGAAGCCTCGGCTGGCCAGGCCATGGCATCTAATCTAATGTTATTGTGTTGAAACAAATTAAACCATGAGAACTGATTAGTTGCTGCTGCTGCTGCTGCTGTTTCTATTGTGTTTGATTTATGTGCTTAAATTTACATTTGGTGTGTGCCGACACCTAGCAAGGAGTGTCTGTCTGTCTGTGTATGTGTTTAGTGGTATTCGCTCGCTCGTCTTAACTTGATGTATTTTTTATTCTATTAATTAGTTAAAATATATAAGGCAATTTTGACATTTTATATCTAGAAGCATAAAAGAACAAAAAATATTTTTTTTGTAAAAATGGCCGGAAACAGCTGTATTCATGGGCAAAAATATGATTATCTAAAACATGATCGTTACCGGGGTTGTATTTTCTCAATCAATTGTCATGGACTAAAATAAAATTAATATGATCAAAATTAATAATTAAGATATTGAATAGTAAAAAAAAAATGATATTTGCACTTCTTTAAACAAAGGACCAACTCGGCGGACTTGAAGTTGATTATAGCTTATTATCGTCTCGTTTCACAATTCACACCTTCTCAGATATACTAAAATCTACCGTATAAAATTTCTTATGGCGATATTGTATCGAAACGGCGTCGTTTTAGCAGCAGTCGCCCGCAGCCAGAATTGTATTGAAGGAAAAAAGGGGGAAAGGCTTTAACTGACAAATTCTATCAAAAACGACGCGTTTTGGTGGCAGCGACCTGCAACCACAAACATAACCAGATTTGTACTGAAGTAAAAAGGGTGAAAATTCTTATCCGACAAAAATAGCTATAAATTCTACCGAAACGACGTCGTTTTGGCAGCGACCTGCAGCCACATATATAAACAGAATTGTGCCGAGGGGGAAATTTCTCAACTGACAAAAAAATGGCGCTAATTCTCCATTTATCTTCATCTTTTGCGATCCTTAAACCCCAATTCCATCTCAAGCCCGTTAAAATCGCCATTCGATGCCAACGAGAATCCTCGACGGAAGAAACTACTTCGGATTCGAGCGGAGGTTCGAGAAAGCCCGGTGATTCGTTGGGATTCGGCTCGAGTGCAGCTGATTCGGCCAAGAAGAAGAAGACGACGACGAAGGGGAAGAGAGATAGGGCTTCGATTGTCCGGCGGACGCCGTTGGAGAAGCCGAGCTTGGTCACGCCGCAGGAGGCGGCTCGCGCCGAGGAGGTGCGGAAGAATGAGAGTGCGTTTGTACTGGCTTGGTTGGGCCTCGGCGCGATTATTCTTCTGGAAGGAATTGCTCTTGCTGCATCAGGTTTGGACTTGAACTTTGTTTGCTGATTTAATCGTCGCAAATATAGCGTGATCATGGTGAAATAGTGTTATAACTGCATATGTATGTTGGTATAAGAAATTGAAATTGTCTATTAATCACAAGAATTGATACAAATTTAACATACCTCTTCAAATTATCATAAACAAATACTACAAATATAATATACTATCTCCGTCCGGTCTCGTTTACTTTTTGCATATTGATCTTTTAATATCAATTATTAAATTAAAACATTAAAAAAACTGCAAAAATATTTCTTAGTGTCTTATAATACTAATACAATAATATTTATACAAAAAAGTTATACAAATATAAGAATATTTTTAATGTTAAATATGTACAGAGGGAGTATATTTTTTAAATATATTTTAACACATTTCAAACTAAAGATATAATCGAACAAATTTGAATTTTTCAGAAGTAACTTAAAAAGATATAGCCGAGAAGTTGAATTTAAAAAATTAACCGAAAATGGTGTAGAATTCTCAACATCGTTATAGTTGAAAACATGACTCACTCGCTCGCTCACAGTAAAATTAGAGTTGAAAACAAGACTTGTTCAATTTTTAGCAGAGCTAGAGTTTAAAAGTAGGACCCACTCGCTCACGACAAGAATAAAAAACTCGTTCGCTTTCAATAGAGTTAGAGTCGGAAACAGACTCTCAACGGGCATTAGAGTCAAAAGTAGAACACTGTCATTGAACATCAAAGTAGCAGATAGAGCCGGCATGAAGATGGCTGTGGATAGAAACAGATATATCAATAAAATATAAAAATATATAAAGGGGTATAACGGGTCATGAATGTACACTGAAAAAATTTAGTTATGATGATCCATGAAATTGAATTCTCTCTTTCAATTATAAAAATTGGTACATATTTATAATAGTATACAAATCATCTAAATGGGAATCCTATAAATTACTATAAATATAATATATTTTTTAAAAATATACTTTACCTTTAGAGAAGCCATTGTTATGAGATTTTTTTGTCTCTTGAGGAAGATCACTATATGAGAACTGAAATTCGTTGTTGGAGGAGACGAGTCCTCTATGATTTCCTCTTTGTGCTAATTTAAGTTTCCATTATCTCTTTTTATTCTGTTGTTGTTGTTTTTTTTTTTTTTTTTTTTTTTTTTTTTTTTTTGTGAGAGATTTTGATCGAAACCTGAATTTTGATCCAACCTAACTGGAATGGCACCATTTCCATCACCTTTCGGAGCTGAGAAAAGAAGTTTGATCAGATTCTTGATGAACAGTTTTATATTCACAATAATATGTTGGCTGTGTGATTCGACTAGAGTTGATACACCAACCGAGTAGCTCGCGAGCCTAGCTCAATTCAGTTCGATAACGGTTCGACTCGGCTCGACTCGTGTATAAAGAAACGAGTCGAATTAAGTTCGAGAATTATTATTTATGTAAGCATATCAGGTTCAAACTCGGCTCCTGGCATATTTGTATTGTTTTACATATTAATATAATATCATTTTTTATGTCAAAATTTATATTTATTAATAAAATTTGAACATTTTATTATAATAAATTAGGAATAAAATTATATTTATTTAATTCATTTATTAAAAAAATAAATAGTGATATAATTTTGACGAGATGAGTATTATATATATATATATGAAATGTGAGACAAACCCAAGCTCTTCGAGCTTTGCAAACCGAGCTTAAGCTTGAAATCGAGCTTAATGAGCTGTACTTTAGCTATTATTTTAGTTCGAATCTTAAACGAGCTGAGTCGTATAGATAGCATATTTGAGTCGAGCTCGAACAACTGATACTCGAACTCGGTCATCTTGTTTAACGGCTCTAGATTCGACCCTAGCCATGTTTGCTTTGAATAAATTATTTCAGTTCATTGAAGCCCTAGATGTAATTGTTGAGATATTAGGTAGTGAAATAGTATGCGGACACAGAATGGTGCAGCTGCCATTTTCGCTATCAGAGGTGGCTGTTAACGTCTTCTTAAGATAGCTTCGGACTACAAATTCTTCGCCGAAGTGCAGAAATTCTTCAGATTTTCTGTTTGTATAACCACATAACATTTACAGGATTTTAAAACACTATAAAATGAGAGGTATTGAAATATTTTAGTTATTGAGTTTTAGATAAAATTTAATTGTTTTATAGTATTTAGTTTCATTCCTAGGTTAAATTATTGATTTAAGTCTATCGAGTATGTTATATAGTGTCTATATAGGTCTCTGTTTTAATCAGAGTATCAGAGCCAATTATTGTTCTACTTGAGTAAAGACAATCTAAAAATTCATGTTTCTCCTAGTACATTCAACTTTGAATGTACCTGGAGGTCTCCCGATTTTGAGATCTTTTATGCAGTTACTAATCTTTTTACTTTTGATTTTGATTTCGCTTAGAGTTTTGATTTCTGTCTACATTTGAAATCATGTTTGCATATTTGTCTGCGGTATGTCCACAATATTTTTCCAGAGCCATGTTTTCGACTGCATTGAGAGTCCTATTGTTTCATACTCTAATTCAGTTGAAAGTATTGCTTTTGATTCTGACACGGTGGACGATTATGGCTGCATTGTCTTGGATCTTTCTTCTCAATGCAAACTCCAGTTGTCTGCAAAACTACTTGAGTTTGAGGGCATGCATGTTGAAATATTTTAGTTACTTAGTTTTAGATTAGAGTTGAGTGTTTGAGTCTACTATAGGTCCCTATTTTGATTATGAATAATAATGCAATTTTTTAGTATTTTACAATTTATTTTCTCACAAGGGGGACGACTCATTAGAAACAGTGGTTAATGGCGACTATGTAATCTGCTTCGATGTCAAGTTAGAACTAGGCGTATGTAAGAGAAACATGTGTATGCGCGACTGATTGTAGCAATAATTTTATCGAATTTGTTTTGGTAATAACCATTGTGGAATGCATAATGCAACTTGACTGCTATTGTTTCGGACAGGCTTTCTTCCGGAGGCGTGGGACAGCTTCTTCGTCAAGTACCTGTATCCATCTTTCACTCCAACTGTCCTCCTGTTCATCGCTGGAACAGTCGCCTACGGAGTTTTGAGGTACCTGCAGAATGAGATTTCAAACAAGGAAAATTGATCCGGAATCATCTCTCCGAGCAGAAGAACATTTGGAACGAGCTTTGCTTTGCTTTGCTAGTTCGATAACCATTTTGTGTAGAACATGCATATTGTATTGCGCTCCTTTGGGGGCTACAATGGAAGTTCGTAATCTATTATGCCACATAATGGTAAGCGCAATCGTGCTCAACTTTTTAATGTGTCTCAGTAGAAACTACTAACTGTTTTCAAGCAAGATTTAGTATGAAATCGTAAACAGGGAGTGGCACATAGCTGCAATCGATTTGCTCCAACCTTAAGCTCTCTCGACATTAAAATGTAAGCTTCATTCATCAATCTTTCCTTTTCTATGTTTGTTCAATTAATCTCTTACATTATTGTTCACAGGCGAAACATAGAAAACAAAAAACGGCACCAAATGATGCGCGCAAGGGAGCCTGTCAAGCAACAATTCCTCATCAATCCCAGCTGCAAAAACCAGGTATGTGTTCATGAATTGTTCGTTTTCTTTCTTTCTTTTGTCCTGAAATTTGTTCGCCGTAACAAATCCAGATTTCTGGAAAAATTCATTAGTTGGTATAATGTCATGAATAAAATCTGGCTTCTCAAATTTCAGTCGAACAGAAAACCACTCCATGTTTGAGTTCGGATTGGGATTCTGATTCAAGTGAACAAAGAATAAGCCTATTTTATTCCGGTTCTAAGACCAGTAGTTCTAGCGGTCGACTCAGTTCTTTGGAATTGTTTAGGAAGAATGAACTATACAGTATCATCCCCTAAGATCAAATCTCCCAAATCAGGTCATATCATCAAAATTTCTTACAGCCATTCCATAGGATTTTATCTAAAAGGATTTGGTGATACCTCACAAGAACTAACATATCAAAGAAAATTACATTAACAGCAAAGTGGACCACTAAATGATGCAAACAAAGTTAGTCCTTTTCTCCTCTCCAACAAGAAATGGGCTGGCATTGTTTTTGTTTGTGTTCTCTTACAAATCCTTTTAATTTAATTTATTTATTTATTTAATTTTCTTTTTTGGGGTTATTTGAGGTCCCCTCATAAGGTGTGTTTGTTCTCATCATATGTGTGTGATGATCCATCCATTACTCCCTACTTCCCTTTAAGGCCAATCACTACATGTTAATTGTTGTGATATTACATGCCATCAATTTCTGTCATTCATATCTGCTGCACTGTTTAATTTGTTTTGTTTTTTTGTGATGCTACTTATTGGTGTAGTAGTTAGCTGTTTCGCCCGCTAACTTCATAAAAAGTTCGATTTGTTTGTGTTTCGATTGCTTTTTTGGTTGGTGCCGTTGTTGTCATAGAATTTGATTTGATCGGTTATGATTTGAATCAGCTTGAGCTAATTTCGACTATATTGTTAGCTGCATCGGTAGATTATGATGGCGTCGTTGGGTTCTTTAAAGTTTGAGATTTGAAAATAGTAAAAATTTGAATTTAAAGTCTATTCGTTTGATTATTTATTTATTTATTTATGTGATGGTTTTGAGAGAAAAGTAATGGATGGTTGGAATCAAAACCTATGGGTGTGTTTGTTTGGGGGTTTGGATTTTGAGTTGAGATTTAAATAGTAAAAATTTTGAATTTGAATAGTTGTATGATGGGATACAAATATGTTTCGAATGTAAAATTGATTTTTAGTATAATATAAAAAATGAAAAATAAGTGTTTGATTTGATATTTTTGGAGAAAAAAATAGAATGAACAGTGTATTTAAAATCTAATTCCCAAACAGACACAATGAACATAAACTCGAATCTTGGGCATGCTTATTAGTAAAATTTAATTAGACTATTGGCTTAAAATTACTAACTAGTCCAAATCAATCAATTTTGTTCTGTCTCTCCCTGACTATCACAAAAGCTGTTCATAATTGGACCATTGAATTCAATCACTAGCACAAAAAAGTGTTATTTAAATTTGTTGAAAATGTATACTTATATCAGTTATATGAGATATATTTTTAATTATAATAAAATAAAATGTATATATTTTAATTATAATAAAAGCAAAAATATCTAAATATTAAAATACTTTTAATTTTTACAGATAAAAAAAAATAAAATAAATTTATTTTACATATTTTTATTAATTAATAAAATATTATTTTTTATTCTAAGTATAAAAAATATATATTAAGTTAATGCCAAAAGAGTATTTTATTAAAAAATAGTGAAGATTAAAAAACTAGTTGGGAACATTTTTAAAAACTTAGTTAATTATTAAGGATGATGAGAATGAATTTAATAAAGTATGTGTGTTTAATGAATGGTAATATTTGACAATTTGACTTGTCTAAATTAGCAATGTAATAAATTTACAATGCGTTTGTTTGGGGATTTTTGATTGAATCCATTATTTATCCAATTTTTTTTTTTAAAAAAAAAATATCAAATCAAACATCTATTTTTTATTTTTTTATATTATAATAAAAATTAATTTTACATTCATTATACAACTATTCAAATTCAAATTTTTTACTATTTTAATCCCAATTCGAAATAAAAAATTGACAATAAATTTGACCCATTGATGGAAATTGGAATATAAATATAATTAAATTTAATCTCTTGTCATGTTAATAGTCCAAATGAAATTTGTGATTCCACCTTATTTCTAATACAGTACAAATATATTTTCCATGTTTTTTCATGATAAATTTTGAAATTATAATTAAGTTTATTTTAAAATAATAATTATTTAACTTTTGAGGAATATATTCACACTTTTTTGTCGCAAAAAGGATTTTGTTCAACAGTGGTGTTACATAATAATATCCATGTGGGGTATAGTGCTCAATTTTTTAATTTTTTAGATACTACCTTCGGTTTGTTTGTTTTGTTCTGTGTTTCGTATTGCAAATATAATTTTTTTTATTTAATATAAACAAATTTTAATAAAAGTATATTTTTTTACAAAGTTATCACATTAAAATGATATTTAAACGATTTTTTTTTTTTGAAAAAAAACAAATTATAAATCAAATACAGAAATACTCTTTTGTCAACCTCAAAATACTTTTACTTTTGACATTAAATATAATAAAATTGTCTTTTCAGTAAATAAATATATAACTTACTGTAACAATATTAACTTAAATCAGAGCAATTTCACTGAAAACAAATTTTGTTATTTTGTATTTGTGGATAAGAAAATTAGCAAAAAAATTTATGAATTTCAAGCCAATGGGGATAGTATATTTTGTAGTGTTTTGATAGATTGAGTTGTTTGAAATAGATAAAATTTGAATGAAAATTGTATTGAATTTTATATTTTAAATAGTAAATAAATATTTATATAATCATTTAGATAATTTTTTTATAAATGATAGGGAAAAAATTATTTTTGTTCCAATATAATCAAAATTCATCAATTTTGGTCCTAATATAAAAATCTTATCAATGTTGCTCCCAATATAACCAAAATTCATCATTTTTGTCTCAATATAACTAAAACTCATCATTTTTTGTCACAATATAAATTTTTTTTTATCAATTTTAGTCTTCAATATAATCAAAACTCATCATTTTTAGTCCCAATATAATCAAACTTTTTTTTTTTGGTCCCATCGTCAACAAACCAACGGAAAATGCTGACGTGAAAATAAATTAAATCTTATATTTATATTTGAATAAATTGCACAATCTTGCAAGTCCACGTCAATATTTTCCGTCGATTTATTGGCGGTAGGACAAAAAAAAGTTAAGATTTGATTATATTGGGACAAAAAATGGTGAGTTTTGATTATATTGAGACAAAAATAATAAATTTTGGTTATATTGAGACCAAAAATGATAAATTTTGGTTATATTGAAAAAAATAATTTTTTCCCTAAATAATATTAAAAGAATCTTGAAAACATAAGGAAATGGAGCCAGAATTTAGGGTCCAATAATTGCAGTCCTAAAATTACAATTTCTTTTAATTATTAAATTAAACCATGATTAGTAGGCCAATCACTCTTTTGTCTTTTCCCCAATATTATATCCATCTTAAGATTTTATATTAATTTTAATTAGTTTAATTTTGTATTATTTAAAAAAAAAAAAAAAAAAAGGTTAAAAGCAAGGGGTCTTGATGTGTGACCTAAAGTCCCAAAACACAATAAATAAAGATAAAAGTTGGTACACATGTTACCAAATCACTTGAAGGCACTAATTTTGGTCACATTTTGATGTTATGGTGTGCTTAGATTGCCAAATATTTAATCAAATAATCCAATTAAAAAGGAAAATTTGTAGCCCACTTTAAAAAAAAAAAAAAAAAAGCAATTTAAATTTTGTTTTTTAATTTATTTTATTTTAGTGTGTGAGAATTTCCAATAATCATTTTCAAAATGCATGTTGGACTTAAAAAAGTATGTAAATTAGGTCTGGAAACTCGCTAATATATATGTTCTGTTCTTTCAATAATTATCTTTCCATTATTTTTTCAAAAAAATTAATTAACCGTACACATTCATTATTTTATATTCTTTACATAATATATTTTATAATTAACGTACTTTTCAACAATTTCACAGAACAAGCAGACGCATAGTCTTTCTAGAACATAATAATCTATAAACTATACAAACAAGATAACTCTCTAATGGTGTAGGGGTTAGGCTTGTGACTGTGAGGTCATGGATAAAAAAAATTTTTGCCCCTGTAAGTGTATTAATGTAAAAAGCAGTAGCAATTGTATAGTAAAAATGAAAAAAGTAAAGTAATTTTATGGTGATATTGTTATTTATGGAAATAATACTACTATTTTGAAACGAACAAAAATTGTAAACAAAACTATTGTATTGGGACGGAGGAAGTATTATTTAGTAAAAATAATTATAAATTAAGATTAATATAAGTAAATAATTTAATTAAGATAAAAAAAATTATAAATTTTAAAATTTAAAATATAATTAAAGGGGATAATTATATTTTCAAAAATTAAAATGATAAATTATGTAAAACGGACAAAAATAAAAAATATAAACAAATTATATAAAAACGATAAAGTAATTAAAAATATATAGTAGAAAAGCTTAAAAAATTACTGTACAAATAGACCCGAAACTCATGTACTAAAAAAAGGTTCATGTACATTGTAATTGTACTGTATCATCAGCTCGATCATCTCTCACCGACTAATGATTGATAGCCCACTTTACAAAAGCAACTTAATTTATTAAACTCTTCGTCGGATATAACTTGTCTATATATTTTTTTGAAATAATTATAATTCTTCCGTCCGTGTTCAAGATTATCATTTACTGATTGGACTTAAATTTTTGAATATTAATATTATAATATGTAAATTTTTAAATTTAATATTATAATAAATTATAATTAAAAAGATAAAAATACCTTATTAGTATTGTATAATATAAAAGTAATGATATTTGTGTAATATAATGTAAATTGGAAGGGTATTTATTATGTTAGGTAAATAATACAATTACTAAATTAAAAAATAGTAACCTTGTTTTGATTTGAGACGAATGAAAATAAAAAATAGCAATTTTTCAATGGAACGGAGAAAGTATATTTTTAATAGTATTTTAAATTTAAAATTTATAAATTTTTTATTTTGGTAAAATTAATTTTATTAATATATTTTTAATTATTTATTAGTTATAATTTTTGTAAATTTTTGTATTTATAGTCTATAGAACAATTAAGGGTGTACTTCTTTTGCACTAAATTTTCAAATTTTAATATTTGAACTCAATATTTTTTTATTAAAAATATACTATTATTTTTGTTCCATAAAAAAGTTTTATTTTTTATTTTTATCAGTTTCAAAACAATTGTATAATTTTCTTAATTTAGTAATTGTATTATCTATCTAACATAATAAATATATTTCAAACTTATTATATATTATAAAAATGTCATTACCTTTATATTATACAATACTAATATGAAATGTCTTTTTTCTTATAATATAATATAATATTAATATTTAAAAATTTACGTAAAAAATAAATAATGTTACTTTTTATATAGGAGAGAGAATATTTCTTTTTTTACAAAATATTCTATAAATATTCAGTTTGTTCAGCAAATATTTTTCAGTAAAACAGTTCTCATAAATATTACTCAATTCGTCTCACTTCTTATGTCCATATTTTTATTTCTATTTGTTCTACTTATTTTGTCATTTTCTTTTTTTTAAAAAAAAAATTATACACTTTAATCTTATTTTATAAAATTTAATTTATGATTTTTTAAATTTTAATTATACTAATCAACTATCTTAATCTTAATTTATAATTATTTTTATTATACAATAATTATTTTTACTAATATATTTTTAATTATTTACTAATTATATCTTTCCTAGATTCTCGTGTCTACGATAAAACGAACAAAATATCCAAGACCAAAAAAATATTAAAATATATAAATATATACATATTAATATAATATATATTATCTACTCATAAAAAATTATTGATCATATAAAAATAATATATTAAAAAAATATAAATATACATATATTAATATAATATATATATTATTGACTCATAAAAAATTATTATTTAATATAAAATATTATTTTTATATTATCAATAATTTAAATAAAATATTATTTTTTATATTATAATAAATTTCATGTATCCCATACAAAAAATAAAATAAAATAAAATTAATTTATCTAAAAAGGACAACTTATAATTTTAATACTTCCTCCGTTCCAAATACCATGTTTCTGTCCGTTCTACATACCATGTCATTTTTTTTTTAAAATAATTACACACTTTAATTTCATTTTAAATTTTTTAAATTTATTTTTTTAAAATATTAATTAAACTAATTAGTTATCTTAATCTTAATTTATAATTATTTATATTATAAGATAATTATTTTCACTAATATATTTTTAATTATCTATTAATTATATCCTTCCTAAAATATTAAAATACTGTGTCTACGGTGTAATGTCGGAGGAAGTATAAAATTAAAATAAAATTTTTTCAATAAAAATAAAAGGAAACACATTCTAAAGTAAAACAACAGAAGTATCTCTTTAAAAGATGAGTAAAAAATAAAGTGTAAAAAAAAAGGTAAAAAAGAAAACAGAGCATAATTGGGTTTGAATCCCAAAGTGGTGAATTGATAGATAGATAGAAAGAAAACCACAATTGGGGTTTTGATTGATTTGACATGCTAGAACGACCACTTGCATGGTCCCGGGATCTAAGATCCAGAAGACTCAAATACCACCATTGTTGATGCGACCTGGACCTCCCAAACGCCTAGTTCCAACATTAAAATTTCCAACAACTGAACATTATTGAATTTAGCTACCGTTCATTAATTTTAGGTTATTAAAACTAAATACCTGTCAATTTTGATGCACTTTCCATCAATTTATAGCTTAGTTTCATCGAAAATGGCAAAAATAAAAAAAACCAGTGTATCCTCTTGGGCACCACAGCTGCCAGCTGGCGGGCTCCACACCGTCGACGGTGGCGATCACTGATCGACCTTTTCTTTTTTGTTTTCTCAAATTCAAATTCAAATTCGAATATCTCCAAAATATTGCACAAAAATTGCAGATAAAAAAAACCCCCCAATTTAGATATAAGCTTATAAACCCTAATTGCAATGGCAGAATCGATGAAGAAGATGAAGTTTTGTGCTAATCAAGGGCATTTGGTCCAGTGCAGTAATTAACGAGATTGTTCCAAACCCACTGGACCAAGAACCGCCGCCGGAGTCCGTGCATATTGTAGGTGGCGCCGTCTTTGTCGTTCAGCATTTGGCCGGTGTAGGAGCCGCCGCCGCCGGTGCCGTAGATTCCCTCGCACAAATCGGCGATTTCCACCGGAAAAACTGGGTCTTGGCCAGCGTACCAGGCGTTAACTAACGGATTCGTCGCGACCTCAGCGATTTCGTGCGCGATTACGCTGATCATGCCGTCGACGCCGACGTCGCCGTTAGGGGACTTAACGGCCGTCAGCGTCGGAATGTACGCCGGCACGGCGAAGGGGTAGGCGCAGACGCCGGGGCAGAGGTCGCCGGAGTTGCCGACCCAGGCGTAGGGGAGAGTGTAGCCGACGATCGACGGGAAGGTGAAGTAATGGAAGCCGCAGACGTTGTTGCAGAAGTCTTGGACGTAGACGTCGCCGGAGGTGAGGAGGAGGTAGACGCCGCCGCGGGGGTTGATCGGAAGGGGGCGGGAGGAAGCGGCGACGGCGGATTTGATGACGGACTGGACGGAGAGGCGGGTGAGGGATTTGCCGTGTGAGTAGAACCGGTCGGTTTTCTCCGGACCGGCGAGGACGGTCCGGGAGATGTTGGCGCCGGTTTGGTCGGTGTACTGCTGGACGGTTCGCCACCAGCCGGCGACGGAGGGCCGCCGCGCGCCGGCGGCGGAGATGGAGGAAATGAAGTCGCGGATGATGCGTTTCTGCGCCGGCCGCCACCGGCCGTACCAAATTGGGTAGACGGTGATGTTGGCTGTGAGGACGGGGCCCATGTGGTATTTCAGGCGGACGAATTCCGACGACCCTTCGTATTTTTTGGAGGCGCCATACAGGAGGGCGGTGGTGTTGCGGGCGGCGGAGGGGGGCCAGGGCCTCCAGGAGACGGCGGAGGGGGCGGCGGCGGAGAGGAGGGCGGCGAGGAGGAGGAGGAGGGGGAGGGGAGTCATGGGGGGTGGGGATTTGGGAATTTTGATGGGGTAATACTAATTTGTTGGTGATAATTGATATATACATATAGGGGGTGGGGTGCCGGGGGTGGGGTAGGGGGGTGGGGGACCTCGGCGAATGTAATGGTAATGGAGGCCAGATGGGATTCTTAAAAGTGCGGAGGAGAGGGGGGTGGGGCCGGTGGCCGTGGTGGGGTGGTTTGATGGCGACAGTGATGTTGTCGTAGGGTGGGGATTTGGCCCGACCCGGTAAGGGATCCGGGGTTTTGGCGGGAAGGGTAGTTTGGGGAATTTGGGTTGGGGGTGTTGTCTGTTTGTGAGTGTTGTGTGGTTTGTGAGAGATGAGTAGATTTGAGAAGAGTGTTTTCGGGTCGAGTTCGAAAAGATGGATTACGTTTTATTTTGTTATTTTAATATGGTAAAATTGTACAAAGATTTATGTGTTGGATTATGTTTTATTTTATTATTTTAATATGGTAAAATTGTACAAGATACATGTGTTCATGAAATTGTGTCCATTTTTTTATATTTTAAAAAATATGTAAGATTTTTTTTTATGATTTTATAAATTCTTTATCTAAATAATATATAGATTCGCTCACAACATAAGTAGGTGAGCAACTGCTCAGGTCCATATTTTAAAATATTATTAATTATTATTAAATTTTAAAATTAAATTTTACTATTAACTTTTAATTTATATTTTTTCTTTTTCATGATTATTTAATTTAATTTTAAATTCTAATATTTTTTTATTTTTTTTGTATATTTTTCTTCATAATCGTATCTTATTCTATCTTTTCTAATTTAATCGTCGTCTACACTTCTTTATCTCACGTCCTATCGTACTGCACCCATCAACTCAGATCAAACTCGTTTAGCGTTCTCTCCTTTGTTTCATCCACATTCAGTCTTTTTCGCGTTTTGAATTTTCGGGAAGACTGTCTTTCATCTTATTTTATCTTATTTTCTCAGATCGATTGTTATATTCATCATATTCATCTCTTGTCTAATTGACAGTGATATTATTTTGAAAATACATTTTAATCATGTATAAAATACATTTTAATCATATATTTAAGAACTTATAATTTATTTTCGCTTAAAACTCCAAAAAAATCCGAAACGGCTTGTATACATCAACGCAGGATCCATATCCTATTTCTCTTGTCCAACTAATAATAAGGTAGTGGGAGAGTTAGGACCAATTATGCGCTCGAACAATAGGGGGTGTATGTGTCGAGACGGAAAGAATATTAAAAATTTTAAAAATATATATATACATATGGTTTTGTTTTGTATTTTAGTTTGAAAGATTTTTTTTAGCTTAAATTATAGAAAATTGTCTACATAATATAAAAATAATGATATATATTTAATATATTAATTTTTTTATTAAAAAAAAAATGTTCAAAAATTTTGATTAGTATATTAGTTTAAATAATAAAAACATCAAAACTAAACACTCACCTGCTTATTTGTCACAGTGCATGGCATTCAACTCTTGAAGACTTTCTGTGATTTAAATAAAGCACGTATTTAATAAACGAGAGGTACCTACAGAAGAGACTGATATCTAATTATTAAACGTTCGGACAGTTAGGGCAATTTATCATCGTATGATTGAAATTAAATCAATACATTTCTTATGTATTTCATCGTATTATCTTTTGTTATCACTTTATTTTTATATATTTGTAATAAATTAATATGTATTTTATGTTGAAATCACTCATTATGTGTGTTTAATATATTTGCATTTAACAATCACCACAACATTAAATCCCAACATTTTAGAACTATATATTTTTTGAAAAATAATACTCCCTGATCATAAATGAATATTCATTTGTTTTTTGCACGTAATTTTAGAAATATTAGTACTCCCTCCGTCCCGGAACTAAATATCCATTTGCTTTTTGCACGTAGTTTTAGAAATATTAGTATTATAGTGAGATATAGTAAGAATAAAATATAAATGACTAAAATAACTTTATTAGTATGTGTGATATAAAGGTAATGACATTTGTGTAATATATTGTAAGTTGTAAGGGTATTTGTAATATTAGGTAAATAGTACAGTTACTTAAAAAAAAGAAGGAAATGAATACTTTGTTATGGGATGGACTAAAATGGAAAAATGAATACTTTGTTATGGGACGGAGAAAGTATTATATGTAGTAGAAATAAAGTAGAAATGACTAAAATAACCTTATTAGTATGTGTGATATAAATGTAATGATATTTGTGTAATATATTATAAGTTGTAAGAGTATTTGTAATTTTAGGTTAAATAATACAATTATTAAAAAAGGAAATGAATATTTTGTTATGAGACGGACTAAAATAGAAAATAGATACTTTGTTATGAGACGAAGGGAGTATATACATATTTTTATAGAATATTTCATCATAGATTATTTTATAGGTAAATTATATAATACTTCATTGTGTTGTAGTAAAAATTGCATAAAATATCTTATATTTTATTTATTGCCCTTGTATGGTCTGGGGAGGCTTACTTATCGCGTGAGATCTGTTTATCTTAATGTAAAATTTGCACGAAACACTTTTTTATCCAAAAAATAATATTTAATTGTAAATATGAACTATTATTTTAATACTGAATTCAAACAAAAAAAAAATTTAAACTATATAAAAAGAAATGAAATATCATATACCTTATACTCCTTCCGTCCCAAATACCATGTCCACGTTGCCATTTCTGTCCGTCCCGCATACCATGTCACTTTTCTTTTTTGGAAAATGATTACACACTTTAATCTCATTTTAAATTTTTTAGTTTTATTTTTTAAAATTTTAATTAAACTAATTAGTTATCTTAATCTTAATTTATAATTATTTATATTATAGAATAATTATTTTCACTAATACATTCTTAATTATCTACTAATTACACTCCTCCTAAAATACCGTATCTACAGTGTAGCAGACACGGTATCTGAAACGGAGGAGTACTATATTATTTATTAAAAATTGTTAAAATAAATAAAAACAATTTAAAATTACGGCAAGTTATTTTACCCTCAAAAAGTGGGGTTTGTAAAATAAAAAAACAAAAACGCACATCATGTCGTGCTCCCTTGAGAAATCATTAAAGAAACTTTCCAATTTTCAAGAATTGTAATGGATATTTCAATACGTCGGTCCCCTATAATAATTTGGATGTTTCCCTTTGTTTGTAAGTAGGATGATCATTCGAATTTTCGATTTAAATTTTAACAAATTTGAATTAATCTGAATTTTTAATTTTATTTTATTTTCCTAAAAATCAATTTGAACCGATTTGAAATATCCAAAAATTGAAACTGAAAATTTTTAAATCGAAAATTCAAAATTGGAAATAAGCACATGCATATTTAGGGGTGACAATTCGAATCGACTTTGTACCGTCCGATTGCAAATCGGCCTTTCCCGAGTAGAACCCGATTTGAAATCAGGCAGGCTTTTTTTTAAAAAAAAAAAAAATTTCCTCCGTCTCATAACAAGGTATCCATTTATCTTTTGCGTTATTGTACTTAACGTTAAAAATATCCTTATATTTGTATAATTTTCTATACGAATGTCATTATATTAGTATTATAAGACACTAATATAAATTTTTTTGCAATTTTTCCTTGATTTGTAATATGTTTTAATATAATAATTAATATCCAAAGATCAAGACACAAAAAATAAATGAATACTTCGTTATGGGATGGAGGGAGTAATTAAATTATTTTGTTTTTAGCTTTAAGTAAAAATAAAAAATTGAACCCACAATCAAACAGATATTATTTCCGTTCCTTAGCAATTTATCTATTTTTTTCATTTTGGCTCGTCTCATAACAAAGTATCAACTTTTTTTTTAGTAATTGTACCTAACATTACAAATACCCTTCCAATTTATAATATATTGCACAAATATCGTTACTTTTATCATACCATACTAATAAGGTTAATTTAATTTTTTTACCTTTATATTTACTTTATTCTAATATAATACTAATATTTCTAAAACTCCGTGCAAAAAGCAAATAGATATATAAATATGTGACGGAGTGAGTATAACCAAAAACTTTTTCATGAAGCTATATATATATATATATATTTTTTATCTTTACTTCAAAATTTAATATATATAAATTTATTAAAGTTTTAATATTAAATTTAAAAATCAAGTCAGGCACTAGCGGGTCATGAGTTCGGGCATGACCCGATTCATTAGCGTGTCGGGCCAAGCACAATCCAAAAAATTTCGGATTTATATTTGAAAATTTTAAATATAATTTTTTTGTATCGTGCTCAAATCAAACTTTAGATCATATTTATATTTTGCCACCCCTAATATTGCAATTCCTTGTAAGACTTTTCAAATAGTATAAAATAAAATATAGTTACTCCAAAACAACAATGTAAAAATCCATCTACTCGTAAATTCCATTACATACATTATACTTGTAATTTGAATGAGAATATTAACTTGAATTTTTATTATTATTTTTTAATATAATACTTTGTAACAAAAATATATTTTTATTAAAAATTATATAAAATAATTAATATTAATTTCCCTTTGAAATTTAAAAAACAAAAAAGAAAAAAATATATATAAATAATGGAAAAAAAAACCCGCCTAAATCTACTATGAAGGTGATGCCATACATGTAAATACAAAAAATATGAAAGTTTGTACGTGGTTTTGACATTTTCGGCCTTTGACTTTATGTAAAAATGAATTTTATTATGATTATTTTTATTAAAATAAGAGAAAGATACTTTGAAATATGACATACGAAAATAATAAAAAAAGTATTGTTAGAATATTTTTATTTTTTTTTTGGATGAGAATCGAACTCCCAATCTTCAGAAGCCAAGAATTTTGCCATTAGACTATACATCATTCTCTAAATTTTTATAAATTAGTTTTAAATTCATTATATAAATAAATATATATATTTTATTTTGTATTACATAAAAAAAATTATTATCTACAAAATAATATGCATATTGTATATATTTTATTTAAAATATAATGATTAAAAAATTATAAATACCAACTAAACTATTTATATAAAATATAATATTATAATCTATTATTAATAATTTAGTAATTTGATTACTTAATACCGTATTCTTAATTACTCCCTCTGTTCCATATAATTTGTTCTTATTTTCTATTTTTGTCTTGTCCCACATAATTTGTCATTTTTTTTTGGAAAATTAATTATACACTTTAATCATATTTTAAAATTTAAAATTTATTTATTTTTTAAATTTTAATTAAACTATTTAGTTATCTTAATGTTAATCTTTATTTATAATTATTTTTATTAAATAATAATTATTTTTACTAATATATTTCTTAATTACTTACTAATTATATTTTATTTAAATTCCCGTATATACAGTAATACACTCATATTAGATGAGACGGTGAGAGTAGACGGGACTATGATTTTAAACCTAAGTAAAAACCCATAATGAATAAATGGAGTGTAGTGTGTCAATCACGGAGTGAATGGCGCTGTTGCTGCTGTCCTTTTAATATTTAATTATTTATTAATATTTCCGTCGTCGGAATCGCCAATCGGGCCGGGCCCACGTGTCTTCTTTCATTATAGTACCAATCAATTGATCCCACCCGCCGAGTGGACACTTTCTCATTGGCCGCCAGAATCTGTGTCCCGCACGCGCTTCTGTTATTTGTTTGTTTAAGCCAAAGAAATCAAAAAAAAATTCTCTCTATTTTCATTTTTTTTCTAATTTGCAGATAAATTGAAAAAAAAATGAAATTTGTATATTTGATTATATATTTTTATTTAATTTTTATATATGTTATTATGATTTTATAAAAATTTATATCAAAATTATTATTATTATAATAATTAAAAACTTACCAATTAAATATGATTATTTATTCACAAAGTTTTATTTTATTGATTTTTTTTGTTATTCATAGTTTTCCATTATTAATTTATTTTTTTAAATTTTTTTACTTATAATATGTTGTCTCAGTTAAATCAATTCATCCTGTATGTAGTAATTTTTTTACACTTTTCAATTTGAATTTTTTTTTTTTTTTTTACAACTTTTTTCTTTGTTATCAATTCTATTATTTGTACCAAATGAGTGCAATAATAATAATAATAATAATAATGAAAACCATGAATAAAAAAAGATTTCAAATAAAGTAAAATGTTATGAATAAGTAGTCATATTTAATTGGTAATTTTTAATAATAATAATTTTGATATAAGTTTGACGGTTTTAAATGATAAAAATATTTATTTATAAAAAAGAACGATGAAAATAAATGAATGTTCCATGACACTTCCTTATTTTCAAAATAATAGTTCATTTTCGTTCCTTCAATATCTATCTCAAATATCCCTATTATTTTGGATCGACGACGTTAAAATTGAAAAAATATCAATTGTTATTAAAGAGAAAATAATACTCTTTCCGTTGACACAAATGACCTTTTTACCGTTTTTATCCATCTCCGAAAAGATGACAATTTTTTATTTTTAATAAATTTATCAAATATTTAACATACTTAATAAATATAAATCAACAAATAAATGTTTTATTTATTTATATTATATAAAATTTTATTCACCATAAAATAATATTCATATTGTATATATTTATTTAAATATAATATTAAAAATATTTAAACACATTTTAAATTTATTTTAAACATTAAATAACCAGTACCCACTATATAAATAACTAATCTAGTTAAATTCTCGTGCATAAATAAAAAGCTTCATCTCATCTTTGCAAATTGCAAGGACTATATGTACAAAAGCAAATAGTATATTTTAAATAGAAAACGATATTAAGTGAAAAGACAACCACACCCCTAGAAAAAATTATGAACAGAGCATTGCTACCACTAAAACTTCAATAATAAATCAGAACGCTGGCCTAAAACTTATCTAGCATTCTTTAAATAATAATAATAATAATAAATAAAAAAACTAATAAAATCTAGATATGAAAATGAACTAAATAATTAATCCAACCTAATATTCCAAATTCCATGCACTAATCAGCACTCTATATTCAAAAAAAATTGATCAAATCATTGCACTCATATACTGAGAGGCAATTATATCATCATAAAGTAGATTGGCCTTTTAAGCATTGTAGCTACTGAAAAATAAAATTAAAAAATGTCAAATGATGCATCACAAATAAATAATGTCAGTAGTTATTGTTCATTAGCTTGTATAACTCATAGTAAGCAAGAACCAATAGAGACAAAAAACAAAATTCTAAAATGAAAAATTCCTGCCCAAGTATGCTAGGTAAGCCGACATACCATTGCAGTCGATCATCTTCAGCAACCATCCAAAATTCTTCGAGCTACTCTGTAAGCCTAAGCAACAAGAGTGCTTGCAGTGGTCGACTCGCTGGTGAAAAAAAATATTGGATAGATTGCATTAATCTAAAGATATGAAAATAACATACAAAAATATTAATTAGTTGAAGCTAAGTACCTACTTAATGAAAAATATTAATTACATCAAGTAAAGTCCTATCAAGATCAACACACTTACCGACCTCTACTAATTCGAAAACCAAAAGATGACCGAAAAGTGTATATTATGCTCAGAAATATATCCACAAAACTATTTTGTGGGGAAGAAGAATAGTGTAGCCACATCCAAACACACCATGATCGGAAAATCTATCAACTAAAAGTATTTCCAGTCGCCAAATTAATCAAACATATTGATCAGAAAATCAACCTAATAGTTTACTTTAAAAAACAAACAAATGGGAAAACCTTGATGGGGTTCATCTACCAAAGAATATCTATGTCTGGGCATACATATATATATATGTGTCTAGAAATTAATAAACATGTTTACCTCACACCCCCCATGAAATCAACATCTTTTAATATATAAATACATGAATAAACACAAGTTTTCGAATTTAAGTACCGAAACAACATTATATCTAATTCACACCTGTCTTTTACCAAGGAGTTTAGAAACTAGTGGTAAATGCACTAATGGTATTGATACAAGACAAAAATGAAACATCATGATAAAATAACAAAAAAAATCAAATTGGCATTGCAATGGTATTTATCAAATTAGAAGTATTCAAAAGAAAGTCACTGTAAGCAAAATAGAGAAGAATGAGAACAGATGATTACTATTTCCAGACGGGAGGGAGCTTCTTGGTCTTCTTGTAGTATCGGGCGAGTCTGTGAATCCTGCTCTCCACCAAAATCAACCTGAATTTAGAATCTTTATCCTTCCTGTTCCTTTCCAAATGCTTCCTGATGGCTACAGCCTTTTTTATCAAGTGATACAAATCCTCCGGAATCTCAGGCGCGAGTCCTGTACGATTATATAATACCAATGCACCAGTAATATAGCAGCCACATTAATCAGGAAGATTGATTTTGAAAATGAGAGGATTGTATAAAGAAATGGTACCGTGCGCCTTTAGAATACGAAGGATTTTGCTTCCAGTAACACTCTTAACCTGCGCAATGCCGTGAGAATCACGAAGAATCACACCGATCTGGGAAGGCGTCATTCCTTTCTTCGCAAACTTGCAGATGCTTTCCTCAACCTGTGGACTCAACAAAAATTGAATGAATTTGGGCGACCGTCTGATTACTCAAACATTGCGAATTATGAGTAGAGAATTTACATCTTCAGTCGAGGATTTCAGCCAGCTAGGAGGAGTTCTCTTGTAGGGTAGAGCGGAGGCGGAAATGCCCTTACTGAAATAGACAGCATGAAGAATTTGAATTTGATAGACAGATTATCATATAATAAAGCATACAAAGATGGAGTACCCGCGGCTGTGCATACGACCCATGGCGGCGGAGGAGGTGGCGCGTCTCTGTATTTGCCGATGAAGTTCTGCCGCAAATGAGGACGAAGGCCACAAACCCTAACTCCGACGAAGGAATTTGGCGACTAGGGTTTTATTATGAATATTAGATTGTTGTTGGGCCGGCCCGGCCCAATCACCCATATTTTATGGCTAATGTGCTTGTTTTTTTTTGTTTTTTGTTTTTAAAAAATCATACTATTAAATATTTGTTTTTCTATTAATGAATTTGTATTATACTAGCTTTTTATTTCTCGCAATGTTACTTTTATTTGTATTATTTTAATTTTAATTTTTTATTTAAAATTAAATATTAGATATTTCTTTATATTCAAATTTTTATATTTATAAATAATTCAAAAGAAACAATTGATCTTTCAAATATTTTTGCTATAAAAATAAAATATACTCTTCCGTCCCACGTACCGTATTCATGTTGCCGTCTGTCTCACATACACGTCACTTTTATTTTTTAAAATAATTATACACTTTAATCTCATTTTAAACTTTTTTAATTTTATTTTTTTTTAAATTTTAATTAAATTAATTAGTTATCTTAATCTTAATTTATAATTATTTATATTATAATATAATTATTTTCACTAATATATTTTTAATTATCTACTAATTACATCCCTCCTAAAATAATTATTTTCACTGATATATTTTTAATTATCTACTAATCTTAATTTATAATTATCTACAGTGTAGCAGTAGTATTATTTTATATTACACAATATTATATTAAAATATTATTTAAATTAAACCTCAAATAAAAATATAAATTCAAATCAAAGCCAAACTTTTTATTTTTTCGTTGGTCCAAATTGTAGTTCCCATTTTTATTGTATATGATATGTAAGACTATATAAAGGTATGATGACTATAGTATAACAAAAATCACTTATAAATATCACAACAAAATACTTATTTTTATTTTAAAAAATCACTTCTAAAAACAAGTTTCATTCAATTTTTTACAAAATATTTTCAATAATTTCAAACCAACGGACCGAATAAACCCTAACAAACGCACCCCTAAAACCTTAATATGCCTAACAAACTGACAAGTGCAAATCAATAATCAAGAACATGCACCCAAACTGAACAAAGTGTTCAACAACAACATTAAAAACTGTCCTCAGAATCAATTCAAACATGAATCAAATAACCTTAAAACATTCAAAATCAAACAAAGGGCCCTAAAATTCAAACCAGAAATTTGGAGACATTGAAAAGAAGTCTTGTGGTGGAATAATGAATGTCTGGAAGTGCACTTTGGTACAATCCTAATATTGGAACAACCAGAGATGGGATCGATCATCTGCAAATGAAATTTACGATTGATAAGGTTATTGGGGCAGAAGCAAATAATTTACATGCTCAACAAAATATCGAATACAATGAAACTAATTTCTGATAGTTCGAGGGAATCCAAGATTGAACATAAACAAAATTTCGATTTTCACATACACGTAACTAATTGCAATTACTTCAGAGACTGTCTACATAAGGAAATGTTGAAAAGGGCTCATTTCTACTTTTGTGTATAAAATAAAAGACGTTTATATGAAGCACCCGACAAGAACAAGTATAAATAGGTTACAAACAAACTTCTTTCTTCGCCATTGAAACTATCTCATGCTACCCAATAAAGGGCTCTTAAATCTCCCTCTCTATCATTTCGCGAAATTCCCCTAATATGTGAGTGAACCGACAATTATCCTCCATCGATTGTACATTTTGAGAGCTATGCATTTTCTTGTAACCCTTAGTTTGGTGAATCTTAAGTGGCAAGTAGAAAAGCAACAGGAACAACAGTACGCCACTATCTTTTGCGAAAAATATCTAGCTTTAGATCGGTCTCATATTCCATTCATAGAATAAAGTTGCTAATGCTTATCTTTGCTGATGATCTTCTGCAACAAACGATATTTATGCAAATGATTATTATCTATAAAAGTCTATGATAGTAAAAACGATGAAGTTCCATAGATGATAATGCTTAGCAATTCACATTCTAATCAATCTATTAGCCAAGCTCAATGATTTTCCCCTAACTTGCCCATCCATCCATTTCTCAATTATTTAACCTAATTCTCCATTAAAATGCAGGCCAGAAATGCTTCGATAAACTGTTTGTACCAAGACTTGATATACTACCAACATCTTCAGTTCTAAAATTCCATCTTCCTAATTCTCAGTAACAATCCAAGACTTGGAAACCTAATTATAAGTAACTGAGCAGAGACTATCAACAGGATATAACAACAATCACAATGCTGCATATGGAGATATGAAAAATATATTCGATAATAAGTCAATATAGGTTACTGAAACAGAAACAAATTCACAGGACTCAATGATCACCTGCTTACTTGGCGACCATGCGCGCGATGAAATCCTCATACCGGATCTTTCCATCTGGCTTAACATCCACCTCGCGGATCCACTCGTCAAACTCCGCAGGCTCCAATTTCTCCCCAATGCTGGTAAGAATGTGCCTGAGATCCGAAACTACGACGCATCCAGTGCCTTCCTTGTCCAAAACCTTGAAGGCGTCCCGAAGCTGACGATCGAACGGCTCCGGCTTCAGATGCTTGGACATGAGGTCCAGGAATCGGCTGAAATCGAAGGGCGAATCAAGCTTCTCCTCGGAAACGATGGCCTTGAGCTGAGCCTGGGTAGGGTTTCCGCCGAGGGAGCGCATCAGGATTCCGAGCTCCGACGGCGCAATCCTGCCGTCCCCGTCGGTGTCGAACAATTGGAAGGCTTCCTTCATGGATGATACTTGATCGTCGCTGAGCCCCATTTTTGCGCAACTCTGCAAGATTTCCTCTGCTCTGCCTCTGATGCTATTACCTTTTGGCAACTCGAGATTCAAAATAAAGTCTTCCCCGTTGGAGTTTGTGTTTGGACTCCTCGTTTGAAATGAACGGACTCGACTGAAAATACTAATAAGTAGGAGGACTACCAGATAATTATTTTAAAAAGGTTTGTAGTTGTACGATGTCTTTTTGTCAATTAATTTTTTTACTCAACTCAGCTCCGAATTAAATATTCATTTGTTTTTTCGCGTAATTTAAAAAAATTAGTATTATATTGAAATATAATAGAAATGACAAAAATAATTTATTAGTACGTATGATATAAAGATAATGATATTTATGTAATATATTGTAAGTTGTAAGGATAATTGTAATGTTAGGTATAGAATATTATTTTTTATTTCTTTTATAAAATAAAATTAGTTGCTACTATTCCAAAATGTGTACTAAATAAACTCGGTCAAACCTTTATTTTGTTTATTTGTTTGATAAAGTGTTTGATATTAGATTTTATTTATAAAAGTTAATGCAACTTCAATGTAGATACAAAAAATTTAAAAAGAATATAATGAATAAATAATAAAAAATATATAAATAAATAAAAATAATTATCATATAATTAAAATAAATTAAAATTAAAATAACTGATTAATTTAATTAAATATTTTTAAAAATATAAAATTTAAAATAAAATTAAAGTGTATAAATATTTTTTTTAAAAAATGACAAAATAAATGAACATACGAAAATGAATATATGAACACCGTAAATGAACGGATAAAATATGTTTTATTGAAAATGATACAGAATAATACTTTATCCGCTCACTTTAAACCTATAAATATTTTTATTTATGTCTGATCAATTTAAAGATTTATATTTATCTTTTTAATAATTGTAAATTATACCATTAATTATTAATATTTTTTACCCTTATTTATTATTTTTACCATCACTTTATTATAAATGACAATTTGATCTTTATATTATTATATATATATATTATTAAAATATTAATTTTTAAAAATTTAAATTTAAAAAAAAAAAGGTAAATGTAAACCCGACAAAGAAAGTAGTACTCCCTCTGTCCTATAAAGAAGCATCTATTTGTTTTTTCAAGTAATTTTAGAAATATTAGTATTATATTGGGATATAGTAGGAATAAAGTAGAAATGACTAAAATAACCTTATTAATATGTGTGATATAAAGATAATTGTATTTGTGTAATATATTGTAAGTTGTAAGGGTATTTGTAATGTTACGTAGATAATACAACTACTAAAAAAGAAATAAATATTTTATCATGGGACGAACTAAAATAGAAAAATGAATAATTTGTTATGGGAGGGATGGAGTATTTAATACTATCAAAGGGTAAATATATATATTGCAACATAACCATTCATATATTGCATTGTTGGTCCATGCTGAGCCTGCACGGATTTGATTTTGAATTATCTCCAAAAGATCTCATACTAGTGAAGTTTACATGTTACTTATAAGGTGCGTAATTTTTTTCGGACTTGAGTTTGGACCAAACAATTTATATAGTCTATTTATTTATTGCTTCTCCCATTCAAACACAATAATATAATACTCCATTCAGTTTATATAATTTGGTTTTATTTTTCATCTGAATGTGTCTCACATAAATATTTTTTTAAAATATTTTTAATTATATTTAATTTTATAATTTTATTAATTTTAATTAAATTATTTAATTAATTTAATAATAATGTATATAAATAATACCTTAGTCGGTAAGACTAATAAAAGCAAATAAACACAAATTAAGTTAAATTATTAATCAAGGTGAGTCAAGCCCGGGAAGGCCCGTCCGCTAATGGCGGTTGATCTCCGTAACATAAACATCTCTCGTCCCGCTTTTGATCTTATCGCTTGATTTCTATTGAAACTGTCTTCTCTTTCGTGGACGCCAAGAAAAAGCAAAGCAAAGGTTGAAGGTAGATTGGGTTTTTGTGCGCGATTTAATAGCCAGCCATGGGAAACCTCTGCTTTGGGTGCGTGGACCAAGCCAGCATAGGGGTGGTTGAGAAATGGGGGCGTTTCCACCGCCTGGCCGAGCCAGGCTTCCAATTCTACAATCCGTTCGCCGGGGAGTGGCTTGCCGGAGTTCTGTCAACAAGGATAAACTCTCTCGATGTCAAAATCGAGACCAAAACTAAGGTCTATTCATCGTTTACAAAATTAAAATAGATCGATGGTTGAGTTTCGGAGCGTGTTGTGAAGATCTGGATGGTGTTTCTCTGCCTTTTCGATCTTATGATTCTTCGATGTCTGTCTTGTTTGTCTGCTATTTATTGTTTCTGTCGTTTTGAAAGGAATTGAGTTTTGTTCAGTGGTAGAAAACTTGTTAATGTTCATGTTGATTGAAGCTGAGTTAGGTTTAAGTAGGCGCTTCACTTTTGAGCTCATTATCGTTTTCTCTGCAAATTTCTGTTCTAAAAGAAATAGCAATGGATTTGTTGGTTAGATTTGAAATGGGTAATTGCACATTTTCGTAGGCTATGTATATGTGTATGTATATGCTTGATTATAAATATTTGGTTCTGTAAATTTGCACAGCTAGTGTATTTGAGATCATCATGGGAAGTGATGTTTGAATAGGGAGAAAAAAAGTGAAAAAAAATTACAAATTACTCGAAATTAGAGAATAAAACTGGTAGTCGAGCATATATATATATAGATAGATAGCTACTGAAGTGGCAATTTTCTTGATTTTAAAAATGGTGATTGTAGCAACTATTTTGTACTTTCATATCTTCATGGTAAAATACTACAAGTTGGGTAACAAGCTTTGTGATTTAATAGATGAGGAAATGGGAAAATTGCAATTTATGGTTTTTTTTTTTACCAAAGAAATACTAAAAGCAATTATGTAGGTCGATTCTTGTATTAAAATGAAACTTGTAGCTTATTCATTTGATTAGTATAATCAATATATTTGCTCCATCTTACAGTCTCCACTTCAAGTGGTTAGCGTGAACACACTTTGGATGATGATTTCATATGCGTGCTGACGATTATCAGAATTTTCTGTGAATGGTTATTTAGTTTATCTGCAGTTCCTGAGGATGTTTTTTGTAAGTACTTTGTTGATATCTAACTATCTATGCAATGCCACAGGATAACGTGTTTGTTCAAATGCATTGTACGATTCAATATAGAGTGATCAAGCAAAATGCAGATGATGCCTTTTATGAATTACAAAATCCACAAGAGCAGATTCAATCTTACGTGTTTGATGGTAACTAATTTTTCGTCATATCTTTCATTTTCTTCCTGCCAACCATATATTTCCAGAATTTCTAATATTGCATATGTTTGTGTTACTAGTGGTCCGAGCTCATGTTCCAAGAATGACTTTGGATGAGCTATTTGAACAAAAGGGTGATGTGGCTCAGGCTGTATTGGAGGAACTTGAGAAGGTTAATATATACATTTACATTTACATTTACATATATATATATTATGTGTGTGTGCTTTCAATTTGTCATACATAATCTGGTGATTTGAACAATCTTCATGATATGATTTTTTTTGAGTATCTTCTTCTCTAGTCTATGAGATTTAAGAGAAGAATGCAGCCTACCTGCATCAAAAGGGTTATTGGAGTTGTGGACTTCTTTCATTCAATTCCCTAACTTTGCACAGCTTTACAGTGTTACGACAATGACTTACAAGTGTTATATCTATGGGGTTTTACTAGTATATAATCTAGACCCAAAACTTATTTGAATCTTCGTGTGGGAAAACTGAAGACAAATAATGCACGTTCATGTTTGAGCAATTATTTCTCGAGCTTCACCTTACATTAAGATCCAATCGATGTCTCTAGTGCTAAACCAGAATTTTATAACCAATTTCTACGTAGATCTGTTACTTAAGAAGAGGTGCCGTGCGTTTTATATGCTGGCAGAAAGGTCTATACTAGAACGAGGATGATCAAAGCTTCCAATTTTTGTCAGGTGATGGGAGCATACGGGTACAACATTGAGCACATATTGATGGTTGATATTGTTCCAGATCCCGCTGTCCGGAAAGCAATGAATGAGATAAATGCTGGTAAATTGTTCAAGAGCTTAATGTGATTGTCGAAAAATTGTTTTAACTCACAAATTATATATCCCTGCTTGTTATTGATTCCATATTTTCAAAATCGGTTTCTAAAATTTGTTGTACTTCTAAATTTTGTAATATAAGTTTATAGTTAGTCATATTTTTTCCTTGCTAACTTTCAAATTAGGTTTTTGCTTTGTTGCTTCTAATGGGAGAGCAACCAAGCGCTTTTCATCTGAGTTTGCTTCATCTTGTTTTTCATCTTGAAGATGATAATATTTTTGTATAGGATATATCGAGATGGAATAAAAGTTTAAAACTGTAATTTGTTCATTTTAGGGTTTTTTTGGGGTTTGGTGGTTTTGGTTGGTTTAAATAATAGTTTGGTGTGATGGTTTATGAGACGAAAATATATAATTTGATTGAGTAAGGTGAAAAGTGAATAATAAAAAAACAAAAAGAAATCTGAAAAGAACAACCTGGCTTACTTTGGATGGTAGTTCTTTTGGTGTTTTTGAAATATTTTACTACTTCTATTCTATAAGAAGGGTATGGTTTGCATTTTACGTGATTGTGTTTAACATTTAAATTATTTTTATACTCTACAAATGTCATTGTATTTGTATTATAATAGACTAATAAGATATTTTTGTATTTTTTTTTCTTGATTTATACGTGTTAATATAATAATTAATATTCAAATATCAACATGCAAAAGGCTCATGGTACTCTTCGTATGGGATTGAGGTAGCATTTGATTTTTTATTTTTATTTTTCTATTGGGAAAGTAGTTGTATGTAATATTTTAAATAAAAAATATTAGTGACATTTTGAAAGAAAAATAAGCTTCATACCCTAATTTTTTAAGGTGAAAAATTATTTTAAGATAGATTGTGTGGAAAAATAGCTGAAAGCACAAAAAGAAAACAAACCTTTTGGGTGTGTGTAGTCTTTATTTTGTGTTCAAATAATAGTTTGATGTCATTTTTTGCCTAAGAATAGATATTTATTTTAATAGAGAAGGGCATGTTAAATCATTCATTTCCTGCCCTTTTTCATTCTTCGGGTTTAGTTTAATTTATATAGCGATGAATTATATCATTTTGGTTATAGTTGTTGCTGCTAACATCGCCATTTTAATTCGATATAACAGCGCAAAGAATGCAGCTTGCCAGCGTATACAAAGGCGAGGCAGACAAGATCCTCCAGGTCAAGAAAGCCGAAGCAGATGCAGAAGCCAAGTATCTCGGCGGAGTCGGGGTCGCGCGACAGAGGCAGGCCATAACCGATGGCCTTCGGGAGAATATTCTCGACTTCTCCCACAAGGTCGAAGGCACCTCTGCAAAGGAGGTTATGGACCTTATAATGATCACCCAATATTTCGACACGATCAAAGACCTTGGAAATAGCTCCAAGAATACTACAGTGTTCATACCCCATGGCCCCGGCCACGTGCGCGACATTGGAGATCAGATTCGCAACGGGCTGATGGAGGCGTCGTCTGCGCAGGTCAATCTGTGAGTAACTAATTTACCTGATTTCTGTGAATATATATGTGTGCAATAATCGTGCCGTGAAACTTATTGAAACTTTATATCGCGACGTGCCGAGGCATCGATTTATCGATATATCGATGAATGAGTTGTTTTTTTTAGCAATGTCTTCTTCTGTAGTAACTGAGCCTTCTCTCCCCCTCTGTTCATGGTACACTTGCAGTTGATAGTTCTTTATAGCAATGAACCTTTTAATCATAGTTCTTAATAGTTCTTAATAGAGTTTATAGTTTTCTTTAAAGTCTGGATTTGGTAATTTTGTTTTTTTCTCTTCTTAATAATATAACGTATTACAATATAATTTAATTATATTAACATAATATATTTAGAGTACTCAATAATATTAATAAGTATGCTGACTAGGTTAAATCAGCAACATGTTTGATTTGCATTAATTTGAAGTAATTTGTATTTTAGATATGATTAACATAGCACATTAATGAAAAATAATTAGCATTTTATTACAAGACAAATAGTATATAAAAATATATATGTGTAAATTGTACATATTGGGCTGAAATAGGTATATATTGTGCTATATAAAATTATATAATGTATTACACTATTAATATTTGTTGTGTGAGTTAAATATTGTGTTGTTATATATAATTATATATTGTGTTATCAAAATATGTTATATATTGTCCCGTAAAGAATGTTTTGGTGGTGTAGGGGTTGAATTTTGTCACTTGTCACACGTAAAAAGAAAAAGTTATATATTATATTAATATGTATTATTTTTTTTATTTTTTTTTTATATAAATATAAGCTGATTAGTCAACATATAATATATGTTTCTAGGTAGTACAAAAAATACCATATGTTTATGATGTGTTATAAATATCTTGTTATATATAATATATGTTATATATATATATATATTTTCTTCGTTCTAATAAAATAGTCTTATTTACTATTTTTTTCGTCCTAAAATAATAGATTCATTTTTATAAATAATTATATCACTATAAAATTATTATTACTTTTTCATTATTATTATACAATTACCACTATTTTTTATACTAATACACTCGCAACAACAAAAAAATCTTTTACCTGTACTTTTTATCCTTATCAATATAATATCAATATTCCTTAAATCTCGTGTCAAACCCAACTCATACTATAATTGTGGGACAGAGGAAGTATATATTAATTGAAATAGTGGTTAAATGTTATACTTCATCCGTTCCGCTGCAAAGTATACATATTTCTATTTTGGGACATCTAATTACAAAGTAATCATTTTATTAAATACTCCATTTTTTTCCACAAATATTCTTACTTTACATCACATCATTACTTTTATACCAAAAAAATAATAACAAAAATATAATTATATTACTTTTACCTATCTATTATAATTAAAATATTACTATTTCTTAAACTCCACGTAAAAAATAAATATATATTTATTGTTTGGACGGAAAAAATATATTCTATGTCACAGAGAAAATAGAGAAAATATGTGTATTTAATTTTGGCACGAAAATTAAGGAAAAAAAAGTATTTTATTAAAAAATGATAAAAGTTAAAAAAAATAAAAAATAAAAAAATAGTTTGAAATATTTTTGAAAATTTAATTATAATTAAAAAAAAAAAAAAAGAGAGAGAGAAAGAGAAAGACAATAAAGGTATTGACACTAATGTAAATAAATGTTGAGTAGAAAATAATATTTATATATTGATTTGTTGGCATTGTCAAAATTAGTAATAAAATAAATTTAGCGGATAAGCTAAAAAATGCGAATAAATTTGACAAACGGATAAAGTATATATATACTTCATTCGTCCCATAACAAAGTATCTATTTTTCATTTTAATCCGTCTCATAACAAAATATTCATTTTTTTTTGTTAGTAATTGTACTATCTACCTACCACTACAACTACCCTTACAACTTACAATATATACTACCTCCGTCCCACATACCGTGTCTGCTATACTGTAGACACGGTATTTTAGGAGGAATGTAATTAGTAGATAATTAAGAATATATTAGTGAAAATAATTATCCTATAATATAAATAATTATAAATTAAGATTAAGATAACTAATTAGTTTAATTAATTTTTTTTAAAAAAAATTTAAAAAGTTTAAAATCAGATTAAAGTGTGTAATCATTTTCTAAAAAAGAAAAGTGACATGGTATGTGGGACAAACAGAAACGACAACGTGAACATGGTACGTGAGACGGAGGGAGTATTACACAAATGTCATTACCTTTATATCACACATACTAATAAAATTATTTTAGTTATTTTTACTTTATTTATACTACATCATCATATAATATTAATATTTTTAAAATTATATTAAAAAAGCAAATGAATATTTACTTATGAGACCGTAAGCAAATAAAACCGACAAAGCTAGAGAATCATTAATGTACAACAAATTTGTCACCGGATGTAATTAAGTGCGGAGAGTAAAAAGTGAAGTGAAAAAGGTAAATCAAGAAAGCAAACAAGATGGGATGGGTTCTAGAAGTAGTTGAATGATTAAAATAAAATATATAATATATATAAATATAAATAAATATATATATATATATATATATATATATATAAAGGACCATCTTAAAATCAAGGATCATCATGATCATATTTGATATGTTCATCTCATCATGTAAAATAAAGAAAGTAAAAAGTACGGCAGTGAAAAGTAATCTCATACACTCAAAATTCATGGGGATTATTTCTTCAAATTAGTTTAGGATTTGTAAATATATTAATTTTATTATTATTATTATTGAAATAGTATTTGATTTGTTCTTTTATATATATATATATATTTAAATATTTATTTTATTATTTTAGTCCGTTTGTTAAAAAATGTAATAATATCATATTTAATAATAATAAAAAAGTATATTAAGGTTTGTTTGTAATATGAAAATATTATTTTATATTGAATATTAATTTTTTTATATGATAAAATATATTTTCTCTGTCTACTTGCAAAATATATATATTTTTATTTTAATAATGGTAAAAAATTGATCATTTAGTACTATATAAATAAGTATGGAATAAAATATGATAAATATTTTTAAATTAAAAATGAAAAAAAAAATGATGAGTAGCATATAACGATATATAAATATCAAACAAAGCAATCCATACCAACCAATAACAATACTCCCTCATCCCAAACACTTTATAACATTTTTCTTTTTTTGTCCCAAACTCACTGCAATATTTACAAATTTAAAAATAATTAATAATATTGTTATACATGTATTAATATACACTTCATTTTATTCCATCACATAACTCAAATAAAAAAAACAAATAATCATTTCTCTCTCCAATCACATCACTTAATATCCAAATTATATCAAATTACCATACTTAATACTCTCCATCTAAACTCTCATGCTAAACACAAATGTTGCACAGTGTTTGGGACGGAGGGAATAATAATTATCAAAAAAATATAAAATAAAATAATAATAATAATAATAATAATAATAATACATCTCTTTTTACTATTATTCATGTCTATGATCTAATCCGAGATTTGATTTGAGCAATCAAAGCCATCCAAAAATGAGCTTTTCCCCTCAGTTTGTTAACCAGTCAATTTTCAAACATTCAATGTGTTTGCTTTCCAGATTTTCTTTTTTTTAAAAAAAAAAAAAAAAATTAAAATAAAATTGTAATTACTCATTGTATTTTATTATAAATTTATAAAATATGTATATTGTATTACGAGATTTTAAGAGTAACGTAATTAATCAATATTTTATATTAGTAAAAATAATTTTACTATTTTAGAAAATATAGTCCAATTTGTCATTCAAATTTATCTTTTATTTGTTATTTAAATTTATTATTATTATTATTATTATTTTTTAAAGTAAGAAATATTATTCTCTTCGTCCTTGCATAATTTGTCTCTATTTTTTTTTATCTTCGTTCGTTTTATATAATTGTCTTTTCTTTTTTAAAAAAATATTATACACTTTAATAATATTTTAAATATCATAATTTATAATTTTCTTAATTTTAATTAAATTATTTAGTTATTTTAATATTAATTTATAATTATTTTTATCAAACAATAATTATTTTTACTAATACATTTTTTAATTATTTACTAATTATATTTTATCTATCTACATATCCAAAATATGTGGGACTAAAAGAATACTTCTTTACTGTTTTTTTTTAAAAAAATTGTAAAATGTAATTTTTTTTTTTACTTGTTTTTCTCAAAATTCGTATCCGACTAAATAAGTACACAATTATATGACGGGAGAGATATACTCCCTCCGTCCACCGCCTATCTATTCTTTTATGTGGTACAATTGATATACATAAATACTATTATACCCCTTAATCTTATGGTATTAAATTGTGTTATTTGATGACATTTGTGTAATATTATATAAATGGTGGGATAATTTTATATTTTAGTAAAAATACATTTACTAAAAAAGAGAAATTGATACATTTGTGATGAACATACTAAAATGACAAAATAAATAAATTGGCAGTTGACGGAGAAAGTATAATTTTCTTTAAAAGAAACTATCGTGAGAAGAACGAACCCACATATTTTCACCCCTTCCCTGCCGACACCTTCTCCACCTACCACCTTAACAAACAAACAACCCTTTTTCTTGCCCCTGTCCCAACCACATCAAAAAGCTTTTACAAGAACACAAAAACTTCGACTAATTTCAAAATTCGATAGATACATACGTTCGAAAGCGCTAAAATAATAATAATAATAATAAAAAAAAAAAGGCGAAAGTGAAATACCACGACTTTAGGGCGATAACAGAATCATCAACTTTACTTTAGTGATTAGAACCTTTTACTCGATGGCGGTACTAACTCTTCTTTCCCCTTTTGCATGTCCGCAATAAAGTCGCGAAAACGACATTCCAACCCGCATCGTAGCCCATGCCGCGACGCTGAAAATCACCAGATAAAAAAGGAAAAGTACGGTGTCGCCAATACTCGAGCATTAAAGTCAACAATGTACGCGTCGAAACGAAGTGGATTTTACTAATCGGGGGCTCAATTGGTTAGAACGTCGGTCTCATACATACATAAATATATATATATATATATATAGATATCGCATTCATGACATCCTCCCCGACGATGTCCTTTGCTTGTAGATTGTTCAATCGATCCATCCGTCGAAGAAATAAAAGTAACGAATCACATGAAACTCTTAAATTTTTCCCCACCGGGCCCATCGCGCAAAAAGGCGACGGGACGATTGTTTGCAAATCAAGTTATAACAAATGATGGGACGAAAGGCGCGATCGAATACCTTTTGATTGGACCGTTACGACGAAAAAAACAAAAAAAAAGTTTGTTCGGTTTACTTTCGATATCCCGACGTGGGACATTCTTGAGTCGAATTGTCCGAGTCGAGACAGCCAGCGATTCATCGATCGTAATCGAGACAAGAATAGCGTAAAGAAAGGACACATTCGTTTCGACGATGTTAAAAGAATGATTTTTTCACACTTAGTCGAAGAAAAACGACGTACAAACATCGATCAATCTTAGTGTCATCCCGACGGCTAGGCGAGAACAATCGAAGTCAATTTAACGATAGTGAACCTAACTATTGCACCGAGCATTACATATGCTCCGCTATCCGATTCTATCGATGTATTTCCTTCCTACGATATATCGTTATTCTTCCTATCGACTCGATTTCACTTCTCGAGCTCGATAATCGATCGGAAACTCGTAAAATCAACAAATTTAAAAGAATCAAACAATTTTTACTAACCCAAGAATCCTGTTAAGGCCTAAAAGGACACTAAATAGATGATGCATCACCAAGAACCTCATTCAGTATATTGTCGTCGTCGTCGTCGCCGCCGCCGCCGATCATCGCGCCAAGAAACCCGGCATCATTATCCCGATCGTTACAAGAGTCGCGGCTCTTGAGCTTAGCATGAGCCGCGACGAAAAACAATTTCTGCGCCGTTTCGAGGCTCGACATCGAACGACCTTGCGCGCAAAACCATCTCGTAAACGACCAATCGTTCTTAACGCTACGCGATGTCGCGCTAAGGAAAAGAAGCCTCACGGCGACTTTTCCGAGTGATTTGAAATCTTTAAGACACGTCTCCCACACGAGACGACTACTCTGAGGATTCGCCGCCTTCATCTTCCCCGTCGCGGGATCCCGCCGCTTCACCTGAACGGCCTGCGCGTACAACGGATCCAAACCCTCCGATCGCCACGTCATCAGCTCCATCAAAGCGATATGCGCTTCCTCCCTTGACGCCAGCCGGGTCACCAGATCATCGACGTCTTTCTCTTGTTCTCGCGTCAACAACGTAAACGGGGGCAAGTACTTCCCCGATGCGTCCCGCACCAAATACAACGGGTCGAGAACGAACGCGGCCGACCACGCCGGGTGGTAGACCTTATCGAATCGTCGCTCGACGATCTTCTCGACCGGTCCCGTCATCGAAAAATTGTATTTTTCGCACCACGCTTTCACTCTGCCTCTCAAGTCCTCCCAAAGAGGAAGACATTGCGCGACGACCGGCCTCTCGGCTTCGACGTCTCCCGCCATTTCAATGATCGTTTTTGTCAGCGAACGAACAGCCTCGACGTCGTTCCAGAACGCAACGTCCTGGATGATGTCGGCGACTTCCCGCGTGGCAGGATCGCCTAAGCAAAGTAGTTTGTACGAATCATCGACTACGATTAGATTCAGAATTCGTGAACTGTTCAATAAATCGGTTAACATATGTCCGAAGGGGATAAAGTTCGTTGCGACGTCGCAATTCGACGGAGGGACACGGATGAACTCGGCGACTTCGAATCCTTGCAACCTTAACTTGTGGACAATGTTCCTAACCTGCGGGTTCGAATTGATCAAATTTGCGACTTTCATACAGCTTTCGCTTACGATCCGAAACAACGGAAGCTCACGATGGAAATCCTTAATCAAATCGAAGAATCCTCGTACTTGACAGGATAGATTGATCATCCATTGATTCTGAAGCTCTAGATTTCTTAAGGCTTTAGTTTTATACTTATCGGCGACGATCCCGACGCAGCGCTGCGGATCATTACCACATATGCCTTGGATTGTCTCGGACAAGACATTCTCGGCATAGTTGGAAGGGACTACGCCGCTGTCGCAATAAACGGCCTTTTGGAAAACGGTCGTGCCGTTGGGGAGATTCGCGGCGAATTTAATCAAGAATTGGTGCGGATTCGGGGAATTATTACATCGCCAGCCGTCGGAAGCGACCTGGAAGAAGGCTGCGTCATTAAGACGAGCTTCGGATTCGATTCGAGCAGCGTTGTACTTAGAATCGAGGCGCGACGATGAAAAGTCCTGTTTTGAGACAGCAGGCAATCCGAGGAGGTTAAGGAATGCCCGGAGTTTAGGATGTTCGAGGCTCGAAAACGACATCGATCCGTAGGATTCGTAGAACCATTCGGCGAGCAGATCGACAGCAGCTTCGACTCTTTCTTTGGTTAGAGATGGACATGGAGGAGATTTGGGGGTTTTGAGTTTCTTCACGCTGTTCTCAAATTGCGCCAATGGAAGTAAATCCTGTTTTCCGCCGGACAGCAGCATCGGATTCTTGTTCTGGTTATTACAGAACGGGGAAGACGATGATTCCGCCATTGTTACCGTCGCCGGAGGATACGCCGGCGGCGGATTGAGGAATCGAGGTTGGGAGGAAGAAGCTCTTTTCCGGTGGTGGGAAGACGGAGAAGACAGAGGAGGCAGCTGCGAGATCGGCGGCTTTAACATGGCGGCGAAATTCGGACACGCGCCGCTCCTGAGATGCTCCGACGCCGTACGCGACGGATTCGACGCCGAGAATGCGGCGTCGCAGAGGTTGCACTTGAGCTTCACGGCTTTCGGCGGCGGCGGCGCCCCCTCCGCCGCCGCGGTGGCGTCGGAATTTCTGATCAGAATCGGCTCGAGATGCGCCCAATACCACGCCCCCTTCCCTTTAACGGCCTTCGTACGGACGGCGACCAAAGCTTCGTAACGTTTATTAACGGCCGTCACCGTCGCCGTCACGGCGTCGTTAGGGTTAGGGTTTGAATCGGCAATCGACATTTTTGGGGTTGAAAAATTGGGGTAGGGTTTCTGAACTAGGTGAGAATTGGAAACGCCATTTCTGAACTAGTTATAGAATCTGGAGGACTGGAGGTCCGGTTAAGGTATCTTACCGGTGCTTCGAAGGCGGCGGCCGGCATTTCGCCGGAAAATTAGGTTTACAGAAAGGGGGCTGAGGATAATCACCGGAAATCGAAGAAATTGTTTGGCTGAACAGAAAATTGAAATTCAGGAGCTCTAGAAACAGTCGGAGATTCAGGAAACAGTAATGGAGGCATTGGGGGAGATTTGTAGAGAGAGATTTTGGAGCTTTTTGGGGTCTGCGGGGAAGAAGAAGAAGATGATGAGGAGGAAGAAGAAGAAGTGAAGTGGGAGGGTGACCGCTTTGATTTTTTTTATTTTATTTATTTTGTTTGTATGGTGAAACGGTGTCGTTTTGAGGTGGTGACGACATCACTTTAAATAACCACGTGAGAATTGAGGCGCGTGAACAGAATCGACAAATTAAAGGCTATAGTTAGTCAACCGCGTAGGCCCCACGGAACAGCAGCCAATCGGATTGACTAAATTAGTCAACGCATCCTCTCGTCCATTGTTTGCTCATCCTTTTAAAAAGAAAAATTATTGAAATTTCGTTCAAGAAAATATAATAAATAAATTAAGTATATATGAGTCTTTAGTCTTTTAGTTAGAGGTAGTTTAGATTTACGGTTGAAGTTTCAAATTTTTTCGAATACGAAGAATATACTAAAAAATTAAATAGAAATTTTATATTTGATATTTGATACTCCCTCCGTCCCATGTAATACGAGTATATTACCGTAGACACGGAAATTTAGGTAAAGTATAATTAGTAAGTAATTAAAAAAAATATTAATAAAAATAATTATTATTTAATAAAAATGTGGGACGGAGGGAGTACTATTATAGTAATATATGCTCTCTCAGTCCGATAACAAAATATTCATTTTTTTATAATTTTAATCCGTCTCATAACAAAGTATTCATTTATATCTTTTGGTAACTGTACTATGTATCTGACATTACAAATACCCTTACCATTTACAATATATTATACAAATGTCATTACTTTTATATCACACATACTAATAAGGTTATTTTAATTATTTTTATTTTATTCCTATTATATCCCAACATAATACTAATATTTTTAAAACTACGTACAAAAAATAAATGAATATTTATTTATAGGACGAAAGGAATATATAAAAAAAAATTAATACTAGTCCTATTGAGATTCATTTTTTAATTTTTTGTTTCCGTTGAAATTTGGTCCATTATTAAACTCGACCTGCAATGCAAATCTTTTAACCCGATCCGATTCTAAAGCCTTGACCCGATTCGGCATCCTTATATTCCCTTCTCCCCTTCACATTCAGTTTGGTCGAGAAACAGATTGGTTTTGCTGTTCTTTGGTTTTTTCTTGTTCTTCGTCTTCACAATTCTTTTTGGGGTGTGTTTGTTTGGGGTATTGGATTTTAAATTTATTATTCATCTCATTTTTTTCCCTTAGGGTGTGTTTGTTTGAAGGATTTTGGAGGATTTCCACTATTCATCCAATTTTTTCCCCCAAAAAATATCAAATCAAACACCTATTTTTCATTTTTTATATTATACTAAAAAACAATTTTACATTCAAAACATCACATCAACACCTATTTATATCACATCATACAACTATTCAAATTCAAAATTTTTACTATTTAAATCCCAATCCAAAATCCAAACCCCCAAACAAACACACCCTAAAAATATCAAATCAAACATTTATTTTTTATTTTTTATATTATACTAAAAATTAATTTTACATTCAAAACATCACATCAAACACCTATTTATATCACATTATACAACTATTCAAATTTAAAACTTTTACTATTCAAATCCCAACTCAAAATCCAAAACCCCCAAACAAACACACCTTCGGATCAAATTTTGGGATTGTAAGAAGGTAGACTTGCATTGTAAGAATATGTACAAACAAATCTTGTGCTGGAAGTGATGTCTAATTTCAGACATGTTTTTATTTATTTATTTATGTATCTATATTAACATTTGGGCTGGGCTTGGCTGGACTGTATCTCTTTCTTTATTATATTCTGACCACAAATCCTCGATTTGGTCCTTCTTTTGTTGGACATCTTTTTCTTTTTTCTTTTGTCGCTTTCTGTGTGTTAGTTGCTATTTCTACCCAACCACCCCACCCCACCCCACAATTTCATTTATTAATTAATTTATTTTAACATTAATATAAATGCTTCCATCACTTGGATCAGAAGTTCGATTTAATTTTTTTTTTAATTTTTTATTATGTACTTACTTAATCTTTATAGAAATAATTGTATTTTTTTAGTATTTTGAATTGTAAATTTAAAAATAAAACATAATAAAATATCAACAACTATAATTTAAATACTATTATTATTTTCAAAGGAAATATTAAATACTTAATTTTTTTATAATTATATGTTTTTAAATTTAAAAAATATTTATTTACCTAAATGGACTTTCTAATGGCACCCAACATTACTTCGAAAACAGGCCTAAATTCCCAATGTGGGCTTTTTCTTGAATTTGTTGCCAACACTCATTATTTTTAGTTAAAAATGGACCCATCGATCAATTTTAAATATTAAAAAAATTTAAATAATTTATTAGTCCCCACTTTCCATTAAAATATTAAAAAATAAAAAAAAAATAAATCAAACCCCAATAGCTTTCACACCACACTCCCCACAATAACCAATAAGACAACAGCTTCCAAAGCACTTTTTATCCCCAAAACCAAACCCTTTATAAACCCTTTCTCCCCTATCCCCATTTTCTCACTCATCCCATAATCTTCTTCTCTTTCTCTAGAAAAAAAAAAAAAAAAAAAACAAAAAAAACAAAAATGTTGAGTTACACAATAGAATTGATCAATCTTGCAACCTCAAATTCCTTAGCAGCTTTCTTCTTTTGCAATTTCTTGATTATCATTCTTCTTGTTGGCACTCCAAAAACAATCCCTCAATTTGATCATCATTACAACATTCCCAATTCCGAACATTACAATAAGCTCGAGCTCTGTTCGCGAACGGAAGAGGATGTTTTTTCGGAGACTTCGATTCCCGAGGATCGAGTCTTGAGCATCGATATCGTTAAAGAAGACAATAAAGAAGGAGAAGAAAAAATGGACGGCGATGGCGACGACGACGACGACGACGATGAATTGAGAAAAAGAGTTGAAGAGTTTATTGAGAAGATCAATAGTGGTTGGAAGGCTGAGAAGAAGACAAGGCTTTCTTTAGGACAACGCCTTAGTTTGGATCAAAATTAGTAATTAAATATATATATATATATATATTTGTGATTTTCAAGAAATGGATATTTTTATTTTTATTTTTTGTTTTGATCAAGTTCTATAAATTTATCGTGTAATAAGTTAATTAATTGCTGTCCTTTTATGAAGGAATGAATGAATCAACCTTCATATATATATATATATATATATTATAAAAAAAATATTGTCATAAAAAGTTGTAAATAAAATTGACTGCTTTTATTATTATTATTATTATTATTATTATTATTGTAATAAAATTGTGTGGCTGTGGCAGCCGTGGAACAGAGCATTGTGGGTCAACTGTAGGTAGATAGACATAGACATAGACAGCACATTTTTGTAGGATTTTGGACATGGAATCTTCACCCATATGATAATAATATATAGATTTGGTGTAACTTAATTCATATAGGAAAATTTGTAGTAATTTAAATAAACTATTTACATTAATAATAAAATGTGAATTAATATATATATATATATATATATAATTTGAAGTGAATTGCATTCTGGCCATTAAGCCATTCTTCCGTTCTGATGGATAAAATGTCAATAATATTTTCAATATAAATTTTTTTATTAGATTTACTTTCTTATAACTACTCTCTGCTCGGATATAAGTTTTAATAAAAATAAATTATAGTTATAATGATTTTGTATATTTTATAATAAAAAATAACTAAAACAATAGAAATGTCCTTTTTTACGACAATCTAAAATAAATAAAGATTTAGAAGGTGGGGAAAATTGTATTTTAATTTTACAAATTCACATTTTATTTATTAAATGTAAAATATTAATTTTTGTCCAAATATATATTCTCTCTTCTTGGGCTCTTTATGCCACGTTGCTAGAGTACAATAATTAAATAAAATAATATATTTTAATGTAAAAATTAAGTGAATAAAAAGTAAAACAATAATATTATGAAAAAATTTCATAAATACATAAAACAATAAATAAAAAAATTATAAACTAATAATTATTTATTAAAATAAAAATAATAAAATTATGAATACATAAAACATTTTAGTTTAAATATTCAACAAACAATAATATATATATATATATATAACTATTATGGACGGAGAGAACATATATATTTTTTATGGTGTAAAAATTCAAAATATATTTTTAGAATACCGACTCTAAACAAACACTTATTGAACTTAATAAGTTACAAATTAATTGCAACAAAATAAATCAAAGACAAACATAAGTAGCGGGTAAAAACCTAAAGATATCGGAAATTTGAAACGTGCACAAAAAAGAGAATTATTGTCTAATCAATGTGCAATCCGTAAATGTATTAATAAATATCAGACAACAGTTATTCCATTCCTCAGCTTCATAAATCAGTAAGAATGGACGCCTTCAGGACCACAGTTACAACGTTGTTTTACCCAAACACAAACACACAGATCAGCCCCGGAAAATCGACAACTAAGTAAAGCAAATAATCGCAATGCACGGGCACTACACTAGTTCTAGTTCGAGAAATTACACCAAAAACGAACGGACACAATCAAGTCAAGTCAAGTCTCCGTGTAGTTCGAGTACTGTAATAATCGAGTTAACACAACATAGGAAGACAGCAAAAACAGATGAAAATCGAGCAGAATGTGGTAATCTAGTACCTGAATACATCATAAATAGACGTCGGGCAGGCGAGCCAGCCGCATGCTAAATTTCTCTGTAATAAAGAACACCGGGCGTAAATACAAAAATGAAATACAACATGTAAGAAGAACATATGATCAGCACTTTATGTCGTGGTTCGAATTTTCGGTGTCTGCTGTCTTGAGCAGACCGTGGTTTGAGTTTACGGCAGCCAAGAATGGCGCAGGGGTCGTGGTCGGAATCGGTAGAGGAGCGACGGGAGATTGTGCAAATGTTGTCGCCGGGTCAAATTTTGGTTTCTTAGTCTTTGGCTCAATTTCGCTTCCCGGAAGGAAGCTTCCGATCACTACCTGTTTAAAATTTTCAAAAACTTCGGAAATTACGACTTTGTTTACATACATATTTTTGGAACTTTCAACACTATTCATCAACAGTAATTTTTTTTTTTTTTAAAATAAAAATATTACATGAAATACTTTATTATTCACAATGCATGCATCAAATAATAACTTTCTACTATTCTCAAAATTTCCTAACAAACTTTCACTTATCTGACACTTCATCTTTTGAAAAATATCAGATCAAATACTACCTTCGTCCCAGAAAAAAAAATATCATTTGCTTTCTGCACGTAAATTTTTTAATATTAGTATTATATTGATTTATAGTAAAAAAGATAGATACATTGAAAATTATAAGACTATTAATTATGTTAAGTAAATAATACAATTACTAAATTAGGAAATTGTATTCTTGTTTTGGAACGGACAAAAATAAAACATGATGTCCTTCTTATGAGATGGAGAGAGTACTAACTTTTTACTTTTTCCCAAACTTTTAAAATTCCAAAAGCCTCCAAAAACTCTTGTCTAAACGGAGCCTAAACTTCCAAAATTTCTATGTAGCCTACAAATTTTAAACAACTATTCTTCAATGGTAACTTTCCAAAAAAAACATTACGTCAAATACATTTTTTTCTTACAAAATATCGCATCAAATATTAAGTTTTTACTATTACTAAAATTTTCCAAAATTCGAAAACTTCCAAAATATCTATAGAGCTTAAAATTTTTAAACAACCATTCATCATTGGTAACTTTTTCCAAAATACATCACATCAAATATTTAACTTTTTACTACTCTCAAAATCTTCCAAAACTCCAAAACTTTTATAAAGCCTGAAAATTTTAAACAGTGCAATAAGGTTTACCATTTTTCGAGCACTAACCTGAACGGGACCGGCTGCTAGAAGCATGCCGGATAAACCTCCACCCAAAACACGTCCGTCGGGACCTGCCAGGGAGACGCTCATCCCACCTGATCTGCTTTTCGCCGTCGCATTATTGTTGGGCATAAATGAGCCTCTCAGAGAGAGGATTTCGAACCGACCCTGTCGATACCGTATAGTTACTACAAAGTACGTATAGGGGAAATGCAAAAAAAAAAAAGTATTTATACAAAGTATGGATAAGCAACTATTACAACCTCGTAGGTTAGAGTACCGCCAGAAGAATTAGGCTGACGCAGTGTAACGTTAGAGACAGAACCGTTTGCGGCTAGAACGCAGATGGCTCTCGATTCTTGCTGAGAGAATGATACAATCTTCATCATGATGTCCTGAAAAGACAATTTTTTTAAAAAAATAGAAAACTATAAGTTACATTTCCTTATTTAATAAGTATAGACCAATAATATTAATAAACTATCCCATCATTTCATATAAAAATACTAAAATACCCTTTCGACACAAAATTCGCAATTACATATTTAGAAGCGAGTCCTTACAACTCAGGGTATATTATTCCTCAAAAAATTAATATATTACACACATTTATATTTTTATATTAACTACACATAAAAAAATATTAAGCCATTTCACAAAACAAACACACCCTTAATATTTACATACTTAAAAACCATATTTACCAAATATATATTACAAGCCATCGAGATCGGATCCATATCAAGAAGAGAACACACGGGCATTGTACATCAAGTATAATTAGATGTACCTCGCCGGCATTGATGGTAATCAAGTGAGGTATGAAACTTCCGCCGCTGTTGGCCATGGATCTCCCTACAATGTATGAAAATAAGTTACTCAAAAACTCAAATTCATTTCTTCCCTATATACAAAGTCATGTTTATCCCCTAAAAAAGGAGTGCAACAAGTTCGAACAACAATTATCATCATATGTTTATTTATTCAAAAGTTCTCTATTAAGTATGCTTTAAACTTTATTTTGACATTATTCATCAAATTTTATCAGCTAAAAAAACATCACAACCAACTTATTTTTCATTAGAATATTATACAAAAAAAATTATTTTTAATTCAAAACATCATTTATTACCTATTTAAATTGATATTTCAAAAACAGCCAAAAACACAAAAATTATTTCAAAACATACATATCTAAACAACTTGTCAATGGAATCAATCTCCACTGTGTCATAACAACTTGTATAGTAACAAATTTTTTGTTTAATTTGAATAGGACAGACGAAAATAATAAAAAAAAAAAAAGTACATTAAACATCATCACATCAAACCAACTATTCAAGGTATGAAAAATGGAAGTCTTTGGGTGGGGGGCACAAGTATACAAACAACTATATCTATATATACATTCTTGGAATCTAAGGGTGTGTTTGGTTTCTATTTAAACTAAAATTCAATAAAAAAATTCAACTTTAAATCAATTGTTTGGTTTGGATTTGAGTTTGGGGTATTCATTTGAATTTTAGCTAGTTTAAATACTCTTATCATGCCAAGTTTTGAGACCCAAAGCAAACACATCCTAAATTTTCCAAAATTATTCTGTTTAGATTGACATTTTTTTAAAAAAATTAATGCTAGTATTATTTACCAATGATATTTTTTTTTGAAAAATATCCTATAGAATAACTATTTAAATGCACCTTGTAAACCTAAGATTGAGTCACATCATCTCCACATCAAGATTCCTTATTCCTCGTTAGCCATTTATGCAATTATGGAGTAAACTACAAAGACATTCCCCACATGTTCGATCTTATCCCATATTCTTAATCACAGCTAACATTGTTCTAATAGCACAAAAAAACAAATGCCAAAAAGATCACCAGATCTAACACCAAATTACGAAATAAAATTCAAAAATAGATAAAAAGCAAAATACCTTTACCGAACTCCAATTTATGCTTCTTCTTCAACGGCTGATCCGCCGGCCGGCCGGAGGTCTGCTTCCACGACGGGAAGTCCGTCGTCGCGAACGGAATCGACGACGATATCGGCGAAGGAGACAATGCCACAATAGCGCCGTCGCCGGCATACTTCCGAGGCCTTCCCCGCTTCTTCTTCTGCTTCTGAATCTCAGAACTAATTGAGCTACCGACGGCGCCGCCGCCGCCGGAATTCTCAGCTCTCGGCTGCACTCGGAAGCTCTGAGGAACTTCTTCGCCTCTCACTGTTACACCAACGCCAGTTAACCCTTCGTTTTCCTCCATTGACGGTTATTTCTTTTTACTTAAACCCTAAAAAAACGCCTAAATTCTAAAACCCTAATTTCAGGAAACTTCGTGAAGTTGAAAATTTTCAACCTCTAAAAAAAATCAACAAAAAATTAATTAAGAAAGAATTTCAGCAGCGATTAGATCTTTAACAAAATAAGAAGAATCGAATTTAGTGAACAAATTGCTAAAGAACCTTAAATCTGAAAATTAGGGTTTAAATTTTACCCCTTCTTCAAAAGATCAACTGAGAAAATTAGGGTTCTTGTAAGAAAAAAAAAAAAAAAAGGGGGAGGTTGATGTGAGTAATAAAAATGGGAAAATTAAGAAATAAATATAGAATTTAATTAAATAAATAATGAAAAATTACTTGTGTAATCACCATTATTTAAATTACAAAATTCAAAGTATTAATTATAGTTGAGAAAATCATTTCATGTCCGTCTCGAATTTTAAAATTAGTCTTTAAAAAAATGGTAAAGTTAACGAAACGGAAAAAAAAATAAAGACAATAATAATTATTTAAGCTGTAAAGCTGATGTTAGAGTTATTACACAAGTTTTTCAAACTCTGACCTATTTTTCGTCTTTTTAGGTAAAAAAAAAGAAATTGACTATTATTTCACTCCAACAAAACGCCCTTAAAATCCAAGTTAATTACCCAAATGCCACCCGCACTGAGAACGCGCCACGTGTCGTATTCAAAACTCAACAAATAAACGATCCAATAAGACAAAAAAGGAAACAAACAAATTCATACAAAACCCAAAGAATAGAATAGAATAGAATAGAATTATTTGTCCGTACATTGATCACATCAAAGCCCCGACTTGTAGTCAACTCCGGTCGCCGGAATCCAATCATCGCCGGCGATGAACGAACCGGCGGTGAATTTCTTCACCTGAGAAGCCGTCAGATTGAGCTTCAGCCCCTTCCAACCAACTCTCTTCTTCGTCGCCGCGCCGGCCCCGGAGTTCCGATACTCGGCATAGAAGATCGTGCTCGGCGCCGACGTGCCGACCCACGGCAGCCACCCTTTTCCGTCGATGAATCCGTTGATCACATTGTGGAACAGCACCGTCGTCGAGTAGTTCTTCCACGGCCTGCCAAAGTAGGTCCGGGTGCCGGCAAGGTCGGCGGCGGGCCCGATCGTGCAGTCCTGGATCGCGATCCCGGTGTTCTGATTGGGGTCGATCTTTCCCTGGGCCGTGATCGTGTTCTGCTGCCCGGCCATCGGCTTCTTCGGCAGGATGTTGCAGTTCTGCAGGACGGCGGCCGAGTTCCCGAAGATGAAGTCGACGGTGCCGTAGATGTTGCAGTCGCGGTAGAATTGGCGGTTGGAGTGAGCGTAGAGGGTGTCCTGGAACCCGTCCATGGTGCACCGGTGGAAGATCGAGTGATCGGCGGTCGACATCAGGGCCACCGCCTGGTGCTTGGCCGCGCCGGCGGTGTTCCGGAACGCCATGTCCCGGGCGATGAATCCTTGCCCCATCGCCGCTGATCCAATGAAAGTTACGTAAGAAATCCGAGTAGTCGAACATACGAGTGGAAAAATATATCGAATTGTCGAAATACTCTGCTTACCGCACTAAAATTTCGATACGGTATTATGCTGTACCAAGACTATGGTAATGGTATATAAGTTGACATTTTCAATATATACCCAAATACCGTATACCGTTTTACAAAAATTATTACTCTTTCTGTCCGTAATGGTTGTATTTTATATTTTTGTTCATCTCAAAACAGGATATCATTTTTTAATATAGTAATTGTATTAGCATTTAATTTTTAAAAATTTAGGTGTAAAAAACAAATGTTACTTTTTTATTGAAACTGAGGTAGTATTTTTAATTTCGATATTTTAGTATGAAACAGTATATACCGATACCTTATGAAAAATTTGATATACCAAATTATTGATACGGTATCAATATATATATATCCTATCGAATTTTCGATATACCAATTTTTCGGTATTACCGAATTTTCGGTATAGTATCAGTATATTTTTTTAATATACCAAACCCGATACGATATATGGTATGATCAGATAATTTCGATATACTGTATCGAACAATCTCTAATCGAGTATACAAAAACGTCGAATATACGAAAGGGAAGAGAGTTCGATTACCAAATGTGGCGGACTGAAACGTGGGAGTTCCGTCAACGAAATTGAGGCTGCCGGAAACAATGGTGGAATTCCGGCCATCGCCGATCATCATCACGTTCCATTGCTTCTTCTCAACTCTAACATTCTCAACATAAACACCCTTCTTCACATAGATAACAAATCTCTTCTTACTCTTCTCCGGCACGGCTTTCAGCGCCGCCTTGATCGTCTTATACTTTCCGGTGCCGTCCTTCGCCACCACAGCATCAGCGTTTATCTTTGAGCTCGGAGTCTGCAGCAGCTTCCTGTCCTTAGCCGACACCCATCCCGGCGTGTCATCTTCGAAACCCATCAAACGGCGCCTCCCGATGGCACCCAACGAGTCAATGGACTTCTCGATCGAGGTAATAAACGCCAAACTATTGCTCGTGAACTCCGTCGAGTTCTTGAAGTTAGAACTCACAACATCACTCAATCCACTCGACGCCGCTTCGAGTTCGTCGATGCAGGTCTGTTGAGAAGTCCCGGCCGAGCTCAACCACGTCCTCAAATCGCCCAAAGCCTCCCGCAAATTCGCGACCCTGATGGACGACGAGTCGTTGAGATGATCCAACGCGAGGGAGACGAGTTCTTTACAGCTTTCTATGGCTGCCCTCGTCCTTTCGTCCGTGATATTCAGCTTCTCCCCGCCTTTTCCAATGAAATTATTGTAGACTTTTGAGAGTTCGTCGATAGCTACTTGCACGGACAGCTTGTAAAGATCTCGGAGATTCGGATTTCCCGACTTCACCAAAGGAGCCAAGCTGTTGTAACAGGAATCAGGATACAATGTGACGTTGCACGAAGCCCTAATTGATAAGGAAGCCGGATTCGTTTCATCTCTTCGTTTGTTGCTTCCGGAGTTGCTTTGAGAAACCCCAACGACCACGGCGACTACGACAACAATGAGAATCACCGACGACACTCCGATTACGGTGATTCTTCTCCGCGTCTTTCTCCTCGCAACGAGCCGTTCTTGTTCGGCTTCACTGAGCTTTCCATATGGATTGAGACTAGCCAGAGTATTGAGATTTTCCCCCATTTCTGAGTATTGGCTGTTCTGAGAAATGCAGCAATGGCTTCCAGTTTATATAACTTGGAAGAAGATGATCCAGATGATCCATTTCTGAATTCTTAAACGCGCTTTTACGTGGGAGGCATCATCTTGTAGATCTGGAAGGAATGAATACACCAAACACGTAGTTGAGCTTTGAGGGAATCTAAGAATCAAGAACAGAATTAAATACGTGACAAATGGATGCAAGTCATGGAGCACATAAATAGCAAAAATCCAGATTTTTTAAATAAAGTGAGTTGTTGTTGCAAAGTCAAATAATTCAATAGAATAGAAGCAGAATACATACCATTTCCAACATTCTGCATTTAAAAAAGGAACACAAAGTCGTCTTCTATTGAGAGATGATCTCACCTCAACTTCCAGGACAGAACAATTCAATGCAGACAATAATAATCTATGCAAATGTAACATTTACAGATGCTAATGTTTTGGAATATGTCCAAAGAGTGTATATAATCTCCGTGGTAACTGCTAAGGTTCCGTAAAGAAGTATTCGCAATTTCAGTCGGGCATAGGCTTCAACAGGTCTTTCAAGAATCAAGAAAAGCTGGTGTTTTCACCATACTTTTCATACTATGCAATGTATAATGAAAAATTCTATCGGTTGATAATTGACAAGAAATTGTATCATATCAAAGTTAGCCGTAGAAAGTTACCTCTTTGATGGCATGCATTTCACGGACAATGGATGGAAGGCCTCGCCAATGCCTCGACTCTGAATGTGTTATATGGACCTGCACAATTATCATATACTTCGTGCAATGGAAATTTGAATGAGATGACATACTCGCTCAAAGTAGAAACTGAATAATTACGAATGTGAGATGCTCGTTACATATGTGAAGACGATCCAGCTTACAATAGGGACAAGACTATCATTTATGAACCAACTGATGATCTATGATGTGGTATAAATACGTATTTCTCTCTATCAAATGATTGAAACCATGTTTAACTAAAACCAAATACTGAGGAACCCTCAAGATGAATTGTTCTGTTTGTCATCGAATTCTCTTCGTATAGTTTCAAGCACAAGCTCATTCCATGTATCGACTGGACCTGGCATGCACCAATGCAAGCAATCCTGCGGTGGGGGCCTGCCATCAGGGCCCCTCTGAGTGATCTTATTAGGATCCGGGCTTCGATACGGGCCTGGATGGCCATCGTGCCGATAGGAAAAGGCTTCCGTGATATCCATCAACACCATTTTCGATTTGTTAGTCTTTTTCTTAACTGCACGATGGAAACCTGTCACCTGTTTCTCGTGCATTATATTGGTGAAGGCATTTTCGGCCAATTCAGCTTTTGAGGCAGGCTTAGTCTTTCCAGTGCACGATCCCCCAGTGTTCCATTCTCCACCTTCGTAATGATCCGGCGAAAAACTTCGGACGATTGTAACACCAGTGTAATTCGGATGCGTGCCCAGAGCAGTAAGAATTGTCTCGACAGATACTCCAAAAGCATCAATGTTGTTGATCTTTTGTGGCTTGGAATTATCGGGCCACCACAGCTGTCCTCCCACAATCTCGTTGTTCTGTACGTAGACCGACTGTTTGGCAAACCAGTGACCAGAGGAGAGAACAATCACATCAAACTCTGTGATATACTGCATGAAGATCTCATCGGGAGCATCGAGGTGGAGCTTAACCACACCAGCAGGAGCAAAATCAATTGGGTCGGGTGTTTGATGAACAAGCCAGGAGGACCATATGCGAACAATCATTGTAGACGTGGATCTGAAATAGTACCGCTGCATTCTCTTATTACCTCGGTTCTTAGGAACTTCAGCCTGAACAAGAACGGCAGATTAATCTTATTTCAAAATAAAAAATTTAAGTTTAGTTGAGAATTCTAACAAAGCAACCATAGGGGTTTATTGGTTTAAGCTAATCAAGATCTACAACGTAACCTATCAATCCAAGGACAAAAGTTGCGGAAAAGGTTTCATCTTCATAGAACAACCAATTAACAAGAATTGGGATAAAAAAAAGGTAATATAGACAAAGGAAGATGTGAAGTATGTAAACTAGCACACGATCAATGAGAGATATTAGAAAGTCCCTTTTCCTAACCTGCCATAGAATACACAGCATAGATTCCATCTGATTTCTTGCAACTGAATCACCAATAAAAGCTAAAGTTTTCCCTCTCATCAACTCCAAAAACTTTTTCGGATCAAACTTAGGGAGGTCACACCGGGATGGTTTCCATCTCCAGTTCTCATAATCTTTGTCTGGTCTTCCATTTCCTTGACAGTTCTGCATCTGAGTGATAATGGGACAGGAGTTATTCGTGTACAGAGGTCCCGTGTTGTCTTGAATCCATGTTCCATTATAAAGATCACAATCTGCAAAGTAAATAAAAAAAAGTTTTCATGAAATAGAAAGCACCAAGATATCAGGATAATATGAAAATAATACTAGATTTCATCGATCTAACTTGAAAAGATGATAGAGAGAAACATTCCGTAGCATAAAGCATTAACTTTTTTACAACATCTAACATCGTGCAGTAAAGTAGCACATTTCTAATGTCCAATCCAGTGAGTCCAATCAATTGTCATCACTACAACATGTCCTATTTCTATCCATTCATGCTTGAAACTCCTTCCAAAAAGATCAACAGATTAGGGGGAAATAATCAATCCTCAGTTACAACTTACACTAGTCAAACATTTGAATTGCAAAACCAATTATTAAGCAACCCAAGAATGACATTACAAACACAATCCCTTTCAAAGTTCGAGCAGACAATTAAAACTTAGAACCAATTTCCAGATTCACAAGGGTGCAGTTGAGTACATATGCATCCAAAACTTTTCAACAACTATTTTTAACCCTCTAAAATGTGCCACCTGTATTCATTCGATCTATGCAGCCAAAGCACTCACTTAAAGAAAATGTAACAAAATTTGGCTAGCAAAGAAATCTTTGAAGGGCAGTCAACATAAATCTCCAGGGCATTCAATTTTTAACAAGCCAAATTTGCTAGCACTCGACGAAGAGACGAAAAAATGTATCCAGACTTCGAATCAAATTTCAAATTAGATATAGAAACAAAAATCATAGACAGGAAAAAATGATATAAAGAGAATAATCAATCAAGAAGACCAACAAAAGACAAAGTTCAGCAAGTGATAACAGCGGTGTAAGAGAATTAGAAGGATGTCCGGCTTTACATCCAAAGTTGAAATGAGAATTACCTGAATCAACAATTCGACTGGATTCATATGCCGAATACCCAAAGGAGGGCACTGACTCATGATCAAGGGGTTGTTGCACCAACACGGTCGATGCAAGCATTAAAAATACAGCAAGCCCTCCAATAGCAGCAATAATAGATAAAAGAGCCTTTGGATAGGCAATTTTAGACCATTCTTTGGGCGAAACTGAAACCATGGCTGCTACTGCTAACCTAAACTACCTCTACACAATATATATCTTAGATAGCAAAACCTACAACAAAAAATTTCTCTTCCAAACATTCTGCATAAGCTTTATAGCTTCACAGAAGCCACCATTGAAGCAAAAACTTCTCCAACAGTTCACCAGTACCAACAATAATCAGCAGCCACAATGATCCATCCAATTCAAAGGTAATCAAGACAAGCACCTAAGCTGCATACAAACAATATATCAAGAGCAATCCATGAGCATCCTGTAAATTTGCATTTAACGACAACTGATGCAAACAAACAAAAAACACAGAAAAATAACGTGGAGGACAACGAGATTCCCCTGGGAAGATCTCACATAAATTACAACTTAATTAAACGCAGTTTCAACCTAATAATGGAAATGCACGGTCAATCGAACCTCAAAGTTACGATTTCCCAACGAAAACAAGCATTACATCTCCACAAATTCTAACCTTCAATTCGAAGCAAAAACCCTCAATTGGTCCTGTAAACTCAAAACGCCAGCCCCAAATTCCCGTAGCTTCCACTCAATACAATGCAGGGCCAGATTGTGATGCGATTTTAGATTAATACAGTGCCATGGATCTGGGGAAAACGACCGACTAAACAAACCGTAATTAACGCTGTCATCAGAGTTGAATTTCCGACATCGGATCCAAATAAATATTAGGGAAAAATCAGCCTTCGTCTTCGAGAATTCCACGAACTTTGGCACAAAGGCAATTCGCCATGGAAGTCCATATCAAAATTTGGGCCGAGGTCATATACAGAACCTGCCCTGCCCAACGGACTTGCTCAAGCGGTTTTGAACCGGCGGTTGGAACCTCTGGTTCGACGATTTCAAACCGGCGGTTCCTGCGAACCGAAACCGGTTTTTACACGGTTCGGTTTTATTTTCTCTTTTCTTTTTTTTTTTTAAATAATTTTATTCAAAAATTATTACTTAAATATATTTATTATTTATATATTGTGTAAAAATGATGTAAATAATAGTAATGGTTAAATTGTTACGTATAAATAACAATTAACATAATAAATTTAGTACGACTAAAAACAAATTATAAAAAATATCAAATTTAAATTAAATATAATTATATAATAAAAATTATAAAATATAAATACAAAAAATAATTACTTTATGTATTTTTGTTAATATTGATATTATTTTATTTTTACAAAAATTATTATAATTATATAAATAAATATAAATTCCAACTGAAATTTTTAATAAGCATAACTGAAACTTTCAAACCGAAACTCTAAAGGTTTGTTTAGATAATGGATTTTTGCAAGTTTTTGAAAATTTGAAAAAAATAAAAATAAAAATAAAAAAAATAAAAAATAAAAAATTAGTATTTGATTTGATATTTTATGAGAGAAAAAAATATTAATAAATAATACCAAAATGAGTAAAAATATATTGTGCAAACAGAGGTACTATAATTTGAAATGTTTGATTTCAATTCAATTTTTTAATAAATCGAAATCGGTGATTTCAATAGTAAATAACACGGCGGTGAATTCACGCGCGGCAGCACGTGCAGACGCAGCTGTAGAAGCATGATGGCGCACGTGCACGGAGGTGATCATCAATGCATGGGATCCATAATGTAATAAAATAAAATAATTAATAATAATACATGCATGCATGCATATTGAAGAATTCATGCATTGTGTCTCAAAGGCAGCCCTAAATTGGGTCCATTCTCACACGCCTTTGTCCTCTAAAAGCCTAACATAACACAACACTCCTAATTTATATATTTTCATAGATTTATTTTGATTTTGGTACCAATTAAAATTGGGCAATTTTAAAAAAATAAAAATAAAAATAAAATTGTACATATAATAATAATATAACTAAAATGGGTTTTTGGTTGTTGATTTTCGTACCATAGTATAATATTATTGCACCAATTCTTAAATCAAATTATTTGATCGTAATGATATAATTGTCATATAGAATAATTTATTGAATAATTTATTATGTAAAATTAATTAGGTGATGCAATGTTGGAATGCACAAATTTTGGTAGGATGATATTTTGGCTGAAATTTTTTAAAGTTTTTTGAATTTTTTCATCAATTTCCTTTTTGTATAATTTTTATGACTTTTCAATAAAAATATACTCCCTCCGTCCTATGTAATATGGGTGTATTACCGTAGACACGAGAATTTAGGTAAAGTATAATTAGTAAGTAATTAAGAAGTATATTAGTAAAAATAATTGTTATTTAGTAAAATTAAGATTAAGATAAGTAAATAGTTTAATTAAAATTAAGAAAATTATAAAATGTAAAATTTAAAATGCGATGAAAGTGCATAATTATATTTCCAAAAATATAAAGGACAAGTTACGTGGGACAGACGAAAATAGAAAATAGGAACAAATTATGTGGGACGGATGGAGTAATATTTACTATCATAACGTATATTTACCGTGGTTGGCTCGTTTAACGGATGATGAGATATTTGACCAAATTTCGAAAAATCTCTCGCTAGTCAAAGCAATATGTATGAGATCGATTGAGGATTTTCTCACTTCCCCAATTTGAGCTGTTGACATGCAAATGGTAATAAACATAAATTTGTTGCAAGTGAATAATATATTTTTTTTCCCTCACAATATTACATCAAACAATTATTTAAACATAAAATCAAAGCAAACACACCCAAACAAGCATAATCTAAGGGTGTGTTTAGTTGGAATTTCAAACTCAAATAATCAGTACGACACATTTATAGTTTTCAATAAAAATATACTTATTTCTTTTCATAAAATTTTACATCAAAATATTAGATTTGTCCACCCTACATTTTATTAGGTGACACAATTTTTGATAAATATTATCAAAAATATATTATTTACACACATTTATACAATATATGGCATATATATTTATTCATTCATAAAAAATTAATATTTAACATAAAATATTATTTTCTATACTCTAGAACATACAAAGCAAAGAGACTCACTAGTTTAAACAAAGCACAAACCAAAACACCAATTTCAAATCAAAATCAAACAAAACATAAATATTTCACAATTCAACTGCAACCCAACTATAGAGTTTGTTCTTTTGTGATTTCAAAATTACTATTTATTTTGTACAATTTTTAATAAAAATATACTATTTTTCTCAAAAATATTATATCAAAATACTGTTTAAACAAAATTTAAATTAACGCTATATTTCAAATCAATTTTAAACTAAATCAAACAAACTCATTCATGCAAAAATAAAAATAAAAATAAAAATACGACTTTGTATATATATTTATAAAATATATATAGGATTTTGTGTCCATGTATTAAATTAGATGGAATAATATATATATATATATATGTTATAATATTACATGTCATAAAATATCATACATATCAAATTTATTTTATCTATATTAAAAATCTGTAAAACATTTATTTGATAATATTTATTTCTATATTTATTAATGACTATTAATATCACTGGATAAAAAAGAAAAAACTATTACAATTTAAATTATTTTTTTTAATTACAAATATTTTATTTTTCCATTAATTTTATTAATTAATTACATTTATCATATTATATAATTTTACATTTTGGCACATAATGTATTTATAACTATATACTGAAAAATTAATAATATTGGTTTTTATGGCTGATGAAGAATAATTTTATCACATGAAATTTTTTGCATGTTTTGATTATTAATATATATGTGACTAAAAGTAAGACAAATTTGTTATAGAATTATTTTCCAACTAATTTGCTTTAATATTTTTCATGAATAAAATTTATTTTTATTTTTTCTATGAAAATAGTTATTGATAAATATATTTTCAATATTGTTTGGTCCGATGACTGTTGTATGAGACCTTGTGTGTACGTACCTAATAGTTTGACCAATTTATTAGTTTGACCAATTTATTACCTTTGTGTGTCAATACCTAACCATTTGACCAATTTATTTTATGTATTTCTATTGATTTTGATTAATCTAATACATACATTTTAATTGCTTGTATTTTTATTAGTATTTAACAACAAACCTTAACTCATAATTAGATAACAAAAATAATTCACTTACATTAACAATCAAATATGTGACTTTTTCTCTCATTTTATGCCAAAGAAATTAAAATAAAATAGAAAAAAAAACATCTCAAGAATAATATATAACTATTTTATAAAAGTACTTTGTGCATAATATATCTTGCTAAGTTGCTACCGATTTTCCAGAAACGGAGCAAAATCGTCATAATATAGATAAAAAAGTTGTTAGAATTCTAAAGAAGTTCTTGATGTCTACACAAAATAAAACTTACGCATAATAGTTTTGTTTATTCAAAGATTGTTTGGCATCCCCTAGCTTTTTATACGGTAAATGAGTTCACCGAATCTTAATTCTAACATCTTCAACTTAGTCTCGGATATCATTGCCACAAACAACAGTAACATTGATAGCTAGTTCGTCTTCTCCCTCCAGGAGCTTACAAATGCATCTATCATCTTTCTCTATATAGTTGAAGCAGCATCTTTCTCCCACTGGATATTATGATCCTTGAATTTTTCCATTGTTTACATCTTGCCATGAATTTCCTTCCGGTGGGATTTATGAAATGAGCCTTTTTCGAAAAATCTACAACATTATCTTTCACAACATCTTTGGGACTAAATTTAAATAAAAAAAAGAAAGATGTTATTCATATAACAATGTCAAGAATACTCAAACAATAATGTAAATACAATACTGATTAATGTACTAAAATAAATATAGGAACTATGAACATTTCAAATAAAACAAACCATGCAACATTAAATTATTCACGAACAATAAAGTTCTTACATAAAATAGATACATAAATTAAAATGAGATCAAAATACCAAAATAAAATAAAATTTCCAAGTAAAACAAAAAGTTTTTCTTTTATTTTCTCCATCATTTAAAAATAAATAAATTATTTTTTCTCATACAATATTTTAAAAAGTAAAAAAATTTAGTTTACACAAACAATATCTCATTTCCTCGAAACACTTTCTTAATTTTCAATAAGTACCGGCAAAAAATTTACTATTCCTAACACATTAAAAAAACTCAACCAAATAACATTGAAGCAAGTAGTATATGGTGTTATATATATGCCACAGTTCTACTAAATGTATAACAAGTAGTTAAGTTAGGTATCGACTCCCACTTCTAGTTTTTCCCAATAAGATTCGTAATAATAAAAAGTCGTAGCTAATGCTCAAGAAAACTACCTATAAACTAACAAAAGTATTATTCATCATCAAATGCTCATTCTATATCACTATAAACTATTGCATCTATCAAAACACAATAATCGAAAATATTGCGGCCAACTATATATTGAAGAACTTATTAAGTAGATACTTAAATAAGAGTTGGTGTTGAATACCAATACTAACCAAACTGCCATTTCATTTATCCAATTTGCTTGTGGCAAAGTAAGGGTTTCGAGGTTGTGGAGCTAAACCAGCCCTGAAAATATCTATTATGTACCGCTGTGCAAGTAGGTCTCTTGATCGTCTTTCTGAATCTTTCTGATCTCTTGTTGTTAGTGTTCTTTCTAAATTCTCACCACCAATATCATCTATGAAATAAAATACCATTAACCATGAAATTATCAGTTCATTATATCGAACATATAAACTTCTCATATTTCAAAACATAATATAAATGCAACGTATTATTTTCATTGTTAATAATCAACATATTTTGGAGAAATAGATTTTCATGG